ACAGGTTTAAGCCCAGTCTTTGCCAACTCAGTCTACAAGAAATACTTTGGTTCGCTAAATAATTGTTCAATAACAAAGTTTGTTTATATTAGTCTGGAAAGACAATTTGTAGCTGTTCCTTTACCTGACCAATATTGGCTAATTAAAGGAACAGCTACATATTGTATTAAATATATTGGTGGTATTATTTGCTATACAAAAATTTTCATTTTTGAAGATATTATTGTAATGATATCTTCAAAAATGAAAATTTTTGTATAGCAAATAATAACACAAATATACATAAATAAATAAAAAAAGAAATGTTTAGATTACTGAGATTATGAACAATTTTAATAAATTCTCCATATTAAAAAAATAATAATAATAAAGTTTCACATATTTATTTTAAGTTTCTTGTGTTATCAATTTGTAGAATTGATAGAAGTTTTTGATTACTGATATCTTGAACTTTGAACAACAAGTCATTTGTGGATACCTTATACTCTGTTTTACTATTTTATACTTGGGCGCAGGTTGAGTATGATACAATGACCAAAAAACCTTTTTGTGTATTTAAATTAAAGAACCACAAGCTTAACTACATGTTATGGTTATAATATCTGTCTTGGTGTTCATTCTGTTGAATCTTCTTTGGAAGTGAAGAATTTTTTTAGCTGGGTTCAGTTGCTTTACAATCTTTTTAGAGAAAGACCTATTCAATAAAAAAATCTTGATCGAGACGACAGGTTTGTCTTCATTAAATTATTTAATTCGTTAAACCTCATAAACCTGATAAGGTACATGCATAGAGGCTGCAAAGCCATTGGTTAAGCAATCTAGGGAATTTTAGTTATTATTACAGAAGCTTTGTAATATTGATCTAACTGTGATTAATTGAATGAATCTCTGATGAAATAGATATAGTCATTTGAGTTCATCAGAAACACTCTGATTCAAATCTCTTTGCTCAAAGAGATTTGAAACAGAGTGTTAAGAATTAAACTTTGTCAGTGTCTTATTTAAATCAAAAAACATCTCAGTAATGAGATGAAGCTTATGAAGACTCTTATTGAGGATCTTACAAGAATTTGATTTAATTTAATAAAGCATATTATGTTGATTCTGGTCTAGTTTTCAATTCGACTTTTTCAAAAAAAAGAACAAAGAAGAAGAGAATCATTTAAAAACAAAGTTTTTTTTTTAAATTTCTACAAAACTGAAGAAAATAGTTTTAAGGTGAGCATATTTAACTTTTGATGCTCTTATTTAACAGATAAGAGATAAATTTTAAGTTGCAGAAGAGAAAAGGATCATTTACAGTTCTGTGAATCTAATAGTAGTAAGTGACCAGGGCCCCGGCCTCAGCTTAAAATGAGACTTTTTTCAAACCCGGCCCTGGCTAAACTATAAGATTTAGCAGGGTTTGATAGCCAGGGTTAGAAAAAAATATATAATACTTTATATATTATAATTTTATGCTTACATTTATTATTTATTAAATACCTGCATAAATTTATAAATTTTCAAACTCTAATTTACTTACAACAAGATTGCAAGCAACCACTATTAAGTTATGAGTTACTTTAAAATAGAGAATAAGTAAAAATACTAGGAAATGGTTAACTGAAGACTTGAAAAGTTGTAGGTTGTATATAAAAGAAAAACATGTTTTTATGTATTTTTAAACATGTATTATGATAAACAAAAACACTAGTTTTTGTTTATCATAATAGGGATAATAGCTTGTTTGCGCATTGACCATGATTGTATTTGTAGAAAAAAGAAAGAAAATGCAACCTTGCAACAATGGAAGAGTGGCTCAAGTTTAGGAAATAAACCAGGTCTAATTAAATTTACAATGTACTTTCAGACTTTGTCTGAGGGTAAGAAGATTGTCATTTATCAATATAGGAAAGCCAATAACATATTTTTTTGCAGTAAATAAATGAGTTTTGTTTTCTAACAAAAGTTGTGGATTTTAAAATCCACAAGCCACTGCAAGCCTTAAGCTGTTACAGAAAAAAGTGAATACTTTTTGTAAAGAGAAGAGTATTAAGTTGAGTCGTCAGGAATTAGAGCCACTTTAGATATCATGAAGATTGTTATTGTAGATAAGAAACAATGCAGGAGCAAAGGTAGAACCTTGTGGTACCCTTAAAGTTACTTGGAATAAAGAAGATGATAGGCCTTCAAGAATAACTTTACTACTGCAGTTAGAAAAAAATCATTTAATAACCTCAAAACATTTATATAAAGAAACTAGAATTATAGTAAAAGCTAGTTGTAGGATAGTTAGAGAGGTCAAAGTGTTTTCTAGATTTTTTAAAAATTGGAACCACTTATTTAGTACTTAATAAAAATTTAGCAATAATTGAAGAGAGTTCTGGTGAACACTTTTTAAAGACTATGATAAAAATCTATTTTGGAGCACAAACTATAGAAGTGTTTAATTAAGTATTAACTTTAGCATTAGAAGCCAGAGTGATTTAGATAACAATGAGTTAATCTGTTCAACTGTCAGGAAGAGTATGGCCATTATATTCAAGAGTCAAATTAGGGCAAGATTTCTTTGCAAATATCTCTGGGGAGAAGTAAAAAGATTAAACACATGAACTAGAAATTAAATGTTATACTTTTTTTAGTTAATGATACTGTTGAAGACTAACCAAAAGTCTCTGGAACCTAACATCTGAGATAAGATACAAGATTTAGAAAACTGAGAATAACAGAGCTTAACATCAGACAGGACTTTTTTTACATTAGCTTTTTGCAATAATAAAAGAACATTTGTTTTTAAGAGAGATGTTCTTGTAAAAAAGATTTAAAAAATGATTAGTATTTAATAAAGAAAATGCTCAAGATGGTGAAAAATGTGGAGTAGAATGAGGCTTGACTTAAAGTTGAAGAGAAATAATAAAAGCTTCCAAACATTTATTCCAGAAGAAATAAAAGCTTCCAAGATGCACTTTATGCATACATATTATGGATATACACATATCTGTTTGCTACTTATTTAGATGCAGGCATACAATATCCTTTTGTTGTTATATAAACTTTAGTATTTATATGGATTAGTATTTGCCAAAAGAGAAGACGATCAGATGGATTCGTGGTGTGATTCAAGCAAGACAAAAAAAAAAGGCATAGTCTTAGACAGATTCCAAAAAACATTGTATCGAACAATGTTTGTTAGAAAATATAAAAGTAATTTAAGCATCAGCGTGTGGAGAGGTACCAGCTTCAGTAGAAAATGGTAGTGGTAGTAAGAAAACTTGAAGAGAGTGCCTTACATAGTGTATGAATGAGCTTTAGTTAAGAAAAAAAAATGCTCTAGATTGTTTATATTAGAGAAACAGCATAAAAGAGGAAGGCTAAAGGTTTGGAAGCTGATGGTAGTGATCATGATGATGATCATGATCATGATGATAATTGTATTGATCATGATCATCATCATCAGGCTTTAGCATTCCTATTTTATGCCGTTGATGATAATGATGATGATCATCATCATGATAATGATGATTATGATAATCATGTTGATCATAATGATGTTTATATATGCATATATATACAAATAATAACATGAATTTAAAATTAAAAAGATATACTTTAAGATGTATAATTAATTTTGAAAACCCAATCACAAACCTGGCCCTGGCCCCGGTTGAATATCAACCCCGGTCGTTTACTATCTAATAGTAGCCAAAGATTTGCTTTGGAGAAACGCAAATCTTTGGCATAAATCTACGTAAACAAAGTAAAGAAAAAGAAATTTATTGAAAAGATATTGTCTAACATCATAATACTCTAAAACATGCCAATCTATTTGATTAACTAGAATCTCCCATTTTGATGAGGCAATTGAATGAGAACTACTATTAAGGTCTACAGTCTCTCTACTAATAATTATATATGTTGTTACGCATTTTCAACGCAATTCACGTTTCCACTGCTAAAGATTAGCAGTCTAATCAATTTTCTATCTATTTTCAACCAGCTAATCAATTTTCCATTTATTTTCATTGTGCATGGATTTGCAAAAATTCTGTGCTACAGTCATTGCAAATTTCATTATAAGTAAATCAAATTTCATTATGAGTAAATAGTCATTGCAAATTTCGCTATGAGTAAATCCCAGAATTTTTATTTTAGAAGACTAGATTAACTGTTGCATTTTAAGCTTCAGCTACTAGCAATAATCAAATGTTTAATAATTATACATATACTAATGTTAGTTTGTGTATGATTGCATCAGTGACAGATCCAGGGGGTATGCATCCCACCTCCCTCCACCAGAAATATATTTTTAAGAGAGATGTTCTTGTAAAGAAGATATAAATAAGATATATATATATATATATATATATATATATATATATATATATATATATATATATATATATATATATATATATATATATATATATATTTAATTTAGAGGCCTTTTTGTCAATTTATATCTGGTTTTTAATTTAGAGGCCTTTTTGTCAATTTATGTCTGATAATGGTTTAGTTTGATTAAAAAGTAAAATTATTTAGCGCTTGGGTTAAACATCAAATCGCTGTTTGGATTTATTTGATCTTATAGGGCATTAGTAATATTTTGACCATTTGAGAATCAAAAAAGAGTTGTGACAGAGCTTCTTATAGCTATCCTTTTGATATAAGATTTTTTACCAAATAGGACCTGTTAACCAGCTAGAAAAAGTTTAATTTTTTAATTTGTTGGTTTTTTATATTTTTATTTATATAATTTGTGTATCAGGTGCAAATAATTTTTTTATGTATTTAGAATAGTATCTTTTTTATTTAAAGAAAATTTATCTTTTGATATAAAATTGTTTGATTATATTTTTATATTTTTTAAAAATATTTTGGCAGTTTAACATTATAAAAAAAGTTGATATTAATCAAATATTATGTATATTTTATGTCTTTTGTATTATTAGATGCACTTATACACATACACAGACCACATACACATCGTATACTGTAAGCTAATACATAAAATTATAATGATATGATTATACTTACATGTACATAGTTTTTTTATTATAAGGAGTATCTGGTATTATAAATAACTGATGTTGCTGTGGTTTGTACATGATGGTAAAAGTTCCCAACAAGTCACCATTACTACTTGGAAAAAAACTAGAATTACAAAAAGAAAAAGTAAGTTAATTTAAATTCATAAAGATTTATGTATATATATATATATATATATATATATATATATATATATATATATATATATATATATATATATATATATATATATATACATATATATATATATATATATATATATATATATATATATATATATATATATATATATATATATATATATATATATATATATACATATATATATATTGGGTATATATATATATATATATATATATTGGGTATATATATATATATATATATATATATATATATATATATATATATATATATATATATATATATATATATATATATTGGGTATATATATATATATATATATATATATATATATATATATATATATATATATATATATATAGATATATATATATATATATATATATATATATATATATATATATATATATATATATATATATATTGGGTATATATATATATATATATATTGGGTATATATATATATATTGGGTATATATATATATATATATATATATATATATACATATATATATATTGGGTATATATATATATATATATTGGGTATATATATATATATATATATTGGGTATATATATATATATATATATATATATATATATATATATATATATATATATATATATATATATATATATATATATATATATATATATTGGGTATATATATATATATATATTGGGTATATATATATATATATATATATATATATATATATATATATATATATATATATATATATATATATATATATATATATATATATATATATATATATATATATATATATATATATATATATATTAGGGAGGTCCAAAAATCAACATTTTTGTAAAAAATCTGCTTCATAACCCTAAATGTGTTCTATATAATACGAAAACACTAGGTTTACAATTTTTTTGAATAAAAAATATTTTTAGGGGTAGGCTGACCCTTAAACATTTGACGTGATCCTAATATTTTGAAAAAAAAAGTTTTTTTAAAATATATCAATCCGGTACTCAAAAGAAGCGAAATTATATTAAAAATTCAAAAATATTAATAATTTTTATAAAAATAATTTTTTCATACATCATTGTATAAAAACTCATGTTTTTAAGCTGAAAATAAAAAAGTCATAATTTCGAAGTTTTTTGTAAATAGTTTTTTTAAATATCTATTTTATTTAAATTAATTAATATTTTTGAATTTTTAATATAATTTCACTACATTTGAGTACCAGGTTGACATATTTTAGAAGAACTTTTTTTTTCAAAATATTTGGGACCCGTCGAATATTTAAGGGTTAGGGGCTACCCCTGAAAAAATTTTTTATTAAAAAAAATTGTAAACCTAGTGATTTTGTATTATATAGAACACATTTAGGGTTGTGGAGCAGATTTTTTTCAAAAATGTTGTTTTTTAGACCACCCTAATATATATATATATATATATATATATATATATATATATATATATATATATATATATATATATATATATATATATATATATATATATATATATATATATATATATATATATATATATATATATATATATATATATATATATATATATATATATATATATATATATATATATATATATATATATATATATATATATATATATATATGTAGTTATTATTTTGAGGTTTTATTACTAGCTGGAACTTAGTTTAATTGTTTCTGTTAATTTTTAGATTAATAAAAGCCGTAATAATACTGCAAAAAGGTATTTTATACTCTTTGTTTTTAATTTATTTGTTCGTAATAAAAGCAAATTTAGATTAAAATTTTGTTTTTTTAGATTTCAAAAAAAAAAAAAAAAAAACTGTTTAAATTTTACACCATAGTTAACAAAATTAAAGTTAGTTTTAAAATAAAAATTTCTAGAAAACATAAAAATTTTGTTACAATAATTTTAAGAAATTAAGTACTAAAATAAATTACTTTTATTTAAAAAAACAACAACACAAGTTGTTGTTTTTTTAAATAAAAAATTGTTAAGTTTGATGTATATTATCTTAACCATACAGTAAGTATAATTTACATACCTCACAGTAAGTATATTTTTCATACCATACAGTAAGTATAAATTACATACCATCCAGTAAGTATAATTTACAACATCTTAATATTTTTATATTAAGTATAGTTTATAACATCTTAATATTATTATATTAAGTATAATATTGTTAATAAAATTAGAAATTTCATTTCTGATTTTCAGAATTGCAGTTTTATAATTATAATAGTTGGATACACAGTTTTATAATTTTAGCCCAAACCCTCAAATTGAGGACAGAAAAAATGACAATATATATGTCCAATAAACTAAAGGCACTTAGGGTTTATTTGGCATAAAAATTAAAATCATGTCTCTGTCTGAGAGAAAATTGAGTTAATAGTTGGACAGTCTCTACAATATTCTTAACGTAAAAAATATATCTGTTGAATAAAATGATGAGTAAAAATCTACCATAGTTTCATTTAATAATATAAGCGTGATTTTTCATAATCTTGTTTAAAATAGAACCATTTTTGAGAACTTTTGTTGAAAATGTTATATTCCTATTTGAGGCTCAAACATACCAACTAGAAAGCAAAATTTTATACGCCATTTTTTTCAGTCAGTTTAGAGTATATAGAGGCAATAGAGTATTCAAAGGGCTTTCAGTAGAAAAAGGAATGAAGCATTTTTCTTTTCATCTATCGGGGCTTCATTTTCATCTTAGTGAGGCATGTAGAGGAACTGTTTCTACTGTTTTTGAAGAAATTTCTTATTCTTTTAGCCTTTAATAGTTTTTGTTCCTGTAATTGTATTTTTTGCTTGATTAAGTCATAAGGATACAAAAAAATAATTGCAACCAAGTTTTTCAGTTTTGATTACAACAAACTTTTACTATATTAAGATTTTTTAAAAGGTATTTTTTGTAATATATAACTAAAATAATTTCAAGGTTCCTCAAAATAAAAATGTTCCCAAATTTTAAATAGTTACCTGCTTTTGGGAAACAATATTTCCACAACAAAAAAAGCAGAATTTCAGACATTCTTTACTTGGTGTTCCTAATGATGAAGTTTGGCAAAGAGGCCATTTAAAACTCAACTTTATTAAAAATTCCATTTGAGTTTTGAGTAAAGGTGAGTTTTTGTAACTTTTGCAAAAATCAATCAATTTTAAAAGTTCAAAAAGCCCAATACATTAAAGTTTTACTACAATGCCAATTGTCCAGTTAGTGAATTGATAAAAACATTTGGTTACCTTTTTGGAAAAGATTTGTAAGCTTTTACATACTTAATCATTTTAAACAAGAAGTTCTAATGAATTTTTATTATTAGGCTAGATTTAATCTAATTTAAGTAACTAAAATATGTTTAAGTATTTGTAGAAGGTTACAAACATTTTTTTGCAATGTAGGTTACAAACTCTTATTATTCAGGGCAAATGCAATTTATTAAATAGTTTTTGTACTCCATTACAGGGAAATTATACAAAAGGGAAAAAAACAGGCTGCATCTGTCATTCTGCAAAAAGTTGCTTTGCCTAAAAAAATTAAAAGACTGGTCAGAGCGCATGGTGAAAGACAATGCCCCTCACTCCTGGACCTTCTTGCCAAAGCTCAGAAAAGAACCCCATGCTCTCAACAACCAACATGGTCAAGGTTTAAATCAACACTGGTCTTTTCAGCAACAAAATCAGAGAACTTGCATCAACTCTCAACAAGTCATTTGGTGCAAGATTAATGGAATCAAACTTTAGGGATAGTTTTGCCAATGTCAAAAAGAAGTTTAAGTTCTCCTTTACCACATCAGCTGTTTATGATGCTTCAAAAAAAGACAACTCCACAACCAAGATCAGGCATTACATCAGTTTGTCTGAGTTTTACCATGGTCTCTGAAGAAACAGGAATTTCCAAATCAAGCAGCATCAGCAAAATTGGGATTGATGATGGTGGAAACTTCTTTAAGTGATGAGTCAAATTTTAATTATCTATAAGCTATAACCTGTTATATAAAATGGAATGATGCAGTAGACAATCTGAATTTTTTTTTTTTTTTTTTTTTTTTGTATCTTTATGACTTTATTAAGCAAAAATTATTAGGAACAAAAATTATCAAAGGCTGAGAGAATTAAATAAGTTTCTTAGAAAACTGTAAAAAAGGTTACTTTACCTGTCTCACTTTAAAGCCCCATCAATTAAAAAGATAATTGCTCCATTTTTTTAGTGAAAGCCCTTTGAATACTCTTTGGCCTTATACTGTTTTAAAAGTTGTGATCCTTTTTATTACATTTCAATGGAAACTGACAGTGCTAAAAATGGTTTACTAAATTTTGATTTCTAGTTAGGATGTTTTAGTATTCACGTTTTTTACCTTGAGTACTGAGTTTTTTAATCACTTTAAAATTACTGCAACTAAATTTGTATGTTTTTGAAGTTTTTTGTTTTAAAAATAACTTTAAATTTTAGCAGCCTGTGTTTAAGGCTGTCGATGGGTACCCAGGCACCTGTTAGCAACTGCCTGGGCAGCATTATCAAATGATGGTAACCGTTGTTTGAATATCTTAAAGCTCTTGTTGTTAAAAATTTCAATAGTTTATCACATTTAATAGTTTTCTTCATCACATTTCTGAAAACATTGAATGAAAACATACATTTGGAAAGTTATTTGAATTTCTGCTTCAGAAACCAACTTGTTATTTCTCACATCGTTTTTCTTTACATAAATCAAAACTACTCTAACTTATTTATTAGCTTGTTTCACGGACAAAACTCTTTCAAAACCTGGAAGGTGGAAAATATAATTATTTTGAAGCTTATTCAAAGAAACCCAAGTTTTAGTTAAGCAACTTATGTTAAAAATATTTTGAGTTTTTTTCTTAAAAAAGTAAGCATTTTGTTCGGAAAAAAAAATGATTTGAAAAATGAATTATTTTTTAGTTTTTAAATAATGTTTATTCAAAACAACTAAAATGTTATAATAAATATGTTAAAACAAGTTAATCACACTACTTCTGAAGGAATAGAGTGGTTTTGAACAATAAACTTCTTGATTTTGATCTAAGCATTCAATATTGCAATACAACTGCATTTTAACAATGCACAAAATGTTTTAAGAATCCAATAATACACTTGTGTTACTTTGTAAATAGTTGTTATTTTCCAGATGAAACTAAGATTATAAATAATATTTAAATTTCCAAATATGTGAAAAAGAGCAGCAAGGGTTGAATTAACTTAAATTTGGCCGATTGCAAATTTTTTGACCCCTTTCCTATGCCCGCTCCTTTTTTTTTTTCAAAACTTTGATTAACTCCTGGTGGCAAAAATTTGGCTCAATCTTTGAGAAGCTAAAACTTATTAGATTTTTAGCTATGTAGTCTTACTTTTTTTAGTTGTTTTGTTTATAAAGTGTGAGTTTTCTTTTACTAAAAGTTTTGTTTACTTAGATTAATTAATAAAAAAGTTATCCAAAAATGAAGCCTAACGCTAAAACAAAGAGCATCATAGAGTATTTTGTTGTTTCTAATAACCCTGAAAGAACCATCAAATGTTATATGGCAAATTGGAAGAACAATGAGCCAACGTCTCGTAAGCCTGGATCAGGCAGAAAACCAAAAATTATGACTGCTAGGAACATCAATTGCCTGAAAGGTCTTTTGAACAACCGGTCTGGTACATTACCAGGAAAAATTGCAAATAAATTCAAGTGTGATCATTCCTACATTGTAAAAACATTAAAAAACAAAACAAACATTTGTTATTTTAAGAAAAAACAAGTCCCTGATCGCACTGATAAACAGTTAAAAAGCAGTTGCAACTGAAGTGTGGAAGAATATATCGCAAATTCAGAAACTGACTTTGCAATTGACGATGGGTCTTATTTTACATTTAAACATACAAATAAAAATTCTAATGCTGGATTTTACTCAGGTGAAGCAAAAGTCCTCCTCTCAAAAATTCGAGATAACCTCTTTTAGCTGACCCAGAGAAACAAGATGTGGGGTTTGAAAGCCCTTGACTCTGTGATCACAAAAATGTAAAAGTTGAAATCAAAACATTATATTCAAGAAAATAATTCAACATTTAAATGGATTACTATAAACAACAATAGAGTAAATGACAGTTTTTGACATTTCTACAGCATATATAATTGTTTTACTGAATGGCGTTCTTTTGTATGTGACGATCAAGGTACACTCACTATAAATTCCCATTTTTTAATTAAATTTTTTTGGAAAAATGCACGATTTATTTGTTTACAAAAAATTCATGATAAGCATAATTTTCAACTGCCGCAATAAAAATGCCCTCTTTTGCAAAATCACATGAAGAAAACCAAAAAACTGTCTGTTTTCTTTGTATGCACAAGGCAAAACGAGAGGTAATACCTTTAATAATTGAAAAAGTGAAGACAGTTCTCCAAAAAGATGTTGATTTTCAAGACTCAAGAGTTCCAAAAGGAATTTGTGAAGGATGTCGTTCAGCAATGAGGAGAAAAGATGAAGGCAAAGAAGTAAGCATACCACTGCCATTCAATTTTCAAGAAATTTATCCCAAGATTTCCACAAAAGAGCAAGCTTGCCAATGCCTCATCTGTCAAATTGGTCAACTCAAGCTCAATCAAAGGCATTCTTTGGAAAATTGGCAGAAGACTGAAAATGAGAAAGGTGACCATAGATGCTCCAAATGTCTTGCAGTTCTTGGCAAAGGTATGTCCCATCCTTGCAATGAATACACATTTCGGGGAAACATGAGGTTGCTTGCAGCTAAAGATAGCAAAGTTTCTGACCAAATAGCTGCTACTGTTATCAGTCAAAAAGAGGCATCACCACATAAAACATTTCGCCTAAATCAAGCTCAAGTTGGACGACTGTTGGCATTGACACCAGGTAGATTTTTGCTATGCTCATAAATTTATTTTTAAACCTAAACACGATGTACTTAATTATAAATTTAAAATCTGACAGGTTCTTCAAGCTCTCGGCGGTTGTTTGAGACCCCTACAAGAGTGATAGCACAAGATTTTGCCCAAATTCAGATCAATATAGGAATATCCAACAATAGCATAAGAAAGCTAGCATCAAGTATCACAGGTTAAAGTCACTGAACCATACAATGACTTTAAGTTTCTTGAAATAGGAACCAATCTTGCAAGTTTTTTCACATATTCAAAGCTAGAAGTCATGCAAGAGAAAAGGTCAAAAGTCGAAATGGTAACAATTATTCACTGTAAAGATTTTTTTGAACTGCTGGAGCACATCCTTTTAGAAAGAAAAATATTTTCTGATCACATCGTCAAGCTTGGAATAGATGGGGGAGCTGGATTTCTAAAATTTTCTCTTGGGGTTGTAGAAACATTACAGCACTGCAAAGTTTGTTTTCCACCAAGCAAACGACTCCTGGCAGTAAAGAGCTCCAAAGATAGTGGTTGCAATCAGCAACTTATTGTTGCTGTCTCTGAAGGAATGTCTGAAAACTATTATAACCTCAAGAATGTTTTCTCCTTGATCAAAGCTGACTCAAAGAATTTTGTGGTATCTTGTGACTTGAATGTTGCCAATATACTATGTGGTCTTCAATCTCATGCTTCCATTCATCCATGTACATGGTGCACAGCTCCTTCAACTAACCTTGCTGAATGTGGAGACCTACGAACGTTTGGTTTGCTTCTGCCGGCAGTGATGTAAAAAATGCCAAGAAATATGGGAATGTCATCCATAAACCTATTCTTCATGCAGATGACACTAGTCTTGTTTTGGAAATTATCCCTCCCATGGAGCTTCATCTTTTGCTTGGAGTTGTTAACCACCTCTACAAAATTCTCAAAACAGTCTAGCCTCCAAATGATGAGTGGACAACTGCTCTTCATATTAATCTTTAGCATTACCATGGAGGTAATTTCATTGGCAATGATTGCCGCAAGCTTCTCAAAAATGTTGATCTTCTTCAACAGGTGGCTGAAGAGAAGGCAGCAGTTCATGTTTTTCCACTTATTGATGCTCTGAGAAAGTTTGATGCTGTGGTTATTGCCTGCATTGGAAATGAAATGCAGCAAGACTATGCACAAAAAATTGAACTTTTCAAGCAATCGTTCTTGGCACTATCAGCAGGAAGTGTAACTCCAAAAGTTCATGCTGTGTTTTTTCACATCAAGGATTTCATCTCAAGTAAAAACACTTCTTTGGGTATTGACAGTGAACAAACCACTGAAGCTGTGCACCATCAATTTCAAACTCTTTGGCAAAGGTACAAGCGCCAAAAGACACACCCAGAATATGAGTCTCAACTTCAAAAGTGTGTAACTGATTTTAACAGCAAGCACTTGTAAAAGAATCTGTAAACATAATTTTTATTTAGAATTTATATTTATATTAAGTCTTGACTGTTGCTTAAAGAATTTTATGTTTATATGTGCTGTAGAAATGTCAAAAAATGGAATGCTGTCATTTACACTATTGATATTGATAGTAATAAAATTAAATGTTGAATTATTTTCTTGGATATAATGTTTTGGTTTCAACTTTTACATTTTTGTGATCACACAGTCAAGGGCTTTCAAACCCCACATCCTGTTTCTCTGGGTCAGCTAAAAGAGGTTATCTCAAATTTTTGAGAAGAGTGTGCACCAAAAAATATAAAATATAAGTGCAAATTCAAATTTGAAACAAAAGTTCTTGTTTGGATTATCATTTCCCCTCGTGTAGTCTCAAAACCATTTATTGTTCCTGAGGGGCTGGCAATTAACCAAACAGTGTACAAAAATGATTGCATCATCAAAAGATTGGTTCCTTTTATCAACAAACATCACAGTGATGGTAATTATGTAATCTGGCTTGACTTCACCTCTTCATATTATGCTAGAAGTGTGACCAATTACCTCAATGAGAAAAATATTTTTAACAAAAGTTGATAATCCGGCATGTGTCCCAGAATTATGACCAATAGAAGATGGTCAATCTTTAAATGCTATGTGTATGAAAACAATTGGGAAGCTGAAAATGAAGATCAGCTGCAAAAAAGAATCTATTCTTGTTTAAGAAAAAATGATAAAAATCTTGTACAAGGCATGTGCGAACATGTATACAAAAAAGTTGACGCAGTAAGTCGTAATGGCGATAAAGCATTATTTACATTCCCGAAAGTAAAAAACTAATATATTGCTTAATATTTTGTACTACTTTTTTGTTAATTAAACTTTTTGTTGTACTATTACTGCTTGTGTTTATTTTGTGCCAAATTTTTGTCACCAGGGGTTATAATAGAATATGTTAAGTTTAAATAATAATAGAATATGTTAAGTTTTATAAATGTCATGTAACTCAATAATGAAAATAAATTATTTTTAGGCGCTTTTTTATTAATCTATTCACATAGCTTAGACGTCATCATCTGGTGAAACATTTTAATATCAGTTTAGACATAATTTAAAAAAAATTAAATATTTCATTTCACAAATTAAATAATTATATATTTTTAAATTAATTTTAATTATTATTACAAACATAAATTATGTTTGTATGATTTTGAATGATCATAATCTTAATACTAAATAAATTATTTTTTTTATATATTTCTTTGGCTTCTTCATTTTCAACTTAATTATTAATTATTAATTATTACAAACATAAATTATGTTTGTATGATTTTGAATGATCATAATCTTAATAATAAATAAATTATTTTTTTTATATATTTCTTTGGTTTCTTCATTTTCAACTTAATTATTAATTATTAATTATTACAAACATAAATTATGTTTGTATGATTTTGAATGATCATAATCTTAATACTAAATAAATTATTTTTTTTATATATTTCTTTGGCTTCTTCATTTTCAACTTAATTTAATAGAATTTATAATTTATGTAATAAAAAAAAAAGCTGGTTTCTAAAAATAAATCACAGAGATATGTTCATACTAAACATTTAGTAGCGCAAAAGCTTTCTTTTTTTTTATGAGACTTTTTTCTTACTTTTTCTCATTCAAAATGATTTTGTGATAATTTTTTTTGGGGAGTTATAATTTTAAATATTCAAAAAACATGACTTCATTTTATTGATATATTAATAACAAAAATATTAAAAAATATTAACTTATATATTTTTGATTATATTTATTTATAATAAGGGATGGTCCATAAATTATGCAATGCTTAATTTCACTAATAAACAAAACAAAAAAAATCAAAAGTTTTTCCTCGCATATATAGAAAAAATCAAAATAGCACATTAAGTATAATGAAAATCGCCTCGTAATAGAGTTTAAGATCTCCTAATTCTTTTTTAAAAATAAATTTAGCATTGTGTAACATATGGACAATCCCTAAATAGCGTTTTAAAAAAATTATAAATTTACACTAAACCTTCATTTCCGTCTGAGAGATGACATTACAAACCAAAAAAATAATCAAAAACTAAAAACCGGGCTCCTAAAATTAAATATGATAACGCGTCTTACATTTAGAAATTAAATAATAGTTTTATGAACATTCCATGCTTTTTTGATTGAAGTAATTTTTTAATTTTATGAGCAATATTTTTTACTAGTTTAAAAATTGTAAAAATCAGTGTCACAATTACTTAAGTTAAAAAAAATTTCAATGTTGCAAATTCCCTTTTGATGATTGCTATTCCTGATTGATTGATTCAACTGCTTGAGCAGTTTATTTTCATTACAAACAAAAAAATTGTTAACTTGCAATGTAAGATAGAAATAGAACTTTTATCAAAAAGGTTTATATGTAAAAAAAAATTTTAATTCAATATTTTATTATTATATATAATTGTCAATAAACTAATGACAATTATATATAATAACAAAAAAATTATATATAAAAATAAAAATGTATTATAATAAAAAAATTATATATAATAATAAAAATGACAAATATATAGTAATTAAAATTTTTAAAATCAAACTAATTACAAACTATGCATTTAGTTACATAGTTTTTTGTTTTTTTGTTTTTTTAATTTTTGAAGAGTTATATGGTCATGTAGGCAATTTGATTATTTGTCTCTAGCCAAAGATGGTATTATAATTTTATTTCAAATAACCTTAATATGATTTGAAATTTTTTAATTAAATTTTTTTTTTTTTAGGATAGAGTCAGAAGTTAAATGGCCCAGTCCTGGATCATTTTTTTCTATAAACCTTAAAATGCTTGACCATTCTCCTTCCCTATGTTCCTCTAGTAATTCTAATCTTAGTGAAACAGTTAAAGACATTTTACCAAACACATTAATAAGTCCCTGTGAACCAGTTTCTAATTTAACACATACAAACAAAGAAAAACATTTACAGACAAAAGATGATTTGAAAGAAACCAGGAAAAGGTAAATTTATTGTTGTTTGTCATCTTTCTCTAAATTAATAAATGATTTTAAAGTAAATTACCAGTACAAGTTAAAACAAATTCTAAAGAATAATCAATAACAATAAAGTAACGCATTAAATTGAAAAATTTTTTTAAACTTATTTTAAAGTTTAAATATTTTTATTTTTTCAAAAAAAAAAATTTTCAGTAGTATTTGTTTATCATTAAGTATTTGTAAAAGTATTTTTTTATCACTAAACATATTCTTTACTTATATCTCATTTATAACTAATAAAAAAAATATATATTTTTATTTTGTAAAGTTTAGAATTTAAAAACTTTTTTTTATTTTAACATATCATGTGACTTATTAAATTGATGATGAAAATTTCCATCATTCAATCATCTTAATTATAAAGTTATTGTAAAACATCTTAAACCTAAATCCTATTTTTAAATAATAGTAGGCTGTAATATTTTGTTGATGACAACAGCTAAAGTAAAACAAAACAAAAAATATTTTAGAGTTAAATAATTTTTAAATAGTTTTTTAAATTTATTTTTATGGATATCAAACCCTATTCAAGTATTTTACCTATTCAACTTTTTAAATAGTTCTTCTTAAGAATAGTAAAGTAAATTTTATTTGTACACCTTTTATTGCAATAAATTTAAGTTCTATCGATGTATAAATATTAGGTTAAAAAACATGCAAAAAAATCTCGAATTTTAAAATACTCTTAAAAAACACTTATAAATACTCTTAAAATAAATAAAAATACTCTTTTAAATACTTTTAAAAATAAATAAAAAAACACTGCTTAAAAAACACTCTTAAAAAACACTGCTTAAAAAACACTTAAGTTATTATTTGAGCAGTACCCATTATAGTTAAATGTAGAAAAGAGAAAGAGAAGCAACATTATGGCGACGTGATAATAGTTGGAGGTTGGCTGCATGAGCAGGTCCAAGTATGTTTACAATGTGTTTAGAGATAAAGAATAGAATCTGTAGTAAGAAAGTGACGAGCACAATAAAGAGATGCAACCTCAGCAGATGCTAATTTTAAATTGGATTTGATTTATGGTTTCCAAGAAAGATCAGAAGTAAGAGTTAATCCAAGAAGATAAAGGATAAATGACTCATCGAGTACATTACTGTTCATAAATATAGGAAGATCTAAATTATTGCAATAAAGATTGGCTGAATAAATTGGGTTTTATCTAGATTAAAGTTAACCAGTCGCTGTGAGCCCCACGCTGTAGAGAAAGTGATATCCTTATCAAGCTCAAATTTTCCTGCCAAGCATTCAAAGAGTGTTGGCTTCTTATTAAGACAAGAATAAATGGTATCAGCAAACGATGCCACCTTATATGTAAGAAATCTGGAAGATCGCTAATGTTAATTAAAAAGAGTTTAGGGTAGAATTTTAAGAAACTCCTGAAGTTATAGAATATGAAAAAGAGTGTTGTCCATAGAGGACAACTTTTATACTTCGATTGGAAAGGAAGGATTCAATAATCTTAAAGATGTTTCCAGATACACCGTAAAAAGACCAGCATGCCAAACGTTATCAAAAGCTTTAGAAAAGTCAAAAGCAATCGCCTTAACCTCTCCACCTCTATCTTATGCGCAATAAAACCTATCAGTTAATACTTTTAGCAAATCAGCTGTAGAATGAGAAGAAATCCATAATGATTATCAAAAAGTAAGTAATTAGATTCAAGACGAGAGATTAAGTGTTAGTTAAGTGTTTTAAAAATAGGGATGGTTATCTTCCTTTAATTCTTTACGAATTAAAGGAAGATAACCATCAACACTTAGGTCACAAGATGAGACAGCTGAACCCAAATTAGTCTCAAAGAGCAAGTAGGTCTGATAAACTTTGCAAGAGATAAGACTCAACAGAAGAAAAGTTACTTCAAAGACCACGAATATTAGTGAATGACGTGAATGTGATTAGTGAATGGTTTAGAGGACTTAGTGATGACAATGGTTTTTTGTGTTTATAGTTTTTGGTACTTTAGTCATTTTTAAAATTGTTAAAGAACTCGACTCAAAGCATAGATACATTTCAACTGCAATATCAATTGCTTGAGCTAATAAATAGTGTACTTAGTACACTATTTATTAGCTTAAGCAATCGCCTTATTACCATTAATAAACCCTGAGCAATAACAATGGGCTCCAATTGTGACCTTAATAATGCACACCAAAAGTGCGAACAGGGACACTATCCATGCGCAACATGGCACTGTTAGTACTCTGATATTTTACAGCTGTTGATGGAATCAGCCTCTCTGAGAGCTACAACAGAGTGCAGGAAACCTGACTACCAGCTGGCCTCAGAACCATAAAACTGAGTTTTAGAGCTGCATCCTAATTAGGAGATAATAGAATGAGTTGCTAAGTTATAAAAACAGAAACACTAGCAAAACACATGCATTGAGTCAAGAAGATCCAGCATTCAACATCCTAATCTGGAAATAATGTATTATAAATACATTTGTGCCAGCCTAATAGGTAAAGAAGGGGTGCGAAGCTGGTCAACAGATAGAATCTGTTTACCCCTTTAGTGAAGGCCCTATAACTACTGGTGGAGTAATTACCTAAAACTCAAAAAACATAAAAATAAACTATATAAAAGCAAAAAAGCCTGATGGTTACCAATACCCATGCCTATGCATCAGCTAATTGGTCGAAGCATTGGTATACCCCTAATATAAATACAGATATACAAAATATAGATTTACAAACATAAACAATTTTTTAAAAAAACAACTTAACTTTAAAATATAACAACAAAGTCTTACTATATAAGTTCAAGCAATAAGTTATTTGTCCATAATTCAATTACTAAGTTATTAGTTTATTAGGTATCTTTTACAAAAAACTACAAAATTTTTATTGAAACCAAAAAAAAATTTATTTATACAGAAACTTTATTTTTATGATGATTTTTAATGAAACATATAGTATAAAAATCTTTAACATAAATGTTTAAATTTTTGTCTAAACTTTTAAGCTTTTAAAAAATTTTAAAAAATGTTTAAATTCTGATATGTTTTAATATGTTTTAATAAAAGATGTCTAATATGTTTTAATAAAAGCAGTAAATAATTGTTGCATGTTATATTTGCTATTTATGCTATTTCATACAAACTACTTGAGTTTGTATGAAATAGCAGCTCTGACGCAGTGGTTAGAGTTCTAGCTCAAATCATATATCAAATCAGCAATAGTAATAAATACATATATACCATTTAATAAGGTCATTTGATAAAACAACTCTTGCAATTAATCCAAACTTATCTACTCAATTGGTCAATTTGATTTTATTATTGTTGTTGATAGTAGTCTACCAACAACAAGTCAATTGCATGTACAAGTTCAACTAACAGTTTAAACCAAGAAATACAAAAATTGTTGGTAATGTTGAAATGAAAATTTCAGCCTATAAGAATGATGAATAGATTTTTATGTATTATTTTTTATTACTATTTTATAATAATCAAAAACATAACAATCTAAACAATATCATTATTTTTATTTGTATTTTTATTAATATTCATTATTTATGTATTCTTGTAGATCTTTTATTTTTCTTGATAAAAATAATGTTCTGCGTCATTTCAAAAATGCTCTACTTTATTTCAAAAGTGTCATGTGTCATTTCAAAAGTGCTCGGCATTATTTCAAAAGTGTTCTGCATCATTTTTAAAGTTTTCTGCATCATTTTTAAAGTTTCATACATTGTTTCAAAAGTGTCATTTCAAAATACCTCTAAAAAAGATTTTGTTCTTTATTTTTTGTGTAAAGTTCAATATTTTTCATATTCTTTATTTGTTTTTATTTTAAATAATAATTATTATATTTTAACATTTTAACTATATTTAGGAAAAATTTTTATTTTTTTATTTTCTTAGTTGTATTTCAAATTTTGTTACCATTAATTTTAGACTTATTTATTCTCCATTAAAGGGGACTCCTCCAAAAAGGTTATTTTTTGTTGTTACTATTTTTGTTTCAAACTTATATTATTTATTAAGAATAATATATTGTTGTATATTGTGTTGAAATATAATTGTTATTAAATATAATAAGTTATTCAGTAGTTTTATACTTTTTATTATTGTTGTTACTTAATGATTTGTTACAAGCAGATAGTTGAAATTTACTTAATTTTGCAACGTTCGCTGCCAACTACTAATTAGGCAACGTTCGCTGCCAACTACTAATATACTTGTTGTAAGTTTATTTGCCAACTATGAGTTTCAACTGCGAGAATACTCATAGTAAGTGTTCTGAGTTTGCCAGTAAGTAAATTTGTAGTTATACTAACTTATTTCAAATGATACAAGCATGATTGGCTTTGTCTATTCATATTATTTTTTTTTTCTTAGCTCAAATTTGGATAAAGGCAGAAATAGCTTAAAACAGATAAAAATACAGTATTGATATTGTTTTAACTTTGTTGTCTTTCTTAGGCTATTATAGTATGATACCTATGGGTGTACAGATGATAACCTTTTCCCAGAAATTTTTTCATTAAATCTAAAATAATAGCTCTCATTTGACCCAAAAAATGTTCATCAGGAGTTACCTCACCAGAATAGATTTTTACTTTTAGTACAATAAAATTCGATTTGCAAAGCTCATAGAACTTGATACCATACTTATGTCTTTTATTTTTCACATACTGCCTGAATACAAGATGTCCCTTCCAAAGCATCATTAATTCATCGATTGATATTAGAACGATTTTTATTAAGATAGTAGGTGTTGTCTATTGTATTGATTTAGTGATCGAGAACTCCAATAATTTTATACAAGTGTCCACTACCTGTCTTCATTGTTAGCAAAATGTCAAAACCGTAATATCAGTTGAAATTTATTTTGTGGCATTATTCTAAAAAACAAGGAAAATCTATAGAGACTGTTCTTAGACCAGTAGTGTTCTAAGGATGGATTTTGACACATCCCATATAAAAAAGAACTCTAAGGAACTGCCACATATCACTGAATTTATTGGTTTCTTTAAAATGTGAGCTTCTTCTGAGCGGATGCTGCTTATTGATTTCTTGCATTGTGTAGCAACTAGTTTTAATTACCATAGTATTAAAAGCTCTTCTGTAATAAATAGTCTAAATTAATCCAATTGTTTCTTGCTCTCCATGTTAATCTTCAAACCAGGATTAGCAGTAATTAAGTTTGTTTTACAATATTCGGCTCATCTTTACATTGATTTTAATTTCTGGATGGATTTGTTTCAGAAGTTATTTCGTCAAGCAAAATATTTCTTATAAGATCTACTCACAATCTTCCACAACCATATGTGTTGATTCCATTGTGGAATATCTCTGTTGAGCTGATATGAGATAGATAAGTTTATAAATTATCTATTTATAAAAGAGAATTTACATATTTATAAAACACATTAATTAGTATCAATTAAACTGTGGCTGGATAGCTCAGTTGGTTAGAGCATTGAACGAAAAGTTAAAACCCGGACTGTTGTACAATATGGGTTCAAATCCTGCCGCTGCCAACTAAGTGCTTGAGAGTACTTCTGTATGCAAAAATGTTGGTCAATAACGGACGCTACTTTGGATTAGTCTTAATGACTATTTGTGGATGTTTCTATGCTAAACCAACAATATCTTCGGATAAAAGCATTGTATAGAAAAATATAGCATGAAAATTCAAATAAAAAAAAAATAATAATAAAAAAAGTATCCTGTGTAAAATATTCGAAGTGCACACTAAAATGTTTTTTAATATATTAAAAAACATTTTAATGTGTACCTCGAATTTTTTCACATTATTAATAACATGCAGTACATATAATGTAGTTATCATATATATTTTAGATTCTAGTCTAAAAAACAACAAAAAATAACTGTCAATGTGCATCTGCAAAAAAATTGAAACACTATTTTTAATAATAATGCATCAAATAAGCTTACTAGTTACCACAATTAGTTACATCATTGCGGTGTTCAGAGCATACTCGTTCAGCACTGGAGAAAAAAGTTATTTATACATTAGCTTTGTTAAAGTTACATTTTAAAGTTATAAGGAAAGAAAGATAAACAGTGAGATCTGGACCAATGTTTTCTAACATCTGAAAACAATCTTCAAAAATGGAAAGACTAGCTTGGATAAAAGTTAAAAAGTTAATTTAAATCCCTTCCAAAAACGTTTTGTCAGAATCTTAAAGAGGGTTAGCATAATGACCATATGTGGCAACTTTTATGAAAGGAAATTTTTAAATAAACATTAAACAAAAACCTTTTTATTAAACATAAATGTTATTTTTTAAATGTTAATCATAATTATAATCAGTATAAGAAATGATAATAGAAAAATTAAAAATAGAAAAAAATGACAAACAAATCAAATGAATGTGTTGCAAAAGTGAAAGTTACTAGTAGCTGTAGTTTTATAAATATCAAGCTCAATTAAAATATTTAAAAGTTATTTGTGATTTAATTATTGTTTAAATAATAGTAAACTATATTATTTAAAAACTTTGGCATATAAAATTTGCCGAATGGTCACACACAAGCAGTGAACGCCTGAGGGAAGAAATGAAGTACATTAGAATAAAGGAGAATTATTTATTTGACAAAGCATATTTTGACAGTTGTCAAGACAAAAGTAAAGATTAATAGGGGAATATTTAAAAATAAATAAGACAGGCTATACACCCAAAATAGTACTCAACAACTATAACAATAAAAATAAATAAATGAATAAAAAATTGTTTTAAAAACACCAATATGAACATTTAAAAATAATAAAAATGTAAGCGGCATATATACAACAAATACATACATTTAATTAAAATATTTAAAAGTTATTTGTGATTTGCGGTAATGGTGTAGTGGTAGAGCGTAGAATGCGGTAGTGGTGTAGTGGTAGAGCGCTCGCTTCATAAACGAGTGGTTCCGAGTTCGATCCCCACCACGTCCCTGGTAGTACCGCGCTCAACTCGTTTCCCCGCGCAGCGGCCTTGTTTGTCAAGGTTCGTGTTTCGGAGTTATAGAGTTGAGAGAGGATTATAACCACAAATAAGTAGCTTCCTCGTCTGTAGTGGCCTTCTCGGCCTTGTGGAGGTGAATTTAAAAAAAAAAAAATTAATTAATTATTGTTTAAATAATAGTAAACAATTTTGCTACATATCTAATACAATTATTTTTACTTATACTTTTGTATCTATACAATAATCATGTATGTGTGTAGATGTTAAGAATAATATTTTACAATTTACCAGTAGTTTGATAAAAGTATTTATACAGGTGAAATAATGTTTAGAATAATTAGTTCTAATAAATTTTATAATTTTATAATAAAATGTATTCAAATTTAAAGTATTATTTTTTCATATTGTTGACATTGAAAGTTGTAATTTTTTCTTTGTTAATACATTTTTTGACACTAATTTTGACATGCTTTTTTTGTTTGTTTTATATTCCTAGTTTTTTTTCATGTTTAAGTTTATGTTTTTATATTTTTATAATTATGTTTTCATGTCTTTAGATTGCGTGTGGAAAATGAAGACGTTGATTTAGAAAGTAGTTTTAGGTTTGATAATACTATGAAAAATTATTTACGTCCATTCGACTGTTCAACACCTAATCAACCTAAAAAAAAACCTTCATCACCAACCTCATTACCAACCTCATCAACATTTGATCATCATAACAATAATACAGATATTGATTTCAAAAGAGTTGGTATGTTTGTAAAAACATAGTTTTTAAAATGTTTTTTGAGCTATATGTACTAATATATATATATATATATATATATATATATATATATATATATATATATATATATATATATATATATACATATATATATATATATATATATATATATATATATATATATATATATATATATATATATATATATATATATATATATATATATATATATATATATGTATATATATATATATATAAAATGACAACCCAAAAAGCAACACTTTTACACATATATAGACACACACGCATACACACATATATGTAAAGAATGCCAAAGTAACAATGCAGTCATTGCTCCCTAGTCAACCACTAATTATTATCGCATAATATTTTCAACAAAATAAAACAATTATCTAAGCTAAAGTAGAATAATTGTAATTAAAAATAATACTGCCTCCAAACAATTGCTAAAAAATTAATTTGGGCAAAAAATTTTGGCTTTTTTTAATTTTATTTTTAATTTTTTTTATTATTTGATAGATTGCCTGCCCCAACCAAACCCTCAGTCAATGTAGTGACACTTCTTTATAGCAGCAGGCTATAAGATAGTTGATATAGCAGCACTCCCTTGTAGCAGCAGGCTATTAGATAGTCGATGTAGCAGCACTCCCTTGTAGCAGCACGCTATAAGATAGTCGATGTAGCAACACTCCACACATGTTATACAGTAAAAAAATAAAAACAAAACATTCAAATTGTTTTTATTTAAAAAAAAACAAAAAAAACATTCACAATTTTTCTTTTAATTTTTTTTCATTCACAATTCTGTCTTTTAATTTGCGTTTTTGTGGTTTTTTAAAAAAACAATAAGTTTAATTAATTTCCTCAATTAAGTTAATGCGTTTTGTTATAATCTAACTTTAATTTTGTCCATGGCGGAAGGGGTATCGCCATCCAAATATTTTTCCTAAAATAGTCCCTGATATATATATATATATATACATATATATATATATATATATACATATATATATATATATATATATATATATATATATATACATATATATATATATATATATATATATATATATATATATATATATATATATATATATATATATATATATATATATAAATATATATATATATATATATATATATGTATGTATATATATATATATATATATATATATATATATATATATATATATATATATATATATATATATATATATGTATATATGTATATATATATATATATATATATATATATATATATGTATATATGTATATATATATATATATATGTATGTATATATATATATATATATATATATATATGTATGTATATATATATATATATATATATATATATATATATATATATATATATATATATATATATATATATATATATATATATATATATATATATGAGGCGTATATATATATATATATATATATATATATATATGAGGCGTATATATATATATATATATATATATATATATATATATATATATATATATATATGTATGTATATATATATATATATATATATATATATATATATATATATATACATATATACATATATATATATATATATATATATATACATATATACATATATATATATATATATATATATATATATATATATATATATATATATATATATATATATATATATATATATATATATATATATATATATACGCCTCAGCGGGAATAAATAAGTGCAAGAGCAGAGAAAGGCTCTCCTAAAATGAAATGAACATGGCAAAATGAACATGGCGAGCCATGCAAGTTGCTCCGCTAAACAGCTTTTTACAAGAGCTTTTAGTTTATCTGAATTTGGTTTATCGTGAATTATCTGTTTATTCATTAAAAGAATTGCTTAGTAAATGCAAAACTTGTTACAAGCCAAGGCGCAACAAATCGTTTTTTTTTTTTTTTTAATGAGCAATGATGTTACTATCTTTATTTTATGACAAATGTCTAATATAAGAGATATATATCATATAAGAAAGTTTTATATTCAAATAATTTTTATTCTAGTTAATAAGTTATTAGATATATCAAAGATGCTTATTGAATTTAATCAATTATTATTTTTTCAAAATAATTTTTTATGCACTTGCAAAGCTCACACAAAATAATGATAATTAATATGCAATGACATAAAGATTGTAAATTGTTATCTATTGATACTAAATAATGAGTTTTTCTCAATTTAGTTTGCTAAATTTATTTACAAATAAAAAAACGAATAAACTTGAAGAAATTAAAACAAAAAGAGCTAAAAATAAAATAAAAGTTTTTTTTGACATTTCTTTTTTAAAACTTTTAAAATAATATCATATTAAGTATTTAATAATAAGTTAATAAAAATATCATATTATTGGCATTGTTAAACGCACAAAGAAATATAAAAACTATAATAAACATAGTATTTCTATACATTCTATTAGATTATTCTTCAGCAAAACTTAAAAATTCTGTTCAAAATTTTTAAAAGTGTTTTTAATATCCAAGTTTCTTTTATAGCATACTTTCTTTTATAGCATATTTAGTTGTTTTACTTAAAAGTAACACTATTGAAGAAAAAAATTGCTGAAGTAATGCGTTCTTTTTTAAAAATTTTAAGCAAATGCTAATGTTGTATATGCAAAAATAACGAAACAAGAGGCTCGTTTTTCTTTTTAACAAATGTTTGCATGTTTGTCGGTTTTTTGAGCCCTGCAAGCATACGTTTGTTACGTTAATATTACAAGAATATACACATAACATATATAATATATATATATATATATATATATATATATGTATATATATATATATATATATATATATATATACATACATACATATATATATATATATATATATATATATATATATATATATATATATATATATATATATATATATATATATATTTATCAACTCTTGGAATAATGGTCGGCATTCGGTATTGCTGACCTCGTCTCGATATTTTATGGTAAGATCTTTGTATTTGCTGACCTGATGCCGACCTCTAAAAGATTGAGGTCGGCAAATTATTGCTGACCTCGATCTTTTAGAGGTAAGTTCTCATAGGTTCATTCTGAAAATTAAAGTTAATTTTAGATATAATTATATATAATTTTAGGGGTTTGGTGCCAGTTCTGTGATAAGTAAGTTTCTAAAAGTTAAATTCAAATGTCAAGTCAAATTATAGTATTATTTATAATATATGTTATAATAGTATATAATATAAATTGTACTAAATAAAGTTTTTTACTTTAAAATAAGATCATAAAATCTTAGAATATCTAAGATCGGCCGTTCAATAGTAAATATTTTTTTGTAGTTGTTTTGCCATATTCTAATAAAATCTTTTTAAGTAGGCTGAATTGTGTTTAAATTGTTGTACCTTTTTTTTTAACCTTTTTTTTGAGGTTTTCTTCTGGCTTTCTGTCAATTAAACTTTACCTGTTTCTTTTTTCAAATCCCTAGTAATACCTTTTATTATTATTTTTTGTTTTGTTTTATTTCAATTCACCTCCCCAAGGCCATGTAGGCCACTACAGTCGAGGAGGCTACTTTAGTTGTATTTACAACCCTCTCGAACAAACTTGGTAGTACATCACTCAACTTGTTTCTCTGCTGCGCAAAGAAACAAGTTAAGTGCTGTACTACCAAGGACGTGGTGGGGATTGAACTCAGAACTTCTTACTTATGAGGCAAATGCTATACCACTACACCACTACCGCATGCTTTTTTTTTTTTGGTATAATTTTAGCATTGTTTTAGTTGCTAATACCTTTATAATTGTTGTTGAGCTGATGTCTTTTGTCACTCTTTGGAAAATTGTCTCTCAACCTAAATTGTGGTTGTTTGCAGCTATTTTGGGAGTGAATTCATTAACAAATAAAAAATAAAAAATCATTTAATTAGATAATATTTTATCAATATTGATGCAACAAAAACTGTATTGTGCAAAGAACCATTTCTATATATTCCATGCATGAAATAAGAAAAAAAGCAACTTCAACTTGTGAGTTCTTTGTATGAAGAAACTGTAAATGAGCTTGCAACAAAACTGAATGAAAATATTGTCCTTTGGCCGTACTTGCATTATTGTGGTTAACTCTTTATACATTGTGAATATAGGAATATTTGAATTGTTGTGAATAATGCTATATATGTTGAGTGGTATATTTGAAAAATGCTTAGTGTACTGGAATTGAAAAAACATCAAAACCAGATGGTACCAACATATATAGTCTGAGTGTACGAAGTTTTTTTGCTTCATATTATTTGTATTTACTTTTATTTGTTTCTTTATACTGTTTTGTATTTTCTTTCTATTGCTGCTTTCTACAGCTGGAAATTCAGTTATTCAGTTAAGACGCTCTCAAAGGAAGTCTTCGGAGTTTATTAATATGAACCTAAGTACTATGGTTGATCTCTGCACCAATAGGTCTAAATTTGATAAAACCGCAAAAAAATCTGATGAAAGTTTGCAATTAAAAGGTTTGCTTTATATAGTTAATATTTTTATATTAAAATATTTGTTAGACAAAAAATACATTGTATTTTTTTGTCAAGAAATAATTTGTTTAACTAATATTTTTAGGAATCGGTTACTCAAAAATACTTTGTATTTTTTGCGTAACAAAAAATTTTTTGGTTTTAGAATATTTTTAAAAATTGATTAGTCAAAAAATACTTTTTATTTTTTTGTCTAATGAATTTCTAAAACTTTGTAAAACAAGTGTATTAGTGAAAAAGAAATTTAGTTTTTAAACACCTCAGCAGTTACAAAGATATCTATCAAATTTAGTTCCTAAACACCTCAGGAGTTACTAAAGATATCTATCTTTAGTAACTAAAGTTATTCAAGTTTTTACTTATTACGCTAATTAGATACTAAGTTGTTAATTTTACCTCCTACAGAGCTACCTTTAAATGAACAATTATTAATTATATTTTTTTTTTTGTAAAATAAAATATTTTTGGAAATTGTTACATTAGTTATATTTATGGAGTTTTTATCGAGGAAAATAATTGTAAATTGAGATTTTTAGTCATTTATGTTTAAAAAAAAAAATGTCAAATGCGTTATCAAGGTAAGTAAGAAAAAAAAAAAGTAAGTAGAAAGAAGAATTAAGAAGAAAGTAAGAAGAAAAAAAATTGTAATTGTATGGTATGTGGTATTATATCACATTCTATTGTATGGTATGTGGTATTATATCACATTCTATTGGAGTAATGTGTTATATTATTGAAAATAACTTTTTTATTTGTTTTTTATCAAATCCAAAAGCAAATCGAAATGAAGTTTCAATTCATAAAGAATCTGCAAAGAACAATAAATCAAAATTGAACTCAAACAAAACTTTATCAAATCAAAATGAAGTTTCAACTCCTAAAGAATCTGCAAAGAACAATAAATCAAAATTGAACTCAAACAAAACTTTATCAAATCAAGAGGAAGTTTTAGCTCCTAAAGAATCTGCCAAGAACAATAAATCAAAATTGAACTCAAAGTCTGATGACACCAAAAGAACATCAAATCGTAAGTTGCAAAATTTGCTAAAATTTTAGTTAAGCTTTGCAATGTCACTTGAATGTGACATTGCAATTGAATGTGAAGTAAAAAGTCAATCATTTAGTCAGAAATTCTATAATTAAAAACTTTCAATGGTTCTTGAAATTGCAAAGATAAATTTATAAATTGTAAAGAGTTTACGATAATCAGCGTTACTGAATAACATTTTAAATATGCACAACATACATTGCATTGTTATTTCAAAAATAGTTTTCATCAATAAACCTGAAAGTAATTGAACATTTTATCTTTTTTATATTTATGAACAATTAAAGAATTTTTTAATCTGTCTTAAAATTTTATTTTTAAATATTTTTAAGTTTTAATATTCTATTAAAATGTTTTTTATATTTTACTAATGCTGGATATTCAATCATAAAAATTGTTACATTGAAGATTAGTAAATTTAAAATATTATTATTTTTCATAGTTTGTTTTTCAGATATATTGTATTATCAAATACAATCATAGACTTCATTTTGTCAATCTTTTCACACCTTTTTTTTTTTAAATGTTTCATCAAAAATGTTAATGTGAATTAGATTTAATTGACGAATTAGGGATCTAATTAAAATCTAAATAAAATTTAAAAAAATCTATTTAAAAAGGATCTATTTAAAATTAATGAATTAGGGATCTAATCTAACACAGAATCAGTTTTAAAAAACCAGTTGCTTATTCTGTTTTACCGCATTTATTTAGGTTAAATACTAAATTTAAATTGTTTTTGCAACATGCAGTTTTCAAATATTGAGGCATATGTAAAAGTATATATAAGTTATTCAAATATTTCGATATATGTATAAGTATGGTTATTCAAATAATTAGACATAAATAATGTATAAATAATGTATATAAGTAAAATAAGACTCAAGATTTTATATATAAACATGTTTATAAATAAAATATTTGTTTTATTTTAGGAAAAAACAAAACACAGTTAATCTTACAGTTAACTCTTATCTTACATTAATTATCTCACTCTAGGTTTTATTTTTATTAGTTTAGGTAGTGATTTTTCTTATTAGCTTTATGTGTTTCCTGACTACCAAAAGAATGTCTTTGATCCTCTTAGGAAGTTGATCTTTTGGTAGGGTCTGTTTTAATCATACTGATACTTCTTTCTGCACGGTTATTGGTCACACTAAGCTCAATAACTAATTGAATGAAATGCTTAAATGAATTTAATGCTAAGAAATCACTTGTGAAAAGCCATTCAGGAATAAATTCGTTGTGACCTGTATGTATAAAAAAAGATTTTCATTTTAATTGATACTTTTATTTACTATCATTGAAGATATTAACAGCAGCTTCTACAGAAATCTCTGATAACTCAGTAATCTGAAATTTTAAGAGTTTTTTAATAGTTTAAAATCTTAGCTTCTGCTTTCAGATCAGTATTGTTTAAAAATAGTTGGACAACTTTAGAAGGCAAATATGATTTGACAAATCATTTGTGGTGACTAATACTTTTTTGAAATAAATTTTTAACTTCATGATCCCATTCTATTTAAATTGTTTTAGCAGTTTTAAATGCTCTGCATTACTGAATTTAAGAAAGGTTCGATGTAAATAGCTACAATAAATGCTACTCTTGAGACCATATCTTACTTTTCAGGAGTCAGATATTCATTGATAGTGGATGTCATAAAAAAATTTTTTTTAAGCTTATTTACCTCACCAAGGCCAAGAGGGTTACTACAGTCTAGGATCCTTCTTTATTGTGGTTGCAACCTTCTCTCAACTCTCTAAATGTGAAATATGAACCTTGACGAACAAGGTTGCTGTTTGGAGAAACAAGTATATGGCATAGACCATAAACCTTGTATTGTGACATGAAGTTTTCTACAGTACCACTGGCTGAAACCTTGAGATAAAATTATATTTCTGCTGAAAATCATTTAGCAACTTATTAGTCTTTTCCTCCCAACTTGGTTTAAAATCTACATTCAGTATTTACATTCAAATGGTTCAAAAAATCTGTGTAATATGGTGCTTACACAAATACCAAAGAAATTCTCAAGTAATTTTTCTAGGTAAGTTATTGCATCAGATTTCCATCTAGTATTACTTATTGTAGTGTCAAAACAGAAGTCTAGAATAAAGTATGCCATTTCAAATTATTCTAAGAGATTTATAATACTTATAGCCATATTGCATCCTTTACCTCACTCAGTTATTATGACACCAAGAAAGTCATTTTTGGTTTAAAACTCTGAGCTAGTTACTGATACTGATATTTTGCCTCATACTGGTACTGATATTTTGGATAGTTGTCTGTCTACTGTCCTCCTCAATATGCTTTATAATTTTACCATCAAAATAATATAACATATATAAAAAATTAAATCTCATAGTTAACGATGCTTCAAAAAGTAATAACCAAATAATTTTTTTTCCGGATACCTTAAGAATTGTATAACTTTTTTTGTGGCATTAACTAAACGCTATATAGTATTACAGCATTATAGTAGCATTATACTTAACAAAATAAGTGTTGTTGCAAACAATTGCAAAATAAGGAAATAGATATAGGCACTTCAATAAAAGCTATAAAAAATTTTAGTGATGAGCATGATAACATATTCTAAAGATAAAGGGTTTGAAAGTTGTTGCTAACATGGGTGGAATTAACTACTATATTAGATTAGAAACAGACCATTAAGTTCACAGCGTAAACAATGTTTAGTTTTTGTTTATTTTATTTCACCGTTTAAAAATGTTTACAACAATATAAAAAAAAAATACAATCGGCTGGAGCGAGAAGATGGCATAAATTAGTTTTGTCATTAACTCAAATAATAACGCTTCTAAATATCGGTATCATATAAAGGTTTGTCCATATACTAACCTAGAAATCTTATTAGTCATTAAGTCAATATAGATCTCCTTTCTTTCTCTTCCTTTCATTTTATTTCCTTTGATACATTTACTTAAAAAACTGCACCATTGTACCTAAAATTCCTTGCATAGAAATGATGTAGTTTTTTAACTGAACTAGAAATCTTTATAGCAATTTAGGCGCTGCATCTTCAATTATTGAGTGAGAAGTTTTTGTCCTAATTAAAAATGCCAATTTTCAGGAATCAAGCTCAAAAAACAGACACCAGTTTAGAACAGCTTGGAGGAGATGCTAGACAGCTAAAGTTAGGCAGAGAATAAAGTTAGGAGACGTTATAGATTTTTAGCTTAGTTAAATGTTTATATTCTACATTATTTTTCAATTCCAAAATAAAACAAATATTTTTATGTAAAACAAGTTGTGTTTTATTTTTATATTACCTAATTGTGATTTAGCTCCTTTTTTTTAGGTGTAATAAGTTTCTTATTATCTGGATCTATTTCATTGATAAAGAATATATTATGGCCTCTTCTTATCAATTTTCTCGTTAATACCGCAAATGATTGAATTGATGCTTTTCTGAACAAGATCTTTGTATTCTTTTTTTCCTCTTGCATCTATAAATTTTTTTCTGAAACTTTTTTTAAGCTTTATATTTGCAGATATGATCTTATTTCTGTTAGTTCTGTTATAAAAAGATTCTGTGTAACATAGATGTGAATAAAAAACAAACGTTTTTTTAAGAACACATCATTTCAGTTGGTTAAATCTTTAGAAATATATATTGAGCAAATAATACTTATGATTATGTAAGAATACCAAACCACTAATGTCAAACATATCTATCATAATGTTAAACTCATTTTTTTTTGCATAAATATATTTCTTATATATATTTCATAAATTTCTGTTTTGATCAGAAAGTTCTTACTGTTGCACAATCAATCAATCATATATATTCTGAAAATTAATTTCATGGATATTTACAAATAGTAATTCTACTAATCTTAAGTAAACACCAAAAATACAGATCTTTATATATATAATTAGTAATAATTATAAGATAATAATAAAAATAATATTTATAGTAATAAACATATGAACCACAATAATAATATTGATAATAAAAACAATAACAATTATAATAGTAATTGTAATAACAATAATAATCGAAATTATAAGTCACATGTTATTCATAAACACAATAGCTAAATATATATATATGAGTTAGTTACAAACAGTTGACTGAAAAAACGTAACAACTAACAAAGACATCAAACAGTTATTTAAATTGAAAATAATAAAATAGGAATAATAATAGTAAAGTTAAAAGTAATAATAATAGTGGTTACAATAAATATTTAAAATTACTAGTAATAATACTATAACAAAAAACATAACAAAAATATGATAAAAATTTAAAAAAAAATGAAGAAAAACAAAAGAGCATTAAAAAAAATGAGAAAGTTTAATTTTGTTACATACATACACAAACATAAATATAAAGATGTAAACACATACTTACCCACATGCATAGATACACACATATTTGCACATAAATATACACGCGCGCGTACATACACTCACATACATATGTATACATACACATATATATGTGTATGTATAGATATGTATGTGTGTGTATCTATTTTTATAGATACATATACATATATAGCTTTAAAATATATACTTTTTATTTACAACTTTAAAAATATACATTTAAAAAAAATGTCCAACCAACGTAAAACTAAAAAAAACAAAAAAAAAAAAAAAAAACGATGCAAACAACGCATTAAAACATACAATAATATGAACTATACACTACATTTCCCAATATACTATACACAAGAATACAAAAATAAAAAACAACAACAAAACAAACGTCCCTCAAAATAAATAAAATTAAAATTTTTTTTTTCGTATCTTCCAAAATGGAGCGATTTCTATATTTTATTTTAATTCACACACTTTTATATTTGCCATTCAGAGATTTTGTATTTTTTGCTTAAATATTTTTTTATTTTTAGAATACTTTTAGAAATTTATTAGTCGAAAAATGCTTTTTTTTTTGTTTTTTTGTCTAGCGAAATTATAAAACTTTGTAAAACAACTGTATTACTGTAAATTTAGACCAATAGGTCTAAATTTGATTAAATTGCAATAAAATCTGATGGCAGTTGGCAATTAAAAAGTTTAAAAGTTTTAAATAAATATTTTTATAGAAATATATTTGTTAGACAATAAATACTTTGTATTTTTTTTGTCTAAGAAATATTTTTTTTAACCAATATTTCCAGAATATTTTTAGAAATTCATTAGTCAAAAAATACTTTTTATTTTTTTGTCTAACGTAAAAATTAGTAAAAACATTTCTAATACTTTGTAAAAAAATTATATTAGTTAAAAAAAGAAATTTAGTTCCTAAACACTTCAGGAGTTACTAAAGATATCTATCAAATTTAGTTCCTAAACACCTCAGGAGTTACTAAAGATATCTATCAAATTTAGCTCCTAAACACCTCAGGAGTTACTAAAGATATCTATCAAATTTAGTTCCTAAACACCTCAAGAGTTACTAAAGATATCTATCAAATTTAGTTTCTAAACACCTCAGGAATTACTAAAGATATCTATGAAGTTATTTAAGTTTTTACTTAGTACACAAATTAAATACTAAGTTGTTAATTTTATCTCCTACAAAGATTTTAAATGTTTTGATTAACAATTATTTTTTTGTTAAAAATTTTTTTTTGTTAAATAAAATATTTGTGGAAATTGTTAAATTAGTTATATTTATGGAAATGAGTTTTTATTGAGGAAAATAATTGTAAATTAAGATTTTTTTGTCATTTAAGTTTTACAAAAATAATGTCAAATGCATTTTAAGGTAGTGAGCAAAAAAGATAAATGTGATTGTATTAGTGATGTACCAATGAAAAAGGCCGATTGTGGCTAATAATAAGTTTTAATGTATGTATATAAAGGTAATATATTAATATTAAGTATGTAACTTGTATATATCAGGCTTTCACAGGAAGGCGTGCGATCACACGTCTTTATATGACCAGGCAAATTACATTTTGCTATGGCGATTTGACCGTGGCTAATTCAAAAAACATTTTAAAAACGCGCTAAATGAAAAATATACTGAAAAAGTGAAATTAATTACATCAAACTTCTTAATAAATGTTTTTATATTAGCCAAATGCTTTTAAATAAAGTAACAATTTACTGATGTTTTTTTTTTTTAAATATAGTTGACAGTTGTATATGTTTTTTAAATTTGTATATTTATAAATTTAAAAAACATATATTTTATAAATTGTTTAAGTGTGCATTTCTATAATAAACGTTATTAAAAAATAAAAAATTGTTTTGTTTTTATAAGTAATGACATTCTACAACTACGAAAGTCTCTTTAACGAATTTTAATATAAGAATAATTAAAGTTAATACTAATAAATAATAATTTTTAATAATAAAAAAAAAAGTTTTAGAAATCCGTTACCATTAAATAAGTTTGATCTTAAATGCTTTTATATTATCAAGACGCTTTTCAATGAAGGAACGAAATACTTCTAATTAATTTTTAAAATAAGTATTAATAAACTGTTGGTTTTTTTATTTATATAATTATCTATTTTTCATGAAAAAAGTTTATCTTTTGAAACATTAAATAATAATAAAAAAAGTACAAATGTTAAAACAAAGATTGAAATGGTTTTTTAATGCATAAATTAAATAGACTAAGCATTTTAGTTTAATGAGTTTTGTTTTAGTTGGTTAATTTCTCTTTCATTAAGATTTTTTTTCTTTATACAATTTATTTTTTTTAGATAAGTTTAGGTAAGCGCATTTTTAAATTTTGAAAATATGTCAAAAGTTGTGGTCAAATCATTAAAACATATTATTTTTTGATTGGTTATTTAAAGATATGCAATCACACGCCTTCCTGTGAAAGCCTGATATATATATTGCATATATGCACCAGTAGTGGTTTGGCCTATTAGATAATGTTGATGCTTTGGCCAATACCAATTAATTAGCTTAACTATCAAACGATAATTGACCAATTAATAGTCAATAGTTAAGCAGATTAATTGGCGTTAGTCGAGGCATAAAAATTAGCTTATATGCCAAACCACTACTGGTGCATAGATGCACATTATATATGCAAGTTACATACTTAATATTGATATATATATACCTTTATATATACATTGAGCCTTATTATTAGTCACAATCAGCCTTTTTCATTGGTACATCATTAATACTATCTTTTTCATTGGTACATCACTAATCCAATCTTTTTTTAATCTGTTGGAGTAGTGTGTTATATTATTGAAAATAACTTTTTAAATTTTATTTGTTTCTATCAAATCCAAAAGCAAATCGAAAGGAAGCTTCAACTCACAAAGAATCTGCAAAGCCAATATTGAACTCAAGTAAAAGTTTATTGAATCAAATTTTAATTTTTTTTTTAATTTAATTAATAAAAGTAATTTTAATAAAAAATTTAAGTAATAAATACTATTACTTAAAATTTGTGTGTCTTATATTAAAAAAAGAACTTGTATTATAAAAAATAATTGTTTAAATAATTATTTTAGTTTTATTTGTTTTGTAATATTTCTTTTAAATCTAAAAGCAGATCAAAATGAAGTTTCAACTCCTATAGAATCTGCAGGAAACAATAAATCAAAATTAAATTCAAGTAAAAGATTATCATATCAAGAGGAAGTTTTAGCTCCTAAAGAATCTGCAAAGAACAATCAAAAAAACAAATCAAAATTGAACTCAAAGTCTGATGACATCAAAAGAACATCAAATCGTAAGTTGCTAAAATTTTAATAAAACTCTGCAATTTAATCCAAAAACCTGATGTAAAAAGTCAAATATTTAGTCAGAAATTCTATAATTAAAATCTTTCAGCAAGTTTTGAAATTGCATAAATTTACAAATTCTAAAGAATTTAGGATAATCAGCGTTATTAAACATTTTAAATATGCACAACATGCATTCTAAATTTTCATCAATAAGCCTAAAAGTAATTGAACATTTTATCTTTTTTATATTTATGAATTAAAGAATTTTTAAACAATAAATCAATAATCAACTCAAGTAAAATTTTATCAAATCAAATTTTTATTAATTTTTTAATTAATAAATTTAATTTTAATAAAAATTTAAAGTAATAGTGTCTTATATTATGAAAAGTAATTGTTTAAATAATTATTTTTGTTTTATTTGTTTTGTAACATTTCTTTTAAATCTAAAAGCTAATGAAAGAGAAGTTTTAACTCCTAAAGAATCTGCAAAGAACAATAAATCGGACTCAAGTATATCAAAGTCTGGTGACAACAAAAGAACATCAAAACGTAAGTTGCAAAATTTGCTAACATTTTAATTAAGCTCAACAATTTAATTCTAAAATGTGAAGTAAAAGTCAAATATTTAGTCAAAAAGTTTATAATTAAAAACTTTCAGTGCATTTTGAAATTGTAAAGCTAAATTTATAAATTGTAAAGAGTTTACAATTTAAAAGTTAAAACTTTAAAATATTCAAGAAGAACACATAATGGTTGTTTTGCAGTTAGCTTAAAGGCCAGTTAAACAGGTATACAGAGCTATGAAATTAAAACTTGCCACATAAGACTTTTTTAAACACAAAAAAGGCATATAAGGGTTCTATATGCCTGTTTTGTGTTTTAAGAAATTAACTTGATATTTAACTATTAAAATTTTTTAATGCTGTTATTCTTCATTATAAGTTTTAATGCTGTTATTCTATAAATTTTAAGTTTTTTATGTTATTTATGTTTCATTATTTAACATATATTATTATCTATATCATTTTTTTATCATTAATTATTAGTTAAAACTTTATTTGTTAAATTCTTTAACATAACAGGGTGTAAACTAGCCCTGTGTAGCCCAAAATAAAATAAAAAATCCCATACTTCAAATAAAGTTTGCCAAATTAAAGTTTAATAATAGTTCTAAAAATTATTGAAAATTATTTATTATTAAATACTAATAAAAAAATAGCATAAGAAATTCTAATTTATTAATTGTGTGAAACTTAAAATAAAACTGCCGTTATTGGTATAACTACACAATTGCATAACTGCGAAAATGTCTCTTGGAAAATTGGAATTTTCCCAGCGATTTTTGGGATTTTTTCAGCAACTTGCTTGTAAAATGCTCTTCTTATTGTTTGCAAATTCTTTGCAATACCTTGCAACATTAGCAAATATTATATAAAAAGTTAGTGAGAAATAAAGTACAATTTAAAAATTAACAAATTTGTTTGATTTAACACCTGCAAATGCTATATCTTTAAAAGTTTCGCCTGTATTGGCTGAAAATTTAAATAACTTATTAAGTCTTACTGCAAACTCTACTTCAAGTAGTATGTGTGCTTTGTCAACAAAGTTGATTCAAAATGTCAAGAAGTCATTTATATTATGGTATATAACGGTAAGTTCTTTTTTCTTTTTTTGTTTGGTAGTTTATATCAACTGAATTAAGTGATCGCATTAACTATAATCTTTTTTTACTTAACAGCATCAACTAAAATTTTTTTTTACCTATCATTTCTTGACTAATACTTTTAAAAAGCCATCTCTGTAACATATGTTAAATACAAAAAAGTTTAATGATTATTACAAAATGGTACTAGAAATTTATTTAATGACTCGGTGTAGTTAAATCAATTTATAAAATATTAGAATTCTTTAATTTCCCAGTGGGCACAGGACTTAAAAAAGATGTCTTTTGATCATTCAAAAGACGTTCAAAAAATGTTTAAAAGGCGATTAAAAAGCATTTTTTTTACATCCTGTGCCTACTGGGTTGGAACTAGCCTAATTTTGTCAGCGTAATATGTCCAAACAAGAGCTTTAGATTTTTTTTGCTTCAAGTTTTTTTAAATGTTTAAAGAAACTTTTCTCTTTTTTATATAACTCTATATAAATTTTATAGTTTTATAGTTTTTTCTTCTCTTTTTTATATAATTTTCAAAACTTATTTAATACTTTATTTGTGAACCTGAAGAACACTAATTTTGAGTCTTTAGACCAACTCTGCTCAACTGCGTTAACTTAATTTTAATTAAAAGTTATATTAAAAATAAAATAAAAGTGTCTTAATTTAATATAGATCCTAGCTCAAGAAAGAGTTTACAATTAAGAAAAGTTGCCAATAAATGATCAGAACAGATAAATAAAACCAATAAAACATTGTTAAACTATGGTGCTTATTTCACCTAAACAACATGTCTATTTAAAATCTTATATTATTTGGACAAGCAATCATGATATTTAAAAAATTTATTTTTTTTTTATTTTTTTGATACAAACGTTTTTATTTTGTGTTACTGCATAAATTGAATTTTTTTTGGTCATAATAGCATTTTATGACTATGAATGAAAAAATAATTATTGGTATTCTTCGTTAGAAAAATTGCGTGCAATCGCTTGCGATCAATATTCCTTATAATAACAACAATAATAATAATATACATAATTTAAAGCAAATGCTTAAGCATTTGCAAGCAGGGTAACTAACAAAGCCCCGCTATAATAAATGTCAATTAGTTTTATTTTTGATTAAAAGTTTTCGAATTTTAAAAGCGTTAACTGACACGGCAGATATGATGAAGTTCGGAAGGAAGTTCCAGTCAGGTATAATGCGATTACAGAGGAAGAATTCGCTTTGTAAACAGTTTGCTACTGCTTGACGTTAAAGACAATGATATTGGCCATGGAGGTCTTTGGCTGGTCCTTGCACGTTTAGTGCTGCAGCTAGTGAGTTTAATTTACAAAGCTTAACTTTGTTAATGTTGTGGTATAGTTTGAAAAACTGTATTAGGTCACCCCCTATGCCTTCTATTCTTAAGCGATTGAATGTTTATTGCGGTTAGCCTTTGAACTTATAATAATAAGCAATAAATGTAGGGAGTTTATGCAACTTTTTTAGCTATATGTATATATATTTTATATATGTATATATATATATATATATATATTTATATATGTATATATATATATATATATATATATTTATATGTATATATGTATATATATATATATATATATATATATATATATATATATATATATATATATATATATATATATATATATATATATATATATATATATATACTTTTACATGAACATTCTAATAAATTAAAGAATCCAGAAATAGAAGGCTACCTTAGGCTGTCATGTTGCCTAAGGTAGCCTTCTATTTCTGGATTCTATAATTTATTTGATAAAATGTTCATGTAAAAGTAATAGTAATTTTACATAAAGCTTTTTTGATTATTAATTTAATTTTAATATGAATGCAGTTATTTGTCATTTTAATTTTAATATTTATAGTAATAAATTTTATCTTTATGCAGTTAAGCATAAAGATAAAATTATTGATATATATATATATATATATATATATATATATATATATATATATATATATATATATATATATATATATATATATATATATATATATATATATATATATATATATATATTATAAAAATATCTTTAAATTAAACAAAATTAGTACATATAAACATATCAGATATGATTAATACAATTTATAAAGATAAAAACCATTGTACTCAAATGTAGTAAAATAAATAATTTGATCATAATTGGAAAATAATTGGAATTGGAATTGGAAAATAAAATGGAAAATAATTGGAACATAATAAAAGAAATAAGATAAATATATACTACAACATAATTCTAAATTATATAAAATTACCTCACAATCCTTGATAAAAAGAATAAGATCACCTTTTTCAAAATCAATTAATAAAGGAAATGACCATACATACAATTGTACCACTTGCGCATATTTCCAAAATACTTTAGGTGAATCTTCTTCTCTAACACAATGTTGTATAGAAAAACCTACAAAATCAGATGGATTGTTAATAAATTTTGATAAGGAATGTTTTTTTTTTGTTGCTCTGTTAATTTGTTTAGTCTTACATCTTGAATTTTTTTCATTAATTTTTTTTTGTTTGCTTTCAACAGCTGCATCACGTATTATACGAAGCTTTAAATTATTACTTAAAGATTGTTTGTTTGGTGTTAAATTTGCTTGAATGACAATAAGAAGATCTTGATATAATTCCTCCGAAGACAAGTTTATTCTTTTGCTTCCTTCTACCTTTGTTTTACAAAAAAGTTTTTGTCACACTCAACGCCTAAGATTATGTTTATATATCGCATATCTTCAAAATCTATTAGATGTGTAAAACAATCGATTTTTAATTTCAACATAGATTCCATTTTTAAATCCATCATAGATTCCATTTTCTTTTTTAAAATTATAATTAGTATTGTTTCTTTAGGAATTTCAGATGCATTCACTGTATTTTGAGTAAATTTGCCACAGGTGATAAAAAGGTTACACCTAACAACTTTTAATAATAATTTTGTATTGTTTTTTTAACTTTCTGATGTTGTCAACAAATCTACTTATCTTTTTGGCTAAAGCTTTTTTGCAGCACAACAGTTTAACATTGAAATCCACACAACATCTACAATATAAGATGTATCTTTTAATGCCAAATACCAATCATAAACACTTTCATATATCATTTTATCTAAATAAATTTAGATTTTTTGAAATAAATATAGTTATCATTTCGAACAAATATAAGTTTAAAGTATTTATTCAATTATCAATAAAAGATTTAACTAATTTAAATTTATTTCAAAGTCTTTTACTTATTTTATATTACATTATGTATATATATATATATATATATATATATATATATATATATATATATATATATATATATATATATATATATATTATATATATATATATATATATATTAAAATTAGGTAAATTGTAAAAAAAGTAAATTGTAAGTTATAAATAAGACATACTGATAAACTGTTGTAATTAAATTACTAATTCTTAGCAACAACAACAACAACAGCAACAACAATAACAACAACAACAAGTAAACCCACTTTAGAACACTGTAAGTAAAAATTTGTAATAAAATTTATATAAAAAATAAAATTCAATGCGTGAAAAAATCTTTAGACTTGGCAAACTTAGAAAACAAAAAACCCACCCTATTAAACTACAAAAAAAAAATTACTAAAACTTGTTCACATAATAAATAAATAGTTGCAGAATCTATTTTTATGTAGGTACAAAAGAATTATTTTAATTAACTTGTATTTAAACAAAACTGAAACTTAAAATTAAATAACTTTATAAATTCTAAAGTAAAATGTCGTCCCAAAACAAATTATTGTAGTACATCCTTTTCTGAAGAAAACATATATATATATATATATATATACATATATACTATTAATTTTCATGGGCAGGTTTTAAATACAAGTTAATTAAGATAATTCTTTGACACCTACATAAAAACATTTCTTTTGTTTTTAAGATGAAGTTTTTCAAAAACAAAATATATTTTTTCCGCGATAAAATGTCATGTGATAAAACTCCCTAATAAATGTAAAATATGAATTTTACAAGCTCGTGTTTACTATTTTGAAAACCTTTTCTTTTTTTCTATTTTTTAAAATATTTCTTTTCATGATTTATTACAATTTATTACATGATGGTGTAAGGATTTGTCCATAAAAGGCGTCAAGCATAGTTTAAATAATAATTAGAAGTAGAAGATTATTGGCTTTCATATGCTGAGATTTTCATTGAACATAAATCGCTATATTACTTTAAAAACCACCCTATAATGCCCTCCAGTGAAAAAAAAACATATATATTTAAAAGAATGCTCTTAAAATGAAAGCGGTAAAGATATTTTAAGATTTAAATAAATCAAATGTTTCAAGATTTAAATAAATCAAATTGGAGTTTAGTTTGCCGTGTAGTTTTGAAATCAATTATAATTTTGTGTTGATTTTGAATTCATCTTTAATAAATGTTACAGTCGGTATTTTATTTTATTTTTGGCGCTTTCCATTCAATGTATGCAGTGCTGAAGTTTAGTAGAAGAGGAAAGTAAATAAGAAAAGGATCCTACAGATTCCCGGAACACATTTTAATCTCAGGGGGAGATTTGGAAATATTTTGATAAATTCCTAATATTGTCAAGTGCTTTATCAAGTTTATTAATGGTTAACAGCTTGCATAAAAATAACAGATAGAACCCTGTAATTCTCATGCGACGAACTGACTTTTTTCTTTTTCCTGTCCGTAATTTGTGACATGTATATGTATATGGATTTGTAAATAATAAAAATTGTTTGCTAGTTTAAACAAGCACAAATGGTAAATCAAAGATTACAATGTAATTAAAATGCCAGCCACAATTTTGACGCTGTCACTAAACTGTTTAAAAACTTATTATTAACTTATTATATATATTTAAGAAACATCTTGAGTTTTTGAGATTTATTTTTAAAACTTGCTATACAGGAAGAAATAAAAAATGCAGAGAAAGTTTATAAATTTACATGTATTTACTTCTTAAGCACTTAGGAATCTGAAGTTTTTTTTTTTCCTAATTTTGTGTCACCTTAATTATTATTTAAAAACTTTGGCATATAAAATTCGCCGAATGGTCACACACGAGCAATGAACTCCTGAGGGAAGAAATGAAGTACATTAGAATAAAGGAGAATTATTTATTAGACAAAGCATATTTTGACAGTTGTCAAGACAAAAATAAAGATTAATAGAGGAATACTTAAAAATAAATAAGACAGGCTATACAATTCAAACAGTACTCAACAATAATAACAATAAAAAAATTAAAAACAAATAATAACAAAAAAAATATATATATATATATATATAAAAATAAAAAAGATAAAAAAATTTGTTTTATAAATACCAATATGAACTAAAATATACAAGAAATACATAACCAGTCAACAATTTGTAAAACAAAAAACCATTCAACAAATTAAAAGTATGCTAACAACAATGAAAGGACTAATAATGGAAAAAAAAACATTAATGCTAATGTGTAAACATAATTAGTGTAGTGATTAAGTAATAAACATCTCCTCAGAGTCGCGTCTATTATTACTGGCGTTTCGATGAGGATCAGCATTTATAACTAGTTTATCCTGTCAGACAAACGTCATCGCTACTTATGCTTTACCCCGCGACTTACGCCTATTCCATACTGCAGTAAAAAAGGACTCACTACAAATAGCCAAAACCCAACCAACCCCAAATTTGTAAAGCCAATATTTTTCTTGATAATATGATATAAAAAGTATAGATTTACTGAACAAACAAAAATAAAAATAAAAATAACTAAATAAAACACTTACCGTACCACCAAAAGAAAACATGAAAACAAAATAAATTAAAATTCTAATAGAAACATAAAAATATTAATCAATTTATTTTAAGAAATAAAACCAAATAGGTATTATTAGCATAAACAAGCCCATGATAATCAGAAAGCAGTATACCTCATATAACTCAGTATAACTCAGTATAACTCATCCTTATTTAGATAATATTTTCTTTTAATAGATATGTTGTTGAAATGTAGATACAGATTTGTATGTTATCTATATGTATGTTATCATGTGTGATTGAATTTTTCATTAAAGGATTCATCTGAATTTACATATAAGTATAAGAGCAATTCTTATAAACTAGCAGCTTTCGACTTGTTTTTATGAAGTATGTTTTTCCTTGTTATTTTGTTATGGTCTCAAAGTTACATTTAATTCGGACCGTAGAGAAAACTTCACTTTTCGGAAATTTCGATTTAGATATGGTTTCAAAGTTTCTTTTAGTTCAGACCGTAGAGAAAACTTCACTTTTTAACAATTTTTTTTTTCCCGCTTTCTACATCGTTTTTATATCACGATTTATATCATTGTTATAATACCCACAACTAATTTTTTAACCACTCATTTGGCTTAAAATTATCTGGTTTTATTACAATATTTATTTAGTCTTATTGCTATATTTATTAATATTTTACTTATCTCCTGATTTTCATATTACTGTTTACAAAAACTTTCATGTTATATTATCTTGCATTCATTACTCAGCTTTGTTTTAATTTTCACATGCACAATTTTCATCTTTATTATTATTCAGATAATAATAAAGATAATAATGTTTACATATATGTCGCTTACATTTTTAAGGTTTTTGTGCAACGTTCTTTTTCGCTATCATATATTATTCTATTATTGTTATGATTTTGGGTTTCGCGGGTTACTCATATTCCTACACTTTTGATTGGTTATCATTTAAAGGTATTGTTTTGTTTATTAAAAAAAATTTTTAATGAAGTATACTGCTTTCTGATTATCTCGGGCTTGTTTGTTGTTTATTTGGTTTTATTTCTTAAAATAAATTGATTAATGTTTTTATGTTTCTATTAGAATTTTAATTTATTTTGTTTTCATGTTTTCTTTTGGTGGTACGGTAAGTGTTTTATTTAGTTATTTTTATTTTTATTTTTATTTTTGTTTGTTCAGTAAATCTATACTTTTTATATCATATCATCAAAAAAAATATTGGTGCTTTACAAATTTGGGGTTGGTTGGGTTTTGGCTATTTGTAGTGAGTCCTTTTTTACTGCAGTATGGAATAGGCGAAAGTCGCGGGGTAAAGCATAAGTGGCAATGACGTTTGTCTGACAGGATAAACTAGTTATAAATGGTGATCCTCATCGAAACACCAGTAATAATAGACGTGACTCTGAGGAGATGTTTATCACTACACTAATTATGTTTACACATTAGCATTAATGTTTTTTTGTTTTTTTTTCCATTATTAGTCCTTTCATTGTTGTTAGCATATTTTTAATTTGTTGAATGGTTTTTTGTTTTACAAATTTTTGACTGGTTATGTATTTCTTGTATATTTTAGTTTATATTGGTATTTATAAAACATTTTTTTTATTTTTTTTATTTTAATATATATATATATATATTTTATTATTATTATTTATTTTTAATTTTTTTAAATTTTTTTATTGTTATTATTGTTGAGTACTGTTTTAATTGTATAGCCTGTCTTATTTATTTTTAAATATTCCTCTATTAATCTTTATTTTTGTCTTGACAACTGTCAAAATATGCTTTGTCTAATAAATAATTCTCCTTTATTCTAATGTACTTCATTTCTTCCCTCGAGCGTTCACTGCTCGTGTGTGACCATTCTGCAAATTTTATATGCCAAAGTTTTTAAATAATTATTATAAAAAAATCAATAAATTGCTGAACCACATTCAGTATTACAAGATTTTTTTTTTAGCCTACAGGAGAAAGAAACTATGTATGCCTTATAGAAGTAAGTTTTTTAATTTATTTTATTTGGGTGTATGTGTGTGTGTGTGTATGTATGTGTATATATATATATATATATATATATATATATATATATATATATATATATATATATAATGCGGTAGTGGTGTAGTGGTAGAGCGCTCGCTTCATAAACGAGTGGTTCCGAGTTCGATCCCCACCACGTCCCTGGTAGTACCGCGCTCAACTCGTTTCTCCGCGCAGCGGCCTTGCTCGTCAAGGTTCGTGTTTCGGAGTTATAGAGTTGAGAGAGGGTTATAACCACAAATAAGTAGCCTCCTCGTCTGTAGTGGCCTTCTCGGCCTTGAGGAGGTGAATTAAAATAAAAAAAAATAAAAAATATAAATCGATTATGAGTTATTTCTTGCATCATGTTTTGTTTAAATGTTTTGTTTTAATAAATGTTTACATTATTTTAATAAATAAATACATATTTTATTTGTTTATATAATTTTAATAGTTTATGTTTTAATAAACAAAAGGTTGTTAATTTTTTTTTTGATTAAAAGAGTTGCAAAGTTTTGACTGATACTTTAAAAAAATATTGAAAATTGAAAAATTTCAGTCAATAATGATAACTTGAAAATTGAAATTTTCGTTTAGTTTTAATTTTATCCAATATTGTTTATATTAACATTTTTAAGTATCATTATAATATGCAAATATCTAATAAATTTACTGTTTTGTTATTCACATTTAGGACGAAGTGAAAAAGCTTGCCAAACTTCTAAATTAAATAAAACAAAGATTACAAGTAATATATTTATATATATATATCAATATTTACTCTATATATATATATAAATTTCAATCTATAATTTATATATATATATATATATATATATATATATATATATATATATATATATAGAGAGAGAGAGAGAGAGAGAGAGAGAGAGAGAGAGAGAAAGAGAGAAATTCTATACATGCGTTTTAAACCAAGTAAACAAAAAATCTACTGTATTTACATTTCAAAATTAATAAATAAATTTTATTTTAATATTGCAATAACCTAAATCCATAATAAAAAATGAAGTTGTCATTACTTTATTTATATTTTAAATGATGATCTGATTTCAAATGTAGCAAGTCAAAAGTAGCAAGTCAAAAGTAGCAAGTCAAAAGTAGCAAGTCAAAAGTAGCAAGTCAAAAGTAGCAAGTCAAAAGTAGCAAGTCAAAAGTAGCAAGTCAAAAGTAGCTTGAAAAGTGAATGTTGCTGATCATAATATATGCAGTAAAAGTTATGGATTATTATTAATAATAATGCATTATTAACAATAATTATTGAACTGAATGAATTATTGAATAATAAACATTATTGCAAATTGTTTCACCGTACTAGTTATACTAGTTATACTGTCTTTGAACCTTTGTTATTATATAATACAAAATACAAAAGGAAAAAAAATACATTTTCAGATAGATTGTAACTTGAGTTAACTTGAGCTTTGAGTGACTAATAAACTGTTTAATTTACTTGATACAAAAGTATACACCAGATACATCATTACCAAAAACTTTTCTCCCAAAGCAGTTGTTGTTGATGTTGTTTTGAACTTTTTATACAAACATACTTAGTTTTTTATTTTGACTATGATTTCTCTTGCTTTACTAGATGTTGATTTGCCAATTATGGAAAAAAACAAGTATTGCAATAGTAGAAAAGATAAATTATTTTTTAAGTCATCTATTAATCTTACTTACTTTATAAACTTCATTTTTTCTCTTCCAGTAACTTCCAACTCTAATATTTTTTGCTTACAGCCTTGTTGGAAGTAAAGATATTTAAAAAAAAAAGTCTTTAGTTGTAGTAAATGATCACTCAGAAAGAGTTATTAGAAGGATGCAGCAATTTGTTCACTGATACAATAATGAAAAAGGTAAACAGAACATATTGCTGGTTGTGAAAGTGTTTGGTGTGCTTTCAGAACGCCTGCAAAATTGTGTGAAATCTTAGGATCGAAACACTTTGGCTATAAAACAAACTTGGTTATGACAAGGTGTGTTAAACTTGATCTAAACTCACTTACTAGCAGAATAATGCATGCTATTCTTATCTAAAAATTAAATTTGTAAACAAATTTGGTTCAATCAAGTGGTATATTGAACCATTATTCCTTCTGTCTATGGTCATTGTAAGCGCTTTTGTTTTGTCCTTCTATCTATGGTCATTGTCAGCGCTTGATTTTTTCTTTCAAAAGAAAAGCGTTTAATTTCGACATCAAATGTTAAGTATAAAAAAATCTTTCTTTAAAAAAGAACTTCAATTTTTTAGTGGTTTGAAAATTTAAACAGGGAATTTTCAGGCTTTAAATTAGATTCTAAAAACTGCGCCTAGTAATAAAACATTTTTCAAAAATATAAGTTTTAAAAATATAAATGTAAATTTATGTTTTTATTAAATATAAAATATTTAATGAAAATATAAAATATTTAAAGTAATTGTCAATTTTACTGAGTTAAAAAACAAAATATCTTAATGTAGGCTTTTTTCAAATTTATACAACCTAAACATTTTTTTAAAAGTTATATAACCTAGCAACCTAAACATTTTTTTAAAAGTTATACAACCTAGCAACCTAAACATTTTTTTAAAAGTTATACAACCTAGCAACCTAAACATTTTTTTCAAATTTATACAACCTAGCAACCTGAACATTTTTTTAAAAGTTATACAACCTAGCAACCTAAATACTTTAAAATGTTTTTGTAGACTAACTCTTCGTTTTTACACAGTAAGTACCGTTAAAATTCATTAAATGTTATATATACTGTTTAAAATAAATTTACACCAGTTATAATCATTAACTAGTTAGAGAAACAAGTTGAGCGCGGTACTGCCAGGAAAATGGTGGGGATCAAACTTGGAACTTCTCCCTTATAAGGTGAGTGCTCTACCGCTATATCACTACTGCATATTACAGTTGTATTATGTACTTTTACAATTGATAGGTACTGTTGCAATTAATAGATACTATTATTACAAAATATTACAAAATAGGGTTTTGAGCAGATGAGTCAAAAATGAGTTATACACAACATTCAAATAATAATTGTATCAAGTATCAAGGAAAAAAACTTAAGTGTTAAATATTTCCTCAAAAAATGATTCTTTAACTTGAAATCAAACCTTTCAATAAAGTTGCAGTTGTACCAATTTTATATTCTGCTGTAAAGTGACATTTTGTGACTCTCTTTTCCTTTTGCATTTTCTTTTTATCGTATGATATGATATAATGTTCTCTTTTCCTTTTGCACAAAGATACTTAGGAATCCACACAGATATGTTCTTAGGAATAAAATTTAATTATTTAAAAGTGAAAGAAGGTAGCTGGGTTACAGATAAAGTCAAAGAAGCATTATCTAAAAAACAAACTTTGGTGTCAATACATATTGGCAGGTAGAGGAACTCATACAATCGTTCGTAGTTAATACAAAGCAGCATGCAAGTTAGCAGAAACAGTAGTCAAGCAAGCAGTTTTAAAACATGAAGAGGATATCGCTTGTGTCTTTAAAAATGACTCCAAAAAGCTGCATGTCATAAAACACATACACATGAATTTATTCACTCACTCAATCTTGATCAAGACACAATTACAGAAGACCAACAAGTAATATGTTCGACTCTAAACCAGTATTTTCAATCTGTATTTGAAATAGAGCCTGAAGGTCTTATACCAGACTTCTAAAATCAAACTGACGTTGAATGTACCGAAAGAGAATTAATTATCAATTAGGAAAAAGTAAAATCGAGATTGATGAAGCTTGATGTGACCAAATCAAGATGATTTGATGGAATACATCCTCGAGTCCTAAAAAATTGTGTGGGCCCTTTTGCAGTACCCCTAACACTTATCTTCAATTTCTTGATTGCGACTCCAGAAGTTCCAAATATGTGGAAGAAATCAAAAGTAACGCCAATTTTCAAAAAGGGATGTAAGTTAAACTGTAATAACTACAGACCAGTTTCGAAAACATCAATACCATGTAAAATACTTGAGGGATTAATACACGAATCAATCTCTGAGCACTTGCTAATCAATGTTTTAATTACTAAAGTTCAGCATTGTAAAAAGGAAAGGATGTACAACAAATCTGTTAGAATTTCAAGACATTTGTATTGAAGCAGCTAATTGTAATCAACCTGTTGATGTTGTCTATACCAATTTAGCTAAGGTCTTCGACAAGGTACCACACAAAAGGCTTATACATAAAGTGAAAGCTTATGGTATACAAGGATTGTTTTTAGAATAAATCAAATTATGGCTATCCGGGCATCTACAGAGAGTTACAATAGGACATGACAAATCTGAATGTAAAAAAGTAACGAGTGGCGTACCTCAAGGATCTGTTTTACTTTACTTTTTGTGATATGCATAAATGACCTACTAGATAACATTTCCAGCTATATAAAACTTTATGCAGATGACAGCAAAATAATGAAAATAATAAAAACACCAGCTAATGTCCTTTCTTTGCAAAATGGTATTGACAAAGCAATGGAATGGATTAGAGATTGGCACATGTTTTTTAATCTTGATAAGGTTATGCATGTTGGTCACAAAAATAATAATATCAACTCATAATTACACAATGTTAGGCCAAGACAGATTTTGTCATCAATTAAAATGTACTACAGTTGAGTGTGACCTTGGTATTTTTGTGTCTGATGATTTGTAATTAAAATCACAAGTAAAAGCTGCAGCAGCAAAATTAAATTGGAAGTTAGGTGTGCTAAAAAAAGCATTCAGCGAACGCGGTGTATTCCTCTGAAAAATATTATACACTTCATATGTTCGACCTCATCTAGAGTTTGTAATCCAAGCCTGGTCACCACACCTTATTAGCGATATCAAGGAAGCAAAGAGGGGATCTTATAGAACAATTCAAAATCAATCAAAACCTTGAACGAGTAGATTTCTATGTACCACAATGTTACTCCGTTTTCAAATCAGCGCCATACAACCTAAGTTGGAACCACGAGTTTATGCTTCAACCGCAGCAAGTCAAAAACTGTATAGAAAGACTCAACTTTTTTACAAATCGTGTTTGCACTTGTGGAATGCACTTCCCAGCAACACCATCAACTCAAAATCTGTTAATATTTTTAAGTCAAATCAGTATCAGAACACTCACAAATAATAGAACTATATGGGTCAGACATGTCAGCATAGCAAGGCCTGGCGCCGAGCTCCATCAAATTTTATAACATTTTTTGTAAAATTTGATTTCTGAATAAACTAAACTAAAATTATTTACATAATACTTTACAAGTTATTGATGTCATAACGAATCAATGTCATGCTGTGACGCACATTTTTAATATATGAGCTATTTCTTTTAATAATATAAAAATATTAAATAAAAAATTATAATCATAAAAAATTATTGTAATATTATAATCAGTTTACTTTTTTAAAATGAATTGTTGCAATATTGTAATAAAGTTTATTTTTAAAATGTAAATTTTTATTTTTACAGTTTAAAATGCTTTAACGTGTAGCATGGAATTACTATTTATTCCATAAGCTTGTAAAATATATGAATATATATAGTTATAAACTTATAAAGTGTATTATAAGTTAATTTCATAAATTTATTGCATAAATTTATAATGATTTTTTTCTATGCTTATATATAAATTTATTTTTGTTTTTTCTTAGAAGAGGAATTGGAAATTAATAAAAATAAAACAAGTAAGTTGTTTTATGGTTTTTATAATTTTTATTTTATATTTTTTATTAATTTTTTTGATGTTTTTGTAAGTTATATGGAAGCATAGTATAACATATACAAAAAAAATCAACAATAGTAGTAAATGGCATAGTATAGCATTTATGAAAACCTAGAATTTGTTCTAAGTCACACCCTCATGCATCACTGTCACAAAACCTCTGAAATGTATGAGGACAAAAATCTCTAAATGGCTTAACTGCTTAGTATTTTAAAGTTTAATCAGTTAAATTCATCAAATTTTACTTTATTGTCTTCATTATTAAAATAGAATGTTTTTGTTAATTTCAACATACTTCAACTTACTGTTTATTGATGTAGTACATTATGTTGTGATTTTAATGTGCGTCATTAGTTAGCTTTGCTAATTATTGACAAAAGTCATATGTTGCATTTTTTTATTATTATATGTTTTGTCACAAGTTGTATTTTTAAATGCTATATATAGCAAATAATTTTAAAGACTTACAAGACCATGGAAGAAATAACAGCACCAGAAGTTACAGAGGACCTTTCGTATGAAGAATTGGTGACAAAATTAGAAACGCTGGAAATAAGAAAATCATTGTTAATCTCATAATAAGAATTTGGTAAAATTTATAGTGGCAATGGAGAATCTATTCAGGCAATGGCGTATCGAGTGATTCAATCAGTTCAAGATTGCAAGTTCTTGTCTTCAGAGAGAGACAACCAACTTCGTGACCAATTCATTATTGGAATTAATGATGGCGCTATTCTGTGCGCCATTCTTCAGGGAGAATATTCATTGAGTTTTGACAATTGTGTGAAGACTGCATCCGTGGTCGCATAAACTAGATTAGATGTGGCATGTTTATCTGTAAATGAAAAGGTAAATGCAAGTTATTGGGCAACTGGGACTGAAATGACAAGTTATATACAAAAAAAGAAGAGAAAAGTGATGTTTTAATTGCAAATCATTAATTTACTTAGCACATGAATCTACCTCTTAATGCAAAAAATGCTTATATAAACATGCTATGAAAGACTATTACAAATGTCAACGAGACCAGAAAAACTTAAATGGAATGCGTACGCATTAGGTATTTTTACAAAAAATCATCCTGAAACAATACTACCTACCACTTTAAGTATTGATGAACTAATAAACAAATACAACAAATTTGGCACTGGAAAATTTAAATTCTGTAATTCTTTGATTAAGTTTTTATTGACACCTCATTGTTGCAATGATTGAAATTGGAACAAGCAAAGCTTATTTTGATGGTAAAAAATTGATTGTAAGATAAAAATGGGAGTACGAACCCAAAATGAAAAACAGAAAAGGTCAATATAGCGTATCTGACCAAGATTGTGAAGCGTTCAACAACAAAATAAATGAATGGATCAAAGAAGGTATACTCATTGAATATGACAATGAACTTATGGGAAAAGCTAAAGGTCCCAAGTGATGTATTTGTTATAACTGGTTCTCTTCAGTATTCAGTTGGCTAAATTCTGAATTGACTCATGACAAACCTGTAAAATGTGCTGGGCATTGTGAAATGCTAATTTAACAAAGACTTCAAATAATTGGAAAATTGGTTGAGGATTATGCTATAAATGTAAATGTTACATAAGTACCAACAACAAAAAATATTGCAGATACAATGAAAAATTATTACAGAACAAAGTTGCAATGCAAGAATGCAATTTCATAATAAGTATGATAATCAACAGATTTGAATAATTCATTCAATAGCACATATGGGAGTTTCTAAGAGTATGGAGTTATGTGCACGGGCTGCTATCTACATTAACAAAGACACAGTGAAACAGGTTGTTGCTGAATGTGATGAATGTAGTTGATTGATTCTAATGTGATTTTGTGGGATAAAGGAAATCTTGTTGTCTGTAAAGTATGGGAAAGAGTAGCCTGCAATGTTACTTATGTCAATTCGTTGCTATATCTCACCTGCATTGATTGTGGCCCAAACAGATACATGTTACGGATACCATTAAGAAACAAAAATGCAGCAAAAGTTTTACTGTCAGAAACAATATGGTCATCACTTGGACCTCCTTCTAAAGTTCTCCTAGATAATTTTAAATCATTTAGATCTCATATTATGCTAGCTATAGTATCAAAATTAAAAATAAGACTTATTGAGCTGTTGAAAAACCATTGGTAAATGGAATTGTTGAAAGAGTTGGTAAAAAGATTGGATGGTAAAAAGAACAAATGCAAAAGTAAAATGCAGTATACCCATGTCTGTATTCTTAATCAACAATGTTCCATCAAAGTACGGCACATCTTTTGAAATATTTTGCCAACATTACAAAGGCGTTTGAATTCCTGGAATTGATTAAGTTGAGTCAACACAAAAGGCTTTGACTAAGTTTTAAGGATGGAAAGTTGGCAATAAAGCGTGGTTGAAACCCAAGCATGTGATGCCATATAACAATGATGGTTGAAAGGAAGCATAGTGGCACTGCATAATGGTTTAACAGCTGAGGTTGAAGTCAACATACATATGCTACCACAACATATTTCTGATCTACAGCATCATTGTGCAGACAAAAAAAAGATACAACAGCTGATGGCAATTATGATCTAACACTATTTAAACCTCTTGAAATGAACTTAAAACATGTCGTCAATGAAGATTCAAGTTTTCAAATAAATTCTCTGGATGATTGCAAAGCTGACAACAGTATGGACAGCGCTAATCAAAACTATACAACAGATGGTGAGGCAGAGTTACAGCCTGTTCAATTCACTCGGATGAAAAGTACTTCTTAACTTTTCTCAATAATGTTTGAGCTCTTGTTGAGCTAGGGGAGATGTTGCAATTTTAATGTTCATCATTAATTACCTTTGCTAATTATTGACTAGAGTCACACATTGTATTTTTTTATTAATTTAATGTTTTGTATAACAATCATTATTTGTTGAAAAGAGTCACAAGTTGTATTTTTAAATGCTATATATAGCAAAAAAATTTTTGTAACAAAAAAAGATTGTTGATAAGTTAGAAAAACATTAAAAACAAAATGGCTTTTAAATGCGTTGAACAACATAATTTTAGTGTTAATTTGTTATTTATTAAAATAATAATTTTTTACTCCAACGAATTTAATAAGCATTTTTTTATTATTAGTTTGTTTTCAACCATCTCTGCTATCAGTTTTAATAGAAAAATATCTCTTATTAGGCTGGGTGAATAAAAAAAAATCGCTTTTTTTTATTCGCTTAGCCTATATATTTTTTTATTCACCAGGCACCCTGCTCCCTTATCAGGAAATTTTAGTTTTCTATTCAGCAGAATTATTTTGATGTTTTTTCTTCATTAGGAACTGAAAGTGATTATGCATTGAATAATGAAAGTGAAGTTGTCAAAAATGCATCAAAAACAAAAAGTAAAAAAAAACATATTCTGTCAGAAAGAAGTAATATTCAATTAGAAAACACAAAGTCTAACCGATCATGTAAGTTTTTAATTTATGTAATAAAGCTGAACTGTATAATTTGATATATGCTTTAACATTTAACATTATGTAATAATGTTAAATGTTAAAGCATATATCAAGTTATACAGTTTTACTTTCACTTGAAAATTGCGGCAGCATCTTCTTAATTTTGATCTATAACTACTATATTATATTTAGTTTTATAAAATCTTTTGTTTGTTTAATAGTTTTTTTGTAAAATTGTTGCTACCCCTGTGTGGCTGATTGGTTAGCTCTCTAAATGCTTAAAGCTCATTTTCAATTTAGGCGTATATATAAATATATATGCTCAAATTAAAAATGAACTCTAAGCATGTGAATAAAGTGCGCATATTTATTTTTTTTTTACCACAAGAGAAATGTTCAAATGTTTTTCTACCATTTCAAAAAACATTAAAGTAAAGAAATAGAGGGACTATTCATCCGTAATAGATAAACAGATGAATAAGTATTAAAATAGAGGTAGGCATGAAATAAATTCCCCTAGACTTGTATTTTACTTGTCATAACAGCTAGTGTACTTTAATTCAAGTAAGTACTTAATGTACTTTAAATGTATTATATTTTAATAAAGTATGTGTTCTTTAGTATAAAATTCAAATTATTTTTTACTTATATATTTTTTTATTTATATATTTTATGAGTTATTGCTAAACAAAGCATATCATGTCAAATCAATGACATGTTGTTACACTGCTTATTTTGATCTTTGAAAATATAAACAAAAATAATAAATTTATATAAATAATACACTGAAGATATTACATTATTATTATAATTTTTCATTTTTATAAGGTAACTACCATCAATTTGTTTTTACAATTTAAAAAAAATTAATGCGTAACATGGAATTACTGTTTATTTAGGTAATCTTTTATAAGGAATATTTTTTATGGTTTTTTGCTTCATTAAGATTTTGCTTTATTTTTTTTTTCTTATTAGCTGGAATGGAACTTAAGAACCTTACCAGTAAGTTGTTTTACTATTTTTTTGGTTTTTGATTAATTTTTTGATATTTCTGTAAATAAATAGAAGCATAGTAAAGCATATAAAAAAATGACTAAAAATAATAGTATATGGCATTGCATAGCATTTACGAAAGCCTAGATTTTGTTCCATCGTTTGTCACCACCATGCATGGCTGTCATAAGACCTCTGATATATTATCTGCAATATAAAGTTAGAAGCAAATTTATCTATGTATAATCTTTTTAGTACTGTTTTATTTTATTTAACAACATAAAAAGACTGTATAACTTAATTTATAATTTTTTTTTTAAATCAGTTTTAATATCAGGCACCACAAGAAGTTAAGCCAACTTGGTATAGTTGGTGTACCTAAGGCCTGCTTATACCTAGTACCCAACTTTATTTGAAAAGTTAGGTGATTAATTAAAAAAAATTTCTTTTTATACCTTTTTTGATTCCCAGAGAATGTCGCCAATGCAAGTTATTTCGGTACCACCAGGTGATGTGGTAAGGATCAAACTTGTAATTTTTCTCTTATGACCCAAACCATCTACCACAGTAGTTTTGCTGCTGGTATTTTGCTGCTGCTGATTTACAATCCTAGAAAAAATGCTTTTCCTTGTCTGTTACTTAAGTACTAAAAGCAATGTTCAATAATATTTTCTCACAATCCAAGCTTACTAATAGATGACCTTTTTAATGAGGATTTCAAGTCTTGTACGAAGGGCCATATATTTGTTTCTCTGATGAAGTATTTGTATGATCACAAGGTAGATTGTTGATTGCAATTGGTGCAGAACGTTTTTTTTTTCCCGGGTTTTTGTTTTTTTATTCTGGGATTACCATTTTACCCATAGACTTATTTTTCAGTTTAGCTTAGATCTATCAAGATTAAACATTTTTAAATGTTTGAAATTCTAAGTAATATTAATTTGTTGAAAACAATCTAAAATTGAACAAACTTTTTATAAAATTTGTGTCTATCTTTGCTGTCTATTCATTATGGAGTTAAACATAATTTTTAGGAAATAGGCTTTGGTACAATTAAAAAAAAGCTATTGTTTTACTGTATTGTACTTAGGATCACTAATTTTTAACCCTTCTACATGACAGACTTTTATATTCTAAGTCATCAGTTTCACAATTTTTAGACAAGTCTGGGGTCTTAAATTGGGGGATTAAAAAAATCCAGCTCTAAGCACACAAACTTTCGCTACAGCATGACAATGCCTAAAATTAAAAAAATAAAAAATGTTTTATCATTTTATATTATAGTTAAATTACAATCACTTCTTGACTGGTAATTATAATAATCATGCTCAACACATAGCAAGGTAACACCACTTTTAAAATACGCAAACAACATAGTATAAACATTTAAAAACTAAAAATGCACATGCTTAACATAATGCATATAAATATATCATCAAAAATACATCATATCAAAACATTAGGTGACACATACACATCAAAAATACATCATATATATCACATTAGGTGACATACACAATGCGGTAGTGTTGTAGTGGTAGAGTGCTCGCTTCATAAATGAGTGGTTTCGAGTTCGATCCCCACCACGTCCCTGGTAGTACCGCGCTCAACTCGTTTCTCCGCGCAGCGGCCTTGTTCGCCAAAGTTCGTGTTTTGGAGTTATAGAGTTGAGAGAGGGTTATAACCACAAATAAGTAGCCTCCTCGTCTGTAGTGGCCTTCTCGGCCTTGAGGAGGTGAATTAAAAAAAAAAAAAAAAAAAAGCATAAACAGTAAAAAAGTTATAAATTAAGAAAATTTGTAAATCCAACATTATTTGTGTAATACTCATTAAATGGTACACCTTTGCTATGACACCCCTTTGTTTTGTCACACCTTTGTTATGTTTTGCCAACTTTAAAAAACTAAAAGCAATAACAATAAGAATATTAAATATGTGAAACATACAAAAACATTAGGCATAATAACATTAACATTAGGCATATAAACATGTGAAACATAATAAAAAAATTTGTAGAGAATTTACTATAAACTCATTACCATATAGGAATTTTTTTTAAAGTTTTAAGAAACTTTAAAAACCGAATGAAAACATATAATTATATATTATGTTTTAATTCTGAATTTTATACTATAAGAATAAAATTCAAAAAGTAAAATAATAAAAATAAAACTACTAGCCAAAATTTTTTTTTATTTTTTCAGAAATTATATTTACAACATAAAATGTTGTAAATATATCATAAATGTTTCCATTGATGAATAATCTTTACGGTGCTGGGAGCGTTAACTATAATAGTAACATAAGGGTTGTTACAATGCTGGCTTTTTTAATAAATTCTCATTAAGGAGAGAAAAGCAGACAGCATTTTCAAGGCGTTAAAAAAAATTAAAAAGAAATACAACTTAAATTAAAGAAATTATTCAATAATGATTTATTAAATAATTATTTTTACCTCAATTACATAGATCTCCAGTTTCTCCCTAACTGTTGACTTATGATTAATTCAGTAAATTTTACATCATATAAATTACTAAATTAAAAATAATGTAGTAACTAATATTAAAGCTGTTATTCTTAAAGAGTTGTGATAATAGTTTTAAATATATTAGACATTTAATAATTTTAAATATATTTCACATTTAATAATTTTAAATATATTTGAAATAAAAACTTCAAAGAAGTTTTTAAAGTTCTTAAATAATTTTAAATTCATCAGTCATGATATAAAATATCTGAAAGTAATTTGAGAGCAAAAGATTATAATATAGTAAAAATTATACATGCGTAGAGTTACATTTTAGTTAAAACATAAATAAGAATTATCTTCCTAGATTGATGATGCTTCCTAAAAAAAAGTTAAGCATAATATAATTTGAACTTTTAGAAGGAAAAAAGATGTATCTAAACCAATTGTAGTGTTATTAGCTATTAGTTGTTCCTAGTATCACTTAATACAATTACACAATTATACAATTAGTATCACTTTTGTAGATACTAATTATAGTAAGATTTATACTTAGTTTTAGTTCTAAAGTGTTGTTTAAGTTAAACCCTGCCAAGTAACATCACAATTTTGCTCTACATGTTGGCAAGTAACCCCACTTTTAAAATATGGAAACAATGTAACATAAACTATAATTAAATTATATAACACATACACTTATCAAAAACTATAAATTAAAAATTAAAAAACTATTAGTTAACAACATTGTTTTAATAAATAACAGACCTTGCAGTGCATGTTTTTTTTAACTATATTATTATAATATAATAATATATATATTATGGTTAAAAAAATCTTAAATTAAAGTTTTAAAATAAAAATGTGAAATCAAGAACTACAAACTTTTTGCTTCGAGTTTCAAATAGCCACAAACAAAAGCTTTCACCCCAAATGAAACTTGATTTACCCTAAATTTCAACTCTAAATCAATTATTAATAATTATTATTTCAACATGATTAAAAAACGCACTTGGTGTGGGACAAAAAGAATTAACAGCTGCTACTGAGGGTACTACACCTAGAAGAAAAAGTTGTTTAAAAAGTTATTTATCAAAAGTTATCTTGTTAAACAAAGAAATTTTTAATATAATAAAGTTTTATATAAATAAATACATGATTAAATATAAACAAAATTAAAGTTATTACTCAAACAAAAATGTATTTAGTATTTACTGTACAAATTGTATTGTAGATTAATTTTTAACTCAAACAGATTTAATAAACCCACATCCTTTTTATTGTTATTGTGGCAATCACTTTTGCTGTCAGTTTTAACACAGTTTATATAGAAAAGCTTACTCATTATTGCTTCCCTATTTTATTTTTATATTCAGGAAAAATTTTTTGATAATTTTTTTGTTTAGGAACTGAAAGTGATTATGCGATTGACAAGCAAATCATAGAAAATATGGCAACTGATAGTGATGAAAGTGAAGATGTCAACTGTGCATCCAATTCATCCAAGTTAAAAAAAAAGAACAAGAATATCCTTCCCAAAAAAAGTAACATCCAGTCACTATCATCCGTCACTATCATCATTACTACATTATCACATCCAGTCACTAATCATCATTACTATCATCTACTTTGATGATAATCATGATGAGAATGATGATGATGATGATGATGATGATGATGATGATGATGATGATGATGATGATGATGATAATGATGATGATGATGACAAAGATGCTGATGATGATGATTAATGAGAGGCTGATGTTGATGCTTATGATAATGCTGATGATGATTTTTTTATCAGATAATTGATGTTGTTTTTTAAATTGTTTTAAAATTAAATTTTTACTCATATTTCGATTATTATTATTTTATTTAAAGCATTTTTTAGCTACATAATCACTATTGTCTACATTTGTTTAGGTTTACCACAAAATTTATTGGAACCTTTTGTCCAGAATGAGGTAGGGTGAATTAGTTCAGATTTTATTTAATTTTTAGAGTTCATTTAAATTTAATACATCATTTTACTAATTACGTATTTTACAACTCATGATTTTGTACTGACATAATCATGTACATTAAATACAGAAAATTGGTCATCTGGTTGCCCAATGGCACAAGATGACCAATTTTCTTGAATGGTGACTAAAGGTTTTAAAGCAGTTGAGTTGTCTGAAGAGCAACTTCATCAAATTACTTTTATTAAATTAATAAATTACTAATTTAATAAAAATTTACTAAATAAATTAGTAAATTGATAATTAAATTTTAACAATGTCATTAAAGGGGAGACATTTGCTTAAAATTTAACATAATACAAATTTAATTAATTGATGTTACATGCATAATAAAAAATACAGTACTAAAATAACTCGATTAAAGTTGTTATAAAAATGAATTTAAAATATTTTTTTCAAACTTATAAAAAACAACAACAATAATTTTGATATTTAATAATGTGAACCAAGTATGCATGTTTAGTAATAAAAAAATTTTGTATACGTGGCTTACACCTTTTAGAAGTACTTTTATTGCAGAAAAGTCTAATGTTGCTGTTTTGTTTAATATAATTAAACTTTTGAATTTAGTTAAAATTTTGTGAATCACTGCTTTTTTTATGATTCAAGTGATCAAAGATGAATCACTGCTTTTGTTCTGATTCAAGTGATTAAAGGTAAATTCATCAATGTGTCTTCCTGTTAAATTAAATTGTTGCTTTTAATTTCCATCATCATTTGTTAATTTTGTTGATCTCACACCAAGTAATCCTTATCAAAGTCATTTATAGTATTTCACACTTTCAAGTGCAATATTATATAGAATTGCACACTTCCAAGTATAATACTATATAGTATTGCATACATCCAAGTGTAAGGCATGATAAATACAAAATTTTTCAACCATATTGACATGGCAAATGTATTATTGTTCTCTGGAGCTCTATGCTGTGTTTATCCAATGATAGCCTCTTTAGCCTTAATAATATTGAGAGCAGAGAATGAGCTAAGAATATACAGAGTTTGGGTTTTCAATGCTGTTTTGAAATCACTTCTATGAAGATTTACACAGAAAATTTGTATGGTAATATATTTATCAACACTTATGTTATAGTTTGCTTCATTTTAAAGTATTTTTCTGGATGCTGGTAATTATTGTATTTTTCCTTTCTTTGTAATTATTGCAAACTAACTTCTTTACATCAATTTTTATTTCTTCGATTTCTTTATTTAACTATTTTTAGCGATTGCTTTTATAGAGTTTTTATCTGTTGCAAGGTCTGTGATGGTTTCTTTAAGATTTAAAAAAAAAATTTTTTGTCTTGATTTGAATTGATTGTCTTTAATCTTTTTTCCTGGTTTTTGTTGGAACCTGTATTTTGAGTAGTTTTGACATCAATTTTATGTCTCATGAGATGATTTTTCAATGTTGACATGAATGTCATGTTTCATGACATGATTCTTCAATCTTGACATCAATTTTATGTCTTATGAGACCATTCCTCAATTTTGACATCAATATCATGTCTCATGAAGTGATTCATCAATGTTGACATGATTGTCATGTCTCACAAAATAACTCTTTAATGTTGGTATTAATGTCATGTCTCATGAGATAAATCTTCAATGTTGAAATGATAAATATTTTTTAATGTCAAAAAGTTTACAACATTAAAAGTTACAAAAAAATACATAAAAACTATAACTAAAAAATAACAACTGTTTTTTAATGTCAAAAAATTTATTCAATCAAGTATTGTGTATAAATATTGATGATTTTAAAATTCAGTTTTTGCTAAATATAGTGTTATTCTTTAACATTTTAGTTGTAAAAATTTATTTGTAAAAAAATTTAATAAAACAAAAAACAATGAAAACAGTTTAAAAAGCTTTTTTTTTAAAAAAAAAAAAATTTTTTTTGGACAAAATTATGCTTTAAAAGTTGTTTTAAAGCTAAAAAAATATTTTAAGTACATACTTATTACTTTTTTGCTTTAAAAGTACTTTGCAAATCTATGAAGTTCATTTGAAGTTTCAAGCCCTGTTAAGTAGCATAAAGCTGTATACATTTTATGTATGAAATGGCTATTTTACCTATGCATTTGCCATTTCCGTTAAGCCAAAACTTTTATGTATTGGAATATTTAAATTATCTTTTAAATATAGTTTAAGCAGTGTTTATTTAGATATATAAAGTCGTAATTAGCTATTGCAAAAAATATTTTTACCGCAATTAAAATAATTTACTTTTTTGATTAAAGAAACATGTTGTTAAATAATTTTTTTTTTACTTAAACTGAATTAAAAAAACCAAGAAATGCTTCAAGTTTTTCATTGTAATTAATTAAAAGTTTTTAGTTAAAAAACTTTTAATTAAATATGATTTTAAGATTAAAAACTTTAATTTTGAAGGAAATTTTTTATTTAAAGAGTTTATTATTATTATTTAAAAAGTAATTCATTATGTAAAAATATCAAGTATTATCATTATAGATTAAAGTTTATAATAGTAACCAAAACTTCCTTTTTTAAGTAAAAAAAAAGTGCTTTTGTTTAAGCAAATTCATTTCACAAATGAAATTAAATTAAATTATTTTTTTCCGGATATTTCTATAAACTTTTACTTTTTCTGGGCTTATAAAATATATATATATATATATATTTTTTTTTGCATAATGTTTTTGCAATTTATGTTTTTTAACTTTTTCAGTCAACTCCAATCTAAAAAACAAGAAAAAATAAAAATACTAAGTTTAGAAAGCATCAGTTTTGAGTATGAGGGAAATAAATTCCGGATTTTTTTTTATTTTTTTTATTTTTTATTTTTTTGCAAAATTTTTACCGGATTTTTAAAATATGACCTGGATGATCTCTGAATTTTATAAATTTATTATCACAAAAAGTTCTTTTGACATAAGTTTTTTTTAATTTTTTTTTTTTTTTTTTTTTGTACATATATAACTTTAACAGGAAGGTAAATGTTTGCCTACTATTCTAATTTTAGATCTAAATTTTAAATTCTGTTTTTTTTTTTAAGGGCATCTTCATAAACATGTACGATGAGTTAAAAATATTTTAGTTACAAGAAGATTTTGATTTAACCTATTGTTAATTGAAATAAAAATTTGTTTAGAATTTGAGGGGAAATTTAAATAAATGTACGATAATTGATCATTAGTTTTTTTGTAAAGCTTATAAGAATATTTTAAGAGTTTCAGATTGATATCAAGAAAATTCACAATTTTAATGTTTATGTTTGTTTCAATTTGGAGGCTTTTTTTTTTTAATGTTTTGTAATACCTTTTTTTGATTTTTTCAAAGGACATTTTTTGTGTGTTACTATTAAACTGTCATCGTGACATAGACCTAATTGATTAATTTACATTATTTTAGCTAGGGAATTTAATATGTATAAACCTACAAACTTTCAAATTTCTGCACCATTGTAACATTGTAATTTCTGTGTGGTTTTTTGCAATTCTATTGCTTTATCTAAAATTTCTGCTGTAATTGAGGGGTAAAAGTCATTAACTTCAAATTGTAAGAGTGTGCATTCATTAGAAAAACCAGTTTGTAACATCAGTAGTATTTTTCCACTGGTGCAAATTTAATTTTTTTCGAAAAATATTGTTAATTTTGCCAAAGTTTACTTTTTTGTTTGTTTTGAGTTTATTTTTAAAATTTTGTTTATGATCTTTTAATAATCATAATAATTAATCATTTTCATAATTTTCTAGGCTGATTTTTAAAATACTATTCTTAACTTTATTAAATCATTTAATCATAAAAAACATTATGACTTGACATTAATCAATAGCTGAATATCTTTGTCAAACTGTTCTTTAGTTTGTTACTGAAATTGTTTCATTTTTCAGTGATTTGGAAAACAATTTAATAATTGTTCTTACTATTTTATCAAGCGATATAAGTTATTTAAAAGTTTAACTTATATTATGTCATTTTTATATATTTTTAATTCTTTATAAGGCAATTTTAAATTTTTTTTTATAAAAAAATTAAATTTCCTTTTTAGATATATTTTAGAGACTTTAAAAATTCATTTTTTACATTCTTTAAAATGAATGTAAATCTTTTTTTTTTTTACAGTCTTTAAAATGAGTTTAGATCATTTTTAACAGTCTTTAAAATGAATGTAATTCATTTTTTACAGTCTTTAAGATGAATGTAAATTTTTAATAGTCTGAATTTTACAATTCAAACTTTTAAATTCATTTATAGACAAAACTTTAAAGTCCTAAAATGAATTTAAAAGGAGTTTAATCATCAAGCTAGGTAAAGTAAAATAAAAGGACAACATACTATAATATGCTTAATATTTTTGTGTAAATCAAATCTAATGTCGACTAACAAATTAACTCTAATCAATCTTTTTTTTTTTCCAAAGTAGTTTTATGCAGCTTTCTAGATTAAACTTTATAACAATATTAAAATACTTAGACTTCACTTTTTTATTATTCATTTTTGTAACAAGATTAAAACACTTAATAGACTTCATTTTTTGTAATTTAATTCTATATTTTTAAATGCTGTACACAAATTTCATTTTGATGTTTCTTTATATCAAATATTGCATCATTAAAATTTTGAGTTTGCTCACAAACCTGCAAACTTAAACTGCGAAACTCAATTGAAGTTTCAAAAATGCTGTATGAAGAACCATTGTTTGTTCTTAGAAACCAAATAAAAGATATATTTTAATTACATTACAAAGTTCAATCTTTTTTGTTATTTTCATCATAGAAAAGCTTTAGCAGTAATTGCTTCATAATATAGAAGCTAAGCATTACATAGATCTAAATGTAGTTATAACTTTTAATCTGCCTCCATTTCATGGTATCCCATTTTAATTTTCCTCACATCCCATTATCTGGCTTAAATGTATCTGACGCTTACTGCTTGTGGTAGTGATTTGAATTTCTTTAGTCTTCCAAAGGCAAAGATTGCATGAGAACTTTGTAAATCTGAATAGACTTCAACTACTTTTAAAATAAGTTCAAAATTTCAAACTAGTTTTAAAAATAGTTGAAGTAGACATTAATTTCAATAAACTGATCTTATACTTGTTTGAAGTTTTGTTGCTCTTTTAGTTGCATTTATGAACTTTCTTGTCTAAGTTTAATTATCAACATTTAAGAATATTAAAATAGTTTTTTTTTTTTTAATATGCATAGGATGAACAAAGTTTAAGCAAATTACCAGAAACTGTGCGAGTGAAAATGCATGGACAGAACGTTATGGCTAATTTAAGTAAGTCAATTATTTGTTGTATTTTTATAAAAATTTTAATTATTATTTTAGTTATAATTATTTTTACAAAATTATGATCTAAATTTACATAATGTAGTTAAATGAGCTAGTAAAGAGCACTCTTAGCTTCTACTACTCATACAATTACAACCTCTATTTATACTTTAATAGCCTCAGCTGCTCCTATTTCAAAAACATGATCTCTACTACTCCTACTTTGGGGGCATAGTCTCTAAAACTAAAAGTTTTAGTTCTTGGATATATTTAAATTACTTTATTAATGTTGTTTATGTCTAATGAATATATGAAATATGTATTGATTGGTTAAAAGATTCGAGATATGAATATAAATTGAGCAACACTGTTTTAACAAAAACAACAATAGTAAAAGATTTTGTGATTTTCATTTCAAATAATCTAGATTGGAAATATTATATTAATTCAGCTATAGGCAAAACAAACAGAAAATTAGACATGATCAAAAACTCTTGAGTATTATGATGGATTTCATTTAAATAACTATACAAATCTTTAGTACGTCTCCATTCTGAATATAGAGTAACAGTTTCGAGTCCATTTTTGAAAAAAGGGAATAGATAATCTTAAGTTTGTGCAATACATAGCTACAAGAATCGAATCTTCAACGGAAGTCTTATGAAGAAAGAATAAAAATACTTTAATTGCCAACTTTGCATGATAGAAGAAGGAGTGATCTGATTCAAATGTATAGGATCTTTAAAAGAAAAGATATTGTTAATTTTCACCATTATCTGTTACCTTTTGAGCTGAAACAATCTAGTAGAAGTAACAATTATAGAAAATGATTGGAATTCTTTTCCTCAATGGATAATAAAGATAATATATTGTAGTATTTATGTATAACATATTAGTATTAATAAACATTTTGATTTCTGAATTGATTATGTTTATTGGCTGTTGTAGTCTTAATGTAGTTAAGACTTGACGCACCTGTTTATTTTAACATTTTTCTATTCTAGAACATATTAGTTACTTTATTATGTATGTTTTTTATTAATTTGTAAATTCTTTTAAGTAAATTTTTTACTTTTCTTTTTCTGACTTTACCGTGCTCACCATTTTCTCTCTCCTGATTCCATTCTCTAGCTCTACAAATCTCTTATTCGTCCCTGTATGGAATACTGTTGTCTTATTTGGGCTGGTTATTCTAATGATGCTCTTTCTTTTCTAGACAAGGTCCAAAAATGCATTGTAAACGTAGTTGGACCCGCTCTGTCTGCTTAGTTTGAGCTGTTTTTCCATTGTCATAAAGTTGCATCTTTTTCTCTTTTCTGAAAATACTATCATGGTCGCTACACAAAGGAGCTATCATTTCTAGTTCCATCAGCTAAAACTCATTTTAGCTGAACTTGTCATTCAGCAAAGTATAATTTTTTACTGTATCTATCCCTGCATGCTCTAAAAACTTTTGTTTGCTTAGTTTTTTCCTTGCATTTCAACCCTTTGGAATTTATGTATTTATTATATTTATCATAATTTATTTTAAAATTGTTTCTCAAACTATTTTAAAAATTATATTTATTGAAATCTGTTTTTTTAATGTTGTCATTTTTCACAAGATTATTATTGCATTTGTTATCCATTGTATCAATAAATTATATTTACTGATTTATAACAACATATATGTTCAACTAAATCGTTTTATTTAAATTTTATTTTTTTATACAGTTAATTTTCTGCATAAAAAGTAATTTTAATAGTTATAATAAGTAAAAAGTTTTTATTGTATAAAATGCTTTCTCTTTCAATTTTTTTTAAGCTGCTTTTATTAATTTTTAGTTTTGATTTACTATATCATATTGATTCTTCTAAAATTATAATACTTACTAGAATAATAGATCTTTCTAAAATTCTTGAACAAGTGAAAACATTGTTTTTACAAACATTAAAATGTTTAGGAAAACAACCTCTACTAAGATATCTACCAATAATTTTTGGTCACATGATATTAGAATCTATTCATTAATTAACTTAGTTTATACGAATTCCTAAAAATATTATTAAAAACCATCTTTAATAATCTTTGAAAAAAGGCTTATATGTAGTTTAACAAAAAATCTTTCTTCAAAAAAGATTTCTACTTGCATTCTTAAATGTTTTGATGTTGAGTTTGTTTTGTTTTTCATAGTTACTTATTGCACCCAGGTAAAGATTTTTTTTTTATTGATGGAAAAATATAAATGTGTAACATGTGGTTTGTTATCATAGAGCTAGTCTTACCAGTATCTGAAAAATGGGACAAGCCATCACATAACAGTGCACATGTTGAAACAATTAAATACTTCACTATTTTTCACTTTTGTCATGGGCAATTAAAAATTAAAGCATTTGGTGAAAAGGGACTTCAAAAATCTAAATGTTCTGCATTAGTAAGTTTATTATAATTATTTTTTTACACAAAGTAATAACACAATAAATTGTCATACTGAAAATTTAATTGAACCCTACATATATAATTTATATTATATATTACATGGGGATATTGATATTATATCACAGCAAATTAAACGTTTTTAAGAATTAAGAAGTTGTTATTGAACTATTTTAATTAGTTTTAATTAATAGAATCAAAAAGTTGAGATATAAAAATACAAGTGAGAAGTAAATTCATCACCAAAATGATGAAAACTTATTTTCAGTTGAATTTTTTGAAAATTTTTTGAATGGTGAGATACCACTGAAGTGTAAAGATATCCAGTATCATATCCAGCAGTTTTATTGGGGTAAAGTGTTGATTTGTCCCTAATTAAAATATTTTCTTTAGCGGTAGAGGGGCAATTTTCCTCTTTCAACCAAAAAAATATTACTTTTTTTTTACAATAAAATCTGACAATGAACTGTCAGATTTTGACAAAATCTGACAGTTTATTGGTAAAATTTTATTGTCAGTTATTATCTGCATATAATTGATTGGTTGTTTAGGCAACTTGTGCACAAGTTAAAGAAAACATTTATTTTCTAAATAGTTTTTGAAATTATATATCGCAAATGTTAATTTTTTTTTTAAATTATGACAAGCTAAAGTTTTGGCCTATTAATTTATTATCTTATTAATACTGGTGTCAAATTTGACATGAATATGTCACTTGCATATCTGAAAAATAAAGATACGACTGAACAGTTAAGTCATCAATAGTTAAATAATTTATATATATTATTTTTAGATTTTTTATGTACTTTTTGGAAATTTGGAAGTCACTATTCACGAAACTACATTTTCTGTTGGTCCTGGAGTTAATTTTCTTGTTCCACAAGGTATGTTTAGATTTAGATAGAGATTTTCCAAGTATAGTACAATTGTGCTTGGTGCAAACTCTAATCTTTTAAGTTTCTAATTCATAACTAATAGTTTTCCTGTGAAAAGACCCTAACAGTCATTCAGTAATTTGTCCAGTTAAACAGCTTTTGATGTAGGATTGCATTTTCTTACTGCATCTGCATAATAAAATGTGGATTAATAAGCAGATGGAAAGATTATAATACAAAACTATATTAAGGAATATTTATAATGGTAATGATGATGATGATGATGATGATGATGATGATGATGATGATGATGATGATGATGATGATGATGATGATGATGATGATGATGATATTGATGATGATGATGATAATGATGATGATGATGATGATAATGATGATGATAATGATGATGATGATGATGATGATGATGATGATGATGATGATGATGATGATGATAATGATGATGATGATAATGATAATGTAGTATATATAAGCATATAATTCATAAACTAATTCATATAATTTAGATAGATTTCATCAAAAATCAAAATTTAGTAATAATCATGTAAAATTAGCAACCTCCTCAATATTCGATTCACTAGTATTCACATGTCAAAAATTTGCTATGATGTTTGAATAATGTTAATAAATTTTGATTTAAGGTAAACAAATTTCTTTTCAAAATCTTATTCCTCTCATTTGGCATCAGGGAAGAGGGCCTAAATTTTAGAGCATTTTTGTTCCTAAGCTCTGATAACCGCACATTTAGTAAAATGTTTTTAATTGACACCAATATGAAAATACAAAAGTTTGGAGTTTGCACCTTATCTGAAATCTCAAACATGAAAAAATTCGCTTTTAGTTTCGAGGTTTTATTAATATTTTTGTTATTCAATTATAGTTTATAAAAAACCGTTAAAAAAAGCAATAAAAAAATCTGTGTTGCTATAAAATCAAAAGATTGGATTCAAAACTTTATCGTTTTAAGCCAGCTTAATTTGTTATGCTGATTCCAACCCCCATATTTATTTGTACATTTTTGATGCTGTATTCGCAACACCTCTCTTACTTTGTTGTTGAACTATTCTCTTTCACTTTTATGAATTTTGCTATTTCATTCAATATTACTGATTTTTTTTTAATTGTTTCAATAGTCACATACTTAGCCTGGTCATAAAATCACATATCAATAATCACATACTTAGCCTGGTCATAAAATCACATATTAATAATCACATACTTAGCCTGGTCATGAAATCACATATCACATATCTATTTGTTGGGAAATCAGTTTTTAATATTTGATTATTCTTTAATGTGCCTTCGTTTACTTAAATTTATACATTTTTTTTTCTTTGCTTTTTATCATTCTCCTTTTCTGAAGACTGCACTCTTTTGGATGTTGTTTCTAATCTTTGAAAACAAGTCACAATGTTAACTTTGTGACTTGTTCCAAAACAACCTAAATTACTTTCACTTAAATTACTTTCACTTTTGAATATGTGAGTATGAATTTGAATATGTTTCTAATTTGTAATTGTTGCCTTTAGTTTCAGATCATTCTATCATGATCTCACTAAAATCATGATCTCGCTGAAATCATGATCTCGCTAAAATCATGATCTCGCTGAAATCATGATCTCGCTGAAATCATGATCTCACTAAAACTTTCATTTATCAATTAACAAATAACAACAAAAAAATAATAATAATAACAATGTCATAAATCTTTAAGAATATGTTTAATAATGGCAAGTTTCTCGTACATTGGGTTCATACAAGCCAAAACTATTTGCAAACATCTTTGCTTCTAATTCATCTTTTTACAACTTTGCTTCTAATTCATTTTGAATGTGATTAGAAAGCTGGACGTTGATTTTGTTAACTTCTCCATTAACAAATCATTAACAAGTTAATGGATTTCAGGCTTGCTAAAAAAATGCTAAAAACAAGTTTTTATATTTAATAAGCAGAAGAAAAAGAATTTTGATAGAACATATTTCATATAAAAAAAAATTATTTTATATCAAACATTAAAAACAACAAATCTTATTACTCAATTTTAAAATTTTTTCGTGATGATGTCCTTTATAATTATGACAACATCTAAATACGCATTTTTAATGTAGTTTGACTTTTTAACTGCCTAGTTTTATTGTTAAATTGCAAATTTTTCTACAAGTTCTACCATGGTTGTTGCTCAAGCGAGCTACTATCTCTTGTTCCACCTATAAAAACACTATCTCGTTAAAAACCTCATTTTTCTAGAATGAGGTTTCTAGCGAGATATATATAGAGAGAGAGATTATATTTCTTTACTATAATTATTCCCTTATGCTCAAAAAATATTTGCTCATCAAGTTTTTTCCTTAAACATCAATTCTTGGAATTCTCTATTCTTGTTCTTTAAATTCCGTATTTGCTGTCTAGTAACTCCTAGGTTATGTTTAATAGCAGCCATTGTTAAAATAAAAAACAATTTTAACTTTAGTTTCTCTCTTTTATTTATGATGGCTTTTTTAATTTCGTTAACAAAGATTTTTTATTTTGAAACAAAAAGTATGAAAAATAATTTTTGTTACCATGGTAATAAAATTATTTTTCATATTTTTGTTACCCCTAATAATGAACAGGGCTATTTTTGGCAATACATAATTTTTTTTCCTTTTTTAGGGAATGTATATAACATAGTAAATCGGAACAATATGGAGGCGCGGCTAATCTATATGCAAGTGAATGATCCAAAGGAAATCAATTGATTTTGTAATAATTTTCCAATTAAATGAAAAGAGATTCGAGTTACCATCCTGGAATACTTAAAAACAATGATATATTTTTTATTATCAATAATGTAATTCTTATTTAATGTGAATATGTATATATTATATATATGATATAAAAATATTTCGTGCAATTTTAAACTTTCAAAATGTCATTACTTTTCAATGTTTTGAAGTATATTACATAATAAAAACGATGTGATGTTGTAAATGTACTATATTACATTGTTGCGCAGTCGTTTAGAAGCAGCAAGTTACTATATGTAAACGCAATCTCTTTTAACAAAATTTAAATTTTAAAGATGGCTACGGTCTTAAGCTACGAAAGTCGATATTGAAAGTATTTTTATGATATTAATCAGTTATTTTTGCTTATCGTAGTATTCATGTTGTTTTTTTTTCAGCATTAAAATATAATTCTTCAAACATCATTCTTGTTTTTATTTTAATGTTAAAGACTTAGTCAAAAGATCTAATAGCTGTATGTATATATATATATATATATATATATATATATATATATATATATATATATATATATATATATATATATATATATATATATATATATATATATATATATATATATATATATTTGTTTTCCCATGCTATAATCTGCCTAATCATACTATAATTAGCCGTGGCGCAGTGCCTCAGAAACAAAGGATCCGTGGTTCAAACCCCACCTTTAAGCAAGTTTTGCGACATCGTTTGGAAGGAGGCGTGAACTTCCGATTAAATGCTCATCTGTTTTAAGACCGTAAGGACTTCTCGGAAAACCTAAATTAAATAATTAAAAAAAATCTAATGTAAATACAAAATTATGATATAAAATTATACATATAATACAGCAATGATTGCTACAATTTTGATATTTTCTGCAGCTAGAGGTGTCTTTAGCTGTCTCTAGCTAACCCCCTGGCGTTTCTAAAAAACTGGCTTCTGGCAGTGCTGACTGATTTAGGGAATGGGGGATCTATATTACTTGATACCACAGTTATAAGGGACCCCATTTTTCTAAGATAACTTTTTTCTTATTTTCTTTTGAAAATAATATGTCCTGCTTTAAAATGAATGTAAACAAATCATACTGTTTTTTGCAAGTATATTATATTTAATTTAGAGGACCTATTTTATGATCTCATAAAATCCTCTAAAAAATTTCATAAGTTTTAAAAGTTGCCCGTTATGACCGTGGGTAAAGACGGCACTGACTACAGCCGTGGCGCAGTGAAAAAGCATTTAACGCAGTTTAATGCTTTTCCGCGGAAAAGCATTCAAACTAGATTTTAGAAAAAGCCGAAAAATATTTTCTGCTTTTTTTTTTTTTTTTATGTTTCTATTTAAATTTTTGGTATTTACGACATTTGTACTATTTATTATTGTGTGTTGATAATTATGAATTTACAATATTACTAATTCTTATGCGAAATGCCCCTAAACGTTTGAAAAATGCAACTTATTTAGAAGCCCTATGTACCGCTTTAAAAATAAACCTAGAAAACAAGAAAAAATCAACTGACCCTACCCAAGCTTTTGAAACTTCTTTATAGGATGTTTTTATTGGTTTATTCAAAAAGTGAGATGTAAGAAAAATAAAATTAAACAAAATTAATCAAATTTTTTAGCCTTTCAAAAAACCAAATTAAGAGTTATTGTATATTAATATTAACTCAAATTATCCTTCCTAAACTCTAACAAATTCCGATTTGAATTAATAACAGACTAAGCCAAAACACTTCTGGTAATAATGTATTCAATTCCCTTAAATGTATTTACAAAGATGCCCTTAAAAAAGTGGATTTCAAAATGTAAAACTAAAATTTGATCCTGAAAAAAAGATTGCAAAATAGTACTAGAAATATAATTTAGTTCAAACATAAAAGATATATACACATAGGAAAAGTGTTTTTAAAACTGGTGGATAAACACCATCCTCTAATAATTTACAAAAAACTAATTTAATTGAAACTCAATTAAAGTTAACTAAAGTCGCACAAAAATTTTGAAATAGTTATAAAACATTAAAATAATGCTTTGTTGAGCGAAAAAATAAAAGAAAACTGTAATTGTAAACAAAAAACAATATTCCAATAAGTAGAAAATGTTTATCGAAATACAAACAAACCAACAAAAATCAAAATTTAAAATTACTTATCAGAATATACAACAATGTTTTTTCTTAATTATGTTTAACATAAATTTTACCTTCAATTACAGGAAAGATTAGAATATTCTTACATTTAAAAAGACGTTGTTTAAATAAATCACTTGACAAACAAATAAAAAAGTTCATAAAATACTTCAACAGATATTAATAACTTGATTATGGTAAATTTCTTACAATAAGACGTTCTGATGAACCGTAAAAAGCTTTTTTTGTCGCCGCACAAATTTTTGCCACAAAAACGTAGCACAAACGAACAACATCAAAAGACAGCCTCATCATTAAAAGAGAAAAAACTTTATGTAAAAATTACAGATGTATACAAAAAACCAATTATTGAGCTTGCTTTGTGTATCAGTTGTTGCACAGAAATTTCATCAGTTAACCATTTGTGTTAAACTTTTACCAAGTAGAAGATATATGTATGGTTGTATATGTGCTGTTAGTATGTTGTGTGTATGTGCTGGTAGCCTATGTATATTCATCAGCAGCTCACTTTCTAAAATTCTTTATTTCTAAAAGTCGTTACAAAAAAGACAAACGAAAACATTTATGAGACACCAAGTATACTCTAGAGTGAAAATAATTCTAATCTTAACTATTTATCGCATAATGGTTTTCCTATAATAAACTAAATGTAATTAAAGAATTATTGAAATCAAATATAAAATATTAAAGTTTCCAAAAAATGAATTATGATATTTTAAATAGCCAAGATATAAATAACCAAGCTCACGATAAAAAAAAAAGAAAAAAAACTCTGTTTGGGAAACTTGATTGATTGCTATAATTAACGTAAATTTCGTGAACCTTCTAAACCAAGAAAATTTATCAGCTCTAACAGTATAACGAAGAATTACTGATAAAACCTGTTGAAATATATAAAATAGAAAAAAAAAACAACAACAACAAGAAACCATTAAAGCTCTTTATCAAACCAGCATAATCATTTCAGCCAGTTTGAGCGGTTTCTCGGTGACGGTCTTCTACGAGTTTTCCGTTTCTTTATTATGCTATCTTTCTTTATTTTCTAGCGATATCTTTATTTGTAGATAATTTAAATTAATGTTAGATAACTTTTTATTTTACTGAGATTTGCATAAAGACTGTTATAAAAAAAAAAAAAGTTAAACAATCCAATTGAACTCCTTGAAGTCCTACCTAATAGTCCACCTAAAAAATTTTAAAATCGCTAAGAGGTCTAAAGTAATTTAGATGGTTATTATAATAACCAATCTTCAAAGCTTTCTTTTTTTATAATTAATGCAATTGCATTAATTATAAAAGAATAAGTCTTTGAAGAAGTCAAATCAAAGTTATTATCCATCCTATTTAATAAATTAATTGATGTGAATCCTGAAAAGTCTGTTAAAAAACGAAATGTTTTTTGTCGTGATTTTTTTAAGGGCAATAGTCGTACTTAAGAAAAGACTTTCAGAAAGTAGATCAATTTTCTATTGACTTTAAAATGTGTCTATAATGAATGTTCTTTTCGTTTTCTTTATGTCTTTTTCTTTATTTCCTTTTCGTTTTTTTCTTTTCTTAATTTATCATACAATAAATAATATTTTCAAGATCGTTAGTGAAATTGCTAAATCTTATTTGTCAATAATGTTAGTCAAATGGTTAATTGAGAGGTTTACAAAAAAGTCAAGAAGTAAAGAAGAAAAGTCAAGAAACTGCTTTTCACGACAGTTCCGATTCCTGTCATGCTTGTCTATGTGTTCTATAGAACACATAAACAAGCATGACAGTAATCGGAACTGTCGTGTATAATAATAAGACTAAAAATAAAATGATATAGCAGGTTTTTTTAAACAAAAATTTATTTTCTCAATTTTACTTCTTCATTTAAATAAGGAACAAAAAGTTAAAGGAATCAATTTTTTCGACAAAATTAATAAAGAACTTTCAAAGAGTAATGCTCGTCTTTATTATTACATGCATCCGTTGCATAGATTTCATTTTAGACCTTTGCGTTTATTGACTCAGGAATGTCAATGTCTTTGCAACAAACTATTTAACTCATAAAATGACCTGACCAGGTCACTTATGCATTTTGAATTTCCCAGCTGGGAAAAGACTCTCTCTAGTAGTTTAAAAACTATAGTTTTAGAGTCAATAAACGCAAAGGTCTGAAGTGAAATCTATGCAACGGATGCATGTAATAATAAAGACGAGCATTACTCTTTGAAAGTTCTTTATTCATTTTGTCGAAAAAATTGATTCCTTTAACTTTTTGTTCCTTATTTAAATGAAGAAGTAAAATTGAGAAAATAAATTTTTGTTTAAAAAAACCTGCTATATCATTATATTTTTGGTCTTATTTATTCCTGAATTTCTTAATTTTTTATTTTGGCTAACTCAAGGCGGTCTAATAAACCTTGGGCTAACTGCCTAAAAAAGCCTTGGCAACCCTGCACCCTCCGTTGCGTCTGTTTTCGCTTGTGTTGCCATGTCAAGTATGTCAACATTCTATATTAATTCTTATCACAGTATGTTGCTGCTAAATTGTACAAAATTAATATGCAGATGATTTTATTTCAAATTTTCCTTATAAAAAATTTAAATAATTTTTTATAAGGAAAATTTGAAATAGGATATTGTGATTGTTGTAATAATAAAAAACTAGAAGAACTTTTTTTCAAAAATAAAAAAAAATAAAAATTATTAGTTTTGTTCTAGTTTAATCAACAATTACAACAACAAACAACAAAAAGCAATATATTTACCAGAAATATATATGTTTTACATAGAATGTTATAAGTTACAAAAAATATATGTACAGTCTACATTCTGGATGGTTCACTCTCATATAGCTAGGCTTAATCGAGGAGAGCGACCACGAACAAAACGAAACAAAACAAAAAATCCTAATAAAATAAATAATCACTAACACATATCTTTGATGTAAACAGAGTTCTATTCAAAACTTTTTGCAATCCAATTGTAAACAAATGAAATATGCTTTTTTTTGTCGTAAATGTTAATATATTGTTTTAAAAGACATTAGTGAAGTGATTAAAACAATATAATTGTTATTACTTCATTATTATCAAATGAGTTTAGCAGCCTAGTATTTTGTAGACTTTTATTAGAACTGATCTGTTTCTACATTATTCAAACAAATATAGAATAGAGTTTTACTTTCTTTTAAAGAAAGTAAAAGATAAGTAAAAGTTTTTACGCAATAAAGTGAAAAAAAAAAAATAAATTTTTGAGACCCAATTTTGAAATTTTTTAGCTTTATTTTTATTTTTTGACATTCGTAACCTCTAAAAAGCATTTTATAAGCAAATTTTTAAAATTCAGATTATATCTTATTTAGAACAAATTCAGTAAGCTAAAGATATTTTTTTAATAGTTAAGTTTTTTATTACAGAAAAAGTCATTCTTTATTAGTTTTTAATGTATTTTTAATATTAAAAGTAAATTTCAGAATTTTGTCCATCTATGCTTACAATTTATGTATAGAGGAGAAAATAAAAATGACTGACATTCTAGTTTCTGCTAGAAGAACCGAATCTCACGATCTTGATGAAATTTTAAAACTTGTAAACGACAAATCAAGAGAAATGTTTGGAAGAGTTAATCTTGCTCACATAGTGTAAGCATTATATTACAATGAAAAATGTTTGTTAAAATTAAAATTGTAAAGTTATTTATTTGAGTTATATATTCAGTTAAGAACTACTTTATCATAAATAAAATTTCAAAATATCAATAATTATTTTTACAATGTATTACTCAAAATTTATATTTTTTAGTGAAAAAGCAAATTTTAGTTTGACAATTATAGATGAAAAACAATCGATTGTTGGTCATGCTTCTTTTTATGATTATCCAAACATTGAAAATCCTGACTGGTATTATTGGTTAAATACAAATTATGAAGTTGCCAAAGAATGTTCAGTAAGTCCGCCTAAATATAAAAAATTCTTAAAATAAATGTTTACTTATTAGTTGGGGATTCTTCTCAAAGAATTCTTTTACAAATTTCTTATAATTTTTATAATAATGATCATTTATTTATTCACTTTTTTTAATCAATTTATGAGACAGTTGAAACTCTTTAAATATGATAAACTTCCTATTTAATTGTGGAAAAAATTTTTAAAAGCAAAGAAAAAGCTTTTAAATCTTAGATGGATTGAAACCTTGGATTAAAACCTCGGATAGTAATCCTCCAACTGTTAATGTTACAATAAAAATACTTTATCTTTATCCATTAAACAGTATAAATTGAAGATGAATTTCCAATTGTAAAAATTTCTTCAACTTTTTAACAATTCATTTCTAAATAAGAAATTATTGAAAGTCTTCCAAACCATTCAAGTGTGGAGCCCAGATTTGCACTAAAGTAACAGTTTCAATTTGGTAACAATAATACAAAAAATAATAAAACAACATAACTTTGGATCATTTTGTTGCTTTTTTTATGAAGATCCAACTCACAAATTTGATGCATGCTACTTGAGATACCCACACTTATCTTATTAGGATGGCATAGATGTAAGTGATGTGTGGTTATGGTATCACACAGATTAAGGTTGTCAAACTATTGCCGACCTTATTTTTCCTAATGCCAAGGGCTGATATATATATATATATATATATATATATATATATATATATATAATATATACATATATATACATATATATACATATATATATATATATATATATATATATATATATATATATATATATATATATATATATATATATATATATATATATATATATATATATATATATATATATATATATATATATGTATATATATATATATATATATAAATATATATACATATATATTATTTAATTTTTAAAGAATATATATATATATATATAAATATAAATATAAATATATATATACATATATATGTATATATATACATATATATATATATATATATATATATATATATATATATATATATATATATATATATATATATATATATATATATATGTATATGTATATATATATATATATATATATATATATATATATATATATATATATATATATATTTATATATATATATATATATATATATATATATATATATATATATATATATATAATTCTTAAAAAATTAAATAATAACACCTGTTAGTTAATGAAACATGACTTCGCCTGCTACAAGCATAAAAACTCATTTCAATATGAAAGCAAAGCAAATTCAACAGAGCTTTTCAAGTTTATGTGGAAAATTTAAAAAAAGGGATATACAAAACCTATTATTACATCAACAAAGTGCAACCATTTAAACCCGGAGGAAAATCATGCAACTTTTGCCTAACTGAAAAGTATCACATAATAATATCAAAAATGAAATTATTAAACAAAAGAAATGAGAATCAAAATAGTATCAAAATGTCGCTGGTATCAAAATGTTGTCGCAAAAACAAATTTTTTATAAACAACTTTATCATCATCAAAGTGGACACTGCATAGCATTTTTGTAATTAATTTTTTTTGTCGTTAAGATTGTTTGTAATATCTAATGATCGCCATAGGCGTGAAACTCGAAGTCATGTTTCTTCAACTACCAGGTGTTATTTTATATATATATAATATATATATATATATATATATATATATATATATATATATATATATATATATATATATATATATATACATAATTTTTAATTTGTTTGAGTTTTCATGCTATATTTTTCTATACAATGTTCTTATATCCGAAGATATTGTTGGCTTAGCATAGGAACAGCCACAAATAGTCATTAAGACTAATCCAAAGTAGCGTCCGTTATTGACCAACATTTTTGCGTACCGAAGTACTACTCAAGCGCTGAGTTGGCGATAGCAGGATTTGAACTCGTATCGTTCAACAGTCCGGGTTTCAATATATATATATATATATATATATATATATATATATATATATATATATATATATATATATATATATATATATATATATATATATATATATATATATATATATATATATATATATATATATATATATATTATATATATATATATATATTATATATATATATATAATATAATATATATATATATTAGTCCGGGTTAATATATATATATATATATATATATATATATATATATATATATATATATATATATATATATATATATATATATATATATATATATATATTATATATATATATATATATTAACCTAATATATATATATATTAACGACTAATATATATATAACGACTAATATATATATATATATATATATTAGTCCGGGTTTCAATATATATATATATATATATATATATATATATATATATATATATATATATATATATATATATATATATATATATATATATATATATATATATATATATATATATATATATATATATATATATGGGAGATACAGAACTCACCCTGTTTTTTCCACTTTCTCTCTCGCCTGTATATGTATACATATAATATATATATATATATATATATATATATATATATATATATATATATGTATATATATATATATATATATATATATATATATATATATATATATATGTATATATATAAATACATCCTATTTAGAGGAGTATTATATATATATATATATATATATATATATATATATATATATATATATATATATATATATATATAATATATATATATATATATATATATATATATATATATATATATATATATATATATATATATATATATATATATATATATATATATATATATATATATATATATATATATGTATATATATAATACTCCTCTAAACAGCTTCTTATGAGAGCTTTTGGTTTTTGCATGAGCATTCATTGAAAAAGTTGCTTATTAAATACAAAATGGTTTCAAACTTGTTACAAGTTTAGAATTTTTAATGTTTATATTACAAGTATATATACATAACAATTGTCATTTATTGGGCTGTAAAATTTGCTTTTAGTAGAGTGTTGTCTTTTAATGTAAACTATCCATTTAATTATTAACAACATTACTTATTTGATAAAAAGACTATAGAAGTTTTTACTGCTTATAAAAAATGTTTTATATTTTGTTATTGTAATAGAATGCAAGCATTTTAAAAATTATTACTACAGTTAAAGATTCCGCAATAAAAATGAAAAATATATTAAAGTAATTAATATATAAAATATATAATTTATTACCAAGGACTACTATACGGAAAGACGTGCAAAGTCGACGCCTAGACTCCGCTAGCGAAGGCCATTATTTTTATATAAGTTGAAGAGTTCTTTAACGTTCCTGTAACATTTTTTAAAAATTTTAAACATTATCATGGTGAACAAATGTGGCGTTGTATATTGTAAAGGGAATTATAATAAACTTAATAAGTGTCGTATTTTTAAATTACCGAAAGATGAAGTTGAGAAACAGAAATGGATTAATGTTCTTCCTTTATATAAGAATTTTATTATTGAGCCATCTAAATTTTTCACATGTGGAAAATATTGGCCTGAAAATACAGAAATGATTATCCTGCCTGGTGGCTATACTCAACCAGCATGTGCACCTTGTATTTTTAATGTTCCTTTTTCTTCTTTACCAACGCCAAAGCCTGTGCCTTGCCAATCTTAACCTGATGACATGCAATTGAATTATTTCATCAAAAAAGATGTTTTCTGATTTTAATCCTGACAATGAATTGCAAAAGTATAAAATATAGTAATATCTTGACAAGACGATAAATTCATATGCATTTTTATGTCAAAAGATTTCAAAGAGAATTTTGTCACGATTATTGTTTATGATAAGTGTACCTTGTGTTCACTGCTAACCTTTTCAGCTTTTAAACATGGAATTTCCGTTCCATTAGCTAATATATTGAATCCAAAAAATGGCTTAATCTTCTATTCTCAATTTTTTGAAGCAATCAATTTAGTTCATAATTATAATCTGTATGTTAATGATGTTATTGAAAAGTTGACAAATACTCTCAGAAAATGAATTTGAATTAAATGATGATAAGAAACAAAAAAAATTGAATTTTATTACAAGACAATTATAACTCTTGTCTAATAAAAGTTTCTCTATAACTGATTATTGCTTTGCAATCAAGTCTTTTTATAACTGCAACTACGATCAACTTCATGATTTTTTAGTCCTTCCAAGTAAACATATGCGGTAGTGGTGTAGTGGTAGAGCGCTCGCTTCATAAACGAGTGGTTCCGAGTTCGATCCCCACCACGTCCCTGGTAGTACCGCGCTCAACTTGTTTCTCCGCGCAGCGGCCTTGTTCGTCAAGGTTCGTGTTTCGGATTTATAGAGTTGAGAGAGGGTTATAGCCACAAAATAAGTAGCCTCCTCGTTTGTAGTGGCCTTCTCGGCCTTGAGGAGGTGAAGTAAAAAAAAAAAAAACACAAAAAAAAACAAAAAAAGCTTAAGTCTATAATTTCTGCCACTAACATTGACCGTGTTTTACAAAAAACATTTGAAAGCGTAAAGAATAATCAGCAGAAAAATGTTATTTTGATAGTTGACGAGGTAAAAATTAGGCCAACAATTGCTTACATGGTGGACTTAGTTTAATGATGGGATGGCAAGAAATGATCCAGAATCCAAAGCAACCTCTATGCTATGTGTCATAATGAAATGCTCACATGGTGGACCTAGTTTAATGATTTCTGTTACCCCTGTTCACAAACTAACATCGTTGTATCAGTTTATTGTTGTGAAAGAAGCTGCTATTATAGTTGAAAAACATGCTGCAATAGTTTTAGGATCTGTAACTGATAATCATAAAATCAATCAGCAATACTGCTAAATTTTTAACAGAATAACTGACTATCAGGCCATTCATCCGTTAGACAATCATCATGTTTGGTTTCTTTTATTTGACACAGTTCATATACTTAAATGCATTTGCAATAACTGGATTTCTGAAAATTGTCAAAAGCTCTCAATATTAAAATTATAGCTTCATTTTCAGATGTGAAAAGTCTATATCAATACGAGAAATCTCTTTCTTGTATTGATATAGACTTCTCATTTTGAAAACAGTTCCTTTATCCTATGCTTCTGTGTATCCTTCGAGACTTCAACTACAGAATGTGCAGTATGTTTTAAGAGTGTTTAATGAGAAAGTAGTAGCTTCCCTTAAACTAAAAGGAGCTTATGAAACATCCTTTTTTACCCAGGAGATTTTAGATTGGTGGAATATTGTTAATGTTTCTGCAAAAGGGCACTATGTTAGGTTGAGAGATCACAACCGATCTGTGCAAGACAAAAATTCAAATAATCTTATATTTTTTTTAGACATAATTAAATGTAAGGAATCAAGACATGGGCCTAAACAAGTTCAGTGTGTTACCCATGATACTACAAAAGCTCTTGTGCAAACTACTGAAGGATTGATAGCTGTCTTCAAACATTTGTTTTCAGTTGGTTTTAATTATGTTTTGCTTCATGAGCTACAAAGTGATAGAATAGAAGTAGAATTTTCTGTTTATAGATAATCAACAGGGGCAAATGCTTTTATGGCAGCTGGTGATGTTTTCTCTGCTTTTAGATTTGCTGCATCATTTTTAGAATCAGTGGAAGTAGGACAACCCAATAAAAAAGGTCACATATGTAAGGGTCCAATTAGTATTAAAGTTGCAACCTCAATTGAAACATGCGTTTATGATGTGAATCTTTCTGAAACTGAAGAGAGCTCTGCTGCCTATGTAGCAGGATGGCTTGAGAAAAAATGTGAAGATGAACTAGTTAATCCAGATAATAAACCTGAACTAACAAATGAAGCTAAAGACTTTATCGAAGAAGTATACTTATCAGCTAGTTAGAATTGGTTTATGCTTTATGAAAAAAACAAAGCACAGAACATGTTGTAGAAAAAGACATAAACATTCTATCTATAATAGACACATGTTTTATGTTATTTTGTAAAGTTTTATTATTACCTGATGACGCTGACCACAATACGTCAGCGAAATATCGCTAATGTATTATTATATCAAAATATATTTTAAAATAGTTATATGCTGGATTTTTATTGAAATTAACTTACATATTATAAATATATACAGTAGAGTGTGTCAATTTTTTTTTTCAAATATCAAAAAAGAGTAGTGAAAAAAATTAAGTTTTTGATTAGTTAAGAACAGAGAAATTTTAAAAATTAAATTTCATTAAGGGCTAGCTCAGTAAATTTTGATATGAATTTTTACACTTTTGGTCATTTAAACCTTTATTTTATTTTTTTAATTTAATTGCACTGATAATTGTTTTTATACCTATTATCATGATGTGCAACGTTCTTAATAAACAATAGTGCCTAAATACTGAAATTTAAAAATGTATATTTTAAAAATGTATATATTAAATGTATATTAAAAATGTATATTTATATTAACTAAGTGCTGGGGTTACCTAATAGTAATATTTACAAGGCAATGCCGTGGCTAGACCCCCCCCAAAAAAAAAATAATAATAAAAAAATAAAAAAACAGGTGTAAGGGCTTCAAATTCTAAAAACCCTTCTACAATTAGGTATTACTCTGAAATACTTCGTAATTTGAAAAAGAGCAGCTAAAATTCCCCCTATTACCATATACCGTAGGGCTTACCCAATTCTAACTATTAAGAGTATTAAAAATACAAGTTTTTAATTAAGACATCGCTTTATAGTTTTTAGCTACTCCACCTGCATATTGACAAGGGTTGTCATATCTTTTTTGCTTCTATTTCTTGACATTAATTGTCTACTTACAAGCTGAGCACGTATATAAGATTCTCTTCTCTCATGTGTGTAAACATGGCCTGCAGCTTCAGTTATTATTTTGACACATCTTTCAACTGACTGTGTATGAGAAGTCCAAGAAGGAACTTTCATAGGATAATTTACAAACTCTTTGATGGTGGCAGATGTAAGAGTGCAGGTAAATGGTGACTCAGTTACATTTAAGTCTCTAGCTGATCAGCATTAGGATTTATTTCTGGTGTTTTTCTTACTCTGATACTACTATCTCCAACTTGAGTTTATCTTCTTTTCCTTGAATCTTAAGAAACTTAGCTTCTTTTCTTTCTTCTGTATTTTTGCTGCAATGCATGGCTTGTAAAATGACTTCAGAATGTGCATACCATGCTGATCGCCTATTTGTTGGCATAATAATATCTAAAACATTTTTATTCTGTGTTCTAAGTAGCTCTTGATACAAAACATGTCTAGGTCCAATTGATTTAACTTGAATATTAAACCAGTTAGGTATGTAAACACTAACAATAAAATTTACAATCATTTGTAAATTTTCTAGATTTTCACCAGTAAGCCCATGATTTGACACCCTAATTCTGCAAAACCGAAGTGCTGTTGTTAGCCATCTGCTGTGACAGACTGGTCCAATTTCCAACATTACTAACCTGCTAGGCAGAATTCCAGTCTTTATTGCTTGGCAAATTTGATACGCATAACTTTGGTCAGTGTTTAAATCCTTAATAATTTCCTGACTGAGATATATTAAAGGAGGACCTAAATTTATTATAGTGTAGTTTGAATTGATTTTAATTTCAATTGCTGTGTCAAGCATTTTCCCAAGTGGTCCAGACCATTTATTATAAGAAAAGTTGTTGCGCCATCTAAATTTTCAATTAAATGCCTTAACTCTAACTTACCGGTGTGTAGATCACAATCAATCCACACTAACCTTCTGTTTATTTTTTTATCTACCTATTGCATCACACCACCTGCCCAACCTGTATTCTTATTTGTGCTATCTCCTCCAATAGACATAAGATTTTGAATTTGATTTTTACTTTTTAACCAGTCAACCAAGTGATCTGCAATAACTTCTGCTTTTTTTATCAGCTGTCACATCTGTAATCAAATGAAAAAGTTAGTCACCCCCAGGGTCTTTTACAACAGAGTTATGTTCCTCTTTAATAAAGCTCGGAAAATTTTTTTCATTTACCTCTATAAACATTTTTGTAGCATCTACTCTCCCATCAAAAAAAATTTTCTCTTCTCTTTTACAATTGCATTTTATATGAGTTTTTTCTATACATTCTGAAGCACATTTATACTCTGAACAAAGAATTAATTTACATTTACATTGTAAAATGTCCACAAGTTTGTCTAATTTTAAAGAAAATCTTGCTTTTTCATTTTTTTTACCACGTCTATTACTAAAATCAACAGCCCATTTCCATAAACATTTGAGTTTTTTAAAAATTGTTTTTTCATGAATTACAACTGGATATACAGTTATATACACTTGCCTTTATCCATTGGCCAAGTACAGCTGGTACCATATCAGCTACTAGCTGAACTACAGTATAGTTCCTTGTATTTTTTTCACTAATTTCTCTTAAAAGTATAACATATTGTAAAATATCTCTGGCTGTTGGAAGCTTAGATACATAAAGTTCTTTTCTATTGCTTACAAGCTTGCTCATTTTGATAAATAATGCATTCCTTGTTCTATTTGACATCTTTAATTGACTAAATAAGTTTACCGGAACTTTTCTTTTGGTACGAATATGAAGTATAAACGGATAGAAATGTATAGTTATGCATTTTTAGTACTTATTTTGGTAATAGCCCAAATAAGTAATAATAAAATGATCACTCCTCTTAAAAAAATTATAAAATAATATTTTTTCACTACTCTTGATTTTTTATAAACAAAAGATATTACAATATTTATTATGTTGATACATTGATAAAATACGTCATTTTGTGAAGTATTTTATTAATGTATCAACATAATGTTTTTAATATAACTTTATTTAATGAAGTAATAAGTAAACTAAATAACTTATGTATTTAATATATTTATATTTTATAATAATTTACATAGCATTTTGCACATTATGATAGTTTTAAAAAAACGCAATATAAGTTTATTTTTCTTTTCAAATTTTAGTTTTTTGAGCTTAGACTTTTTTCTTTTTCTTTAAGTTTTTATTTTTTAAAATAAGTTATCTTTTAAATTTTCTTTTTATTTTCAGCGCACTTTTGAAATGCCTTAAGTTGTTAAAACAAACCGCTGTAGTCAAGTTGTAAATCAAAATATTTTAGGCGTTGTCAGGAATGGTGTTCAATAAGATTTCTTTAAGTTTTTTTGGACATGTCCACCAAACTTAAGTATTTACCAGACAAGTTGTTTGGAAAAAAAATGTTCTTTATTTTGAGTTCTGTATATATATATATATATATATATATATATATATATACATATATATATATATATATATATATATATATATATATATATATATATATATTTATTTATTTATAAAATAATTATAGCCAATGAATTCTCTGTTCTTGCATTATATCGTTTCAAGGGAATCAATTACTGAACAAGTTGAGAAAGAAATTGTGAGGTAAAAAAACATAGTATCGTTATTTACTATTTACTAAATTAATGTTCCTAGCAATAGTCTCACTATTTTGTGTACAAGACTTAAATTTTGTTACAATCTTTTTTTAGAAAGTAAATATTAAAAAATATAATAGATTTTTAATACTTACATATAACTATTAAGGTTCTTATTTTTCTTAATTTCTTAAATTTTTTCTTGATTACTTACCTTATGACATCATCTCAATTAATTACCTCATTAGATCATCTCTATTACTTCATTTCATTTTTTGTAGTGTTTATCATTTCACTAGATCAGTTTTTATTTATCTATCATTACCACCTCACAAAGTATTTTACATAGACTTTTGATTAAAGTGTGTTACATTCTTTTGATTATGGCAGTTATTGATTCTTTTTATTTTGACAATGATTATGTTACTTTTAGGACGATTTTTCAAGCAATACCGCTATTACACTTTGTTATTTTTCTTCTACCAATAAAAGTTAATCTTAGTAAGTATAGTTTTGTTCTAAAAGTTTAATATATATATATATATAATTAAAATATATATATATATATATATATATATACATATATATATATATATATATATATATATATATATATATATATATATATATATATATATATATATATATATATATATATGTATATATATATATATATATATATATATATATATATATGTATATATATATATGTATATATCAGTTCTATTTGTGTTAATAAGTCCCTGTATAATAAGATAATATATATATACAATAAATATTTCACTTCAGGGAGATAATCAACTGTTATTTAGTGTGGTAGCCCTCTCACTATCAATCAATGATAATCTGAATTGCAATCTTTTAAGTGAACTGCAGCTACCGCCAAATATTAATGTATCCATATCAAGAACTTATTGAATAAGACCGAAACAACATCACCATCATGTACAAAAAAAGGAAAACGTAACAAACATGGACGAAGAAGATAAAACTATTGAAACATCTGTCAGTACCCTAAAACCTGCACCTTTAATTGTCGAAATTGTAAATGGAAACTTAATAAGAAAAGAAATTTTAAAATTCGCCAAGAACTTAGCTAAAAGCAAAGACTTTAACAATGTATTTATTCAACCTGATTTAACAAGTGTAGAGCGCAGTTTAAGGAAAGAGCTACTTACAAAAAGAAACAATCTAAACAAAGAAATACCGCGAGAGAACAACAAATTTACTGGTACTCACTACTTTAGTATCAGAGGTACTGAGGTTAAGAAAATTAAAATTGTCCAATAGCAATTCATCACCACCCGGTTTCTGTACACGCCAATAAATCCTACAATTAAAACTAATACAATAAAAAACAACTCAAGAATACATTTATCATGTTGCTCCTCTAAGAAGGTATCTGGTAATATTACGTTAACCCAAATCATACCATCCTCAATACCAAATCAACAAAAACTATTCTCCAATGAAAATTCTGACGAAAAAATTATGCTAGACAGAAAATTGTTAAAAACTACAGTATTAAAACCTAAAAGACCAAAACCTAATCGAACTATGCGATCACAATACAGCCAACAATATAATAAAGCTTTGCTTAGAGATTCACCAACTATTAATTTTTCTGATATACTTTATTACTGGGCCAATAATCCATGCTCACTTAATAAAGATAAACATCTTTATTAAGTGAGCATGTCTTCTTTCTGTTATTAGCAAGGTCTTTGAGTCTTTGATCAACAAATTCCTCACATCTCATCTTGAGTCAAATAAACTACTGTCAGACAATCAATACGGTTTTTGACCCTCTCGCTCTATGGCCGACTTGCTAACTGCTGTAACTGAAAGATTTTATTGTGCACTAGATGAAGGTGGTGAGGCTAGGGCTATTGCTCTCGACATATCTAAAGCTTTCAACAAAGTTTGGCATGCTGGTTTTCTCCATAAGCTTGCTTCATATGGTGTTTCTGGGAAAGTTTTTGAGATTATCAAATCATTTCTTTCTAACCGGTTTATTAAAGTCATCCTTGAAGGCCAACACTCTTCTTTATTTCCAGTAACTTCTGGGGTTCCCCAAGGTTCCATCCTGGGCCCTGTTTTGTTTCTTATCTACATAAACGATCTTCCTGACAACCTTTCATCTAAAATAGCTCTTTTTGCTGAATACTCAACTTTATACTCCTGTCTTGACAAAAAGTTTTCTCTTTTCGATCGCCTAGAACAAGCAGCTGATCTTGAATCCGATCTCACTTCAGTAATAGATTGGGGTTCACAGTGGCTTGTGAATTTCAACTCTAACAAAACCCAGTTGTTACTGCAAACAACTACTGTAATATGGTCATCATTCTTATATTAATGAATGGCAATCCTCTTACTGAGTCCTCCTCTTTATGTTTTCTTGGATTATCGCTTACTACTGACCTTTCATGGAAACCATATATACAATCGATTGCTAAATTAGCTTCTGCTAAGGTTGCTTCTCTTTATCGTGCTTGCCATTTCCTTACTTCTGATTCCATTCTCTACCTCTACAAATCTCTTATTCGTCCCTGTATGGAATACTGTTGTCATATTTGGGCTGGTTCTTCTAACGATTCACTTTCTCTTCTTGACAAGGTCCAAAAACGCATTGTAAATGTTGTTGGACCTGGACTATCTGCTAAGCTTGAACCTCTTTCCCATCATCGTAAAGTTGCATCTCTTTCTCTTTTCTACAGATACTATCATGGTCACTGCTCAAAGGAGTTATCATCTCTAGTTCCATCAACTAAAATTCATTCTCGTTTTACTCGTCATCCAGCTAAGTCTCATTCGTTTACTGTATCTGTCCCTGCATGCTCTAAAAACTTTTATTCATCTAGTTTTTTTCCCCGCACTTCAATTCTTTGGAACTTTCTCCCATTTTCATGTTTTCCTGACTCATACAACCTTCAACTTTTCAAGTCTTCTGTCAACCGTTTCCTTGCTCTATAACTCTGTTCTTTTTTTTCCTAGTAACTCCCAACTTAATAGTGGTTGCTTGCAGCTTTGTTGGGAGTGAATGAGCAAATAAAAATAAAAAATAAAAAACATAATGAACTTGTTGGCAGGCTAGCTAATATCAGAGATCCATCACTGTTACCGCATGTCATATGGTTTACAGAAACCTGGTTCACAAACGATTCTGATACATCAATCGCCGGTTATCAATTACATTGTAAAGACAGAATTGGCAGAGGAGGCGGTGTTGCCATCTACATCAAAGATAGTGTCATTGCTGAAGAAACAAATGTTGTCCAACTTAACTCGCCTGAAATTGAACAAATATGGCGTGTGGTCAAAATCGGGAAAGATGTCATTCTCATTGGTTGTATTTATTGCCCTCACGACTTCAATGATGACTACTTTGTTTCTGTTTTAGCTACTATATTAGCAGTAAAAAATGTTTGTCAAAAAAGGTGTTTATCAATGCTTTTGTATGGAGATTTCAATCTTAAAGAAACGTCTTACAAATCCATTGAAGAAGGAAGTGCTGTAGCAACCATTGCCTATGTAGCCCACAAGCACCCAACCGATCTAAAATTCCAAGAATGTCTCAATGAGTGCCATCTTACTCAACTGGTTACATTTCCAACGTATCGACAGTATAGGGATGCCCCTTTTAGTAGCACGTTTGACCTAATAATCTCTGACAAACCAGACCGCTCCATTGAAATCACTAGAACAGATCATCTAGGCGATACACCAGGAGGTCAAGCACATTGCATGATACACGGGCTCTTTGCTTTAACCGGGCACAATACAACAACTACTCCGATGGAAAAACGATTCATCTGGAGCAAAGCAGACTTCAATTACATATCAACATACGTATTTATATCTATAGATTGGATATCAACTATCTATAGATTGGATAACAACTTTTAATGGAAGTTCTGTGCATGAAAATTACAAGATTCTAATTAAAAACTACAACAACGCAGTCAATAAATTTATTCAAACAACAACCTCACCGTTCTATAAAAATCAACCATTATGGATTACGCCAGAAGTACTTAAAACTATCCAAAAAAAAGAAAAGCTATGGGGTAAGTACATTGCTGCTTGTTGCAAAACACACGAAGCACTTCAAGTAAAACATAAACTTGCTTGCAAAATAGTTAAGAAGACTATAAATAAGGGGGTAACCGATCATGAGGAGAAGCTGGTCAAAGATTCAAAATCTCACTTAAAAAATGTACATGCGTATGTCAGAAGTAAACAAGAAGTCAAAGATCCTCTTCGTTCAATCGAAACTGACAATGGCATTATTACAACAGATAAAAACATAATTTGCTCCACCCTCAATAACTATTTTCAGTCTGTCGTTGAAACTGAACCTGATGGCAGTATGCCAACATTTCCCGATCGTACTCAAGCAACATGTAAAATTAATGAAAATTGGTTCACAATTGAAGACGTTCAAAATCATCTAAGCAATCTTGAAGAGACTAAATCAATTGGTGTAGATGGAATTCACCCACGTGTATTACTTAACTGTGCAGCAGCATTTGCAATACCACTCAACTCTATTTTTAGACAATCTTTATTGTCTGGTTCTGTACCTGAATATTAGAAAAAATCAAACATTACTCCCATCTTTTAGAAAGGGAGCAAGCTTAAGGCCTACAATTATTGACCGGTCTCCCTCACATCAATACCGTGCAAAGTAATGGAAAAAATAATTCACAAACATATTATGGCGCACTGTGTGGAAAACAATCTAATCTCTAAGCATCAGCATGGTTTTATTCGTAAAAAGGGATGTCTGACTAACCTCCTCGAAGCTCAAGGTTACAGTGGTGATATTATCTACACAGATTTTGCTATGGCATTCGGTAAAGTCCTGCACAAACGTCTTCTACATAAGCTAAAAACATATGGCATTCACAAAAAGTTGCTACTTTGGATTAAAATGTGGCTAAAAGATCATAAGCGGCGTGTTGTCTTGGGAGAACATGTTTATGAGTGGAAGAACGTCACAAGTGGAGTTCCGCAGGGTTCTGTTTTGAGCCCACTGCTTTTTATTTTGTTTATAAACGATCTTCCTGATAGTATCATTCACAAAATAATGCTATATGCTTATGACAGCAAATTTATTGGGATCATAAAGTTGGCATCGGATGCCAACTTTATGATCCCAATAACACAACGCTTCAGGCAGATATTAATAAGGCGGTTACATAGTCAAACACTTGGCTCATGCACTTTAACATTGATAAATGTAAAGTGATGCATGCAGGTCGTCCTAATAAACGTTTATCACATGACTACTCTATGGAAACCGCTGATGGCATGCGCCACACTATTGCAACTACAACTATTGAATGTGACCTTGGAGTTCTCATATCAAATGATCTGAAAGTCAGAGCACAAGTTTAAAAAGCATCCGCAGCCAATTGCATGTTAGGAAAACTAAAAAATGCTTTCCGCAGTAGAAACTTAACCTTGCGGCGCACACTCTATATATCTTATGTTCGGCCACATCTAGTATTCACCATTCAAACCCCCGTATCTTGAAACAGACATTAAGTTGCTCGAGGATGTTCAAGACCGCGTCACTAAGACAATATCATCTATCAGTCATTTTCATAAAATAAAGCGTCTGCAGGTACTCAAACTAACTACCCTCGAAAAATGTTGTTTGCGTGTTGATATAATTGAACAATTTAAAATTTTCAACAACTACGACGAAGTTCATTTTATGGTCCCACAGCACCAACTAATTAGGCGTGAGGTGTACAACCTACGCGGCTATGACAAGCAGCTTGATCGTCAATTCATAAGAGGATGTGAGGAAAGATCAAACTTTTTCACAAACCGAGTTGCGGTCCATTGGAACTCTCTCACACAGCACAGGGTAAATGCTCCATCTTTAAATGCATTTAAAGATCGGATTTCGATAAACTGTTAAATCAGCATAGAGACTCCTGGAAAAGTCTCTTCATCAATTTAATAATTTAACATTTAAATATATACATATGTATATGTATATATTTTAAATTATTGTTACGGCATTATTTCAGTTTAAATGTATAAATTTGATTACTGAATATATCAAACTCATATATATATATATATATATATATATATATATATATATATATATATATATATATATATATATATATATATATATATATATATATATATATATATATATATATATATATATATATATATATATATATATATATATATATATTTAAAATGTTTTTTATTTAAATTAACCATTTTAAAATCTGTTTACTTTTTTGATGCAATAATAAAAAAAAACTTTTAGGAAAATGCTTTCAAAAAAATAATTAAAAAAAAAAAGGTAGAAAAGTGTTTGTTCTCATTAATTTTGTTTAAAATTATTCACCAAGATTTATGTTTATTTTTGTTCTTATTATAAGGTAAAAATAAAGGACCAGATACTCATATAAAATGCTCATATTAAACCGAAGACTTTCATAATGAGGATATTAATAGATATGAATCAATAAAATAAGTCCGATTAATCTATCATAATACCAATATATTATCAGAAGGATGCAAAATGCATGCTTGCACTGGATTATGTTACTACTAGCAAGGTATTCTGGTCTGGCTTGAGTCATTGTGATAGATTTCTAAAGCAATTAACGAGGACAAATTACTGAATCAAGTTACTGCAGACGTTACTGGAGAATCTCTCTCTCTCTCTCTCTCTCTCTATATATATATATATATATATATATATATATATATATATATATATATATATATATATATATATATATATATATATATATATATATATATATATATATATATATATATATATATATATATATATATATATATATATATGTATATATATATATATATATATATATATGTATTTATATATATATGTTGAATTATTTAAAATTAATTTAGGTAATTCTTTGAGTAGAATATTTACACAGATCAATTCAATTGATGGTTTTGTTTCCGACTACAAAGTTACAATGTGTTATCGTCATAATCATTTTCCTGTACTTCATATAAGACCAGCAAGGTATACAAAGTTATACAATTTTACAAAAAATGTTTTATCAGTAAACTTCATAAAAAAAATGCAGTTTCTGCATTTTGTTATGAAGTTTACTGATCAACTCTAAAATCTTTCTTTGAAAGTTGTTTATACTTAAAAGCAATGCCATTTATAATCAAAATTCTTTTCATGTTCAAATTTTTTCATCATGTCATACTAAAAAAATAGGAAATAACAAAAGAATTGATTAAAAAAATACGGAAAATGTATAAAAAATAGTAGCTAAACAGAAAGTGTCATTTGTGCATGGTTAACCTGTTTATTCATACCAGGTTTTTACCATTCTAAGTAATCTTTTTGTGGCATTCAAATCCAGAGTCCTTTTTGGGAATCCACAACCCTGATATATATTTATTTTTTCCTTGCTCAAGGTTACCTAATTAAAATTTGCTTAATAAGTCTAATGAAGTTTAATTTTAAGTTTTCAGAAAAAATAAGAAAGAAGAAATTAGCCTCATACAAAAACAAAAATTTAAAGTGAATAAAGTTTTTTTAAAAGTATAAATATGGGTTCGTTTCAAATTATTGTGGTATACGTATTAACAGTACGTAAATATGTTAAATGTGTTAAATGTTGGTATATGTGTTAATAGTGCATGTTAAGAGAGTGGTTCAAGTATTATTTTCACACAAAGCATTTACAACACAAAGAATTTATAACAAAAAACATTTAAAACACAAAGCATTTACAATACAAAACTTTTACAACACAAAGCATTTACAACACAAAGAATTTATAACAAAAAACATTTACAACACAAAGCATTTAGAACACAAAACATTTACAACACAAAGCATTTACAACACAAAGAATTTATAACAAAAAACATTTACAACACAAAGCATTTACAACACACTGCATTTACAACACAAAGCATTTACAACACAAAGCATTTACAACACAAAGAATGTAAATGCTCTGTGTTGTAAAAAAAACAAAAAAAAATTTACATTTATATTTTTATTACATTTACATAACTACATAAAGTACAGTTTTTAATATTATTTGTTACTTTTATACATACTTACTTGTTTAAATAATTTTTTTTCTGTAATATTTGTAGAATTGAAGATCACGATGATTTAAAACTAATATACGACCAGTATAATAATGATCTTGTTAACATTTATGGTATGTTGGTATTACATATTATATGTAACATTTATGATATAACACATTTATGATGTTATATTGATTTTTATTGTTTTAGTTTTTGTGAAGTGTCATTAAAAAAATATATTGTTATAAAATTGTTGATAGTTTTAAAGCAAAATCAGAAGTGACTTTTTTTTTTAAAAAATGTAAGTTAACAAAAGTACAGGTGTCTTTGATGTAGTGGACTCTAAAATGAAGTTTGACGCTAGATTTTAAAAAAATATATTTTTCTCTGAATTTATTTATATATAAAGTATATTTCTATATATTATGAATATTATGAGTTTATAAATTTCTAAAATTTTAATCTCTCTTTTAAAATATATTATTTTTTTATGGTGCTTATTTAAAATAAATTTTTTTTAAATATTTGAATATATCTGTAAATAAATAAGTTGAAAATACGTGACTGTTTTTAGTATAAATAAGTATTTTAAATATTTCAAATATTTGCCGCTACCGTGTCATTTCCTTTCTTTGTCAAGTTCTTATTCAAAGTCTTTTTTAAAAAATAAAATATTTCTTCTTTCAAAATATACTTAATGTAACCTTTTTATTTACATGATTAAAAAAATAAATTATTTGCCGTAACTAAGCACTTTTTTTTTTATTCATTTACATAATTAAAAAAAGTACAGATAATGCATGAAAAAATTAGAACAAATGGATATGTGTATTAATGAAAAAATTAGAACAAATGGATATGTGTATTAATGAAAAAATTAGAACAAATGGATATGTGTATTAATGAAAAAATTAGAACAAATGGATATGTGTATTAATGAAAAAATTAGAACAAATGGATATGTGTATTAATGAAAAAATTAGAACAAATAGATATGTGTATTAATGAAAAAGTTAGAACAAATGGATATGTGTATTAATGAAAAAATTAGAACAAATAGATATGTGTATTAATGAAAAAATTAGAACAAATGGATGTGTATTAATAAAAATTTGAACAAATGGATATGTGTATTAATGAAAAAATTAGAACAAATGGATATGTGTATTAATGAAAAAATTAGAACAAATAGATATGTGTATTAATGAAAAAGTTAGAACAAATGGATATGTGTATTAATGAAAAAATTAGAACAAATAGATATGTGTATTAATGAAAAAATTAGAACAAATGGATGTGTATTAATAAAAATTTGAACAAATGGATATGTGTATTAATGAAAAAATTAGAACAAATGGATATGTGTATTAATGAAAAAATTAGAACAAATGATATGTGTATTAAATGGATATGTGTGCTGTATGGCAAAAGTTATATTAATTAAGTTTATATTAGGTACAATATAAACTCTAAATATAAATTATAAATATAAACAATAACTAAAATAATATAACAATATAAACTAAAACAATATAAATAATAACTAAAATAATATAACAATATAAACAAAACAATATAAACAATAAGTAAAATAATATAACAATATAAACTAAAAAACTGAATTTATAAACAATATAAACTAAAATATAAACAATAAGATTTATAATTTAAGTGACTTACCTGCAATCTTCTGCTGAAGATTAAAACTTTTATTGTAAATCTTTTATTTAAACTAAGGATTTTGTCATTTTTATATGGATGTTTGGTTTTTTCTTATATATTATTTAATATAATGTTTGTGAGGACATCACTGTAATATGCTAGAACACCTCTATAATATAACTGTATATAGTAGAAAGATACCTCTATATTATATAAATTTTAGTTTTTCCATAAAACAAACATAGCGAGCCATGCGAGCTGCTCCTCTAAACAGCTTTTAATAAGAACTTTTGGTTTTTTGGCAAACTATCTGTTTATTTATAAAATAATTGCTTATTAAATGTAAAATTTAATTTTACTCTTGCATTACAAGCAAAGCATTTGCTTGTAACTTTAATGTTAACCGAGTTAACATTAAAATTACATAACTAGTGTTGTTTATCACGCTACGAAAAAACTCCTTAGACGACTGTTTTCTTTAGGTTTTCACACTAGTTATTCATTTATTTATTAGGACTTCACTAAAAATTAACAATCACATTTTGTAATAAAAAAACAAAAACAATCTGAAACTGGGACTTTGTTTTTTGTTTATTTGATGTAGTTAACATAAGAAAATTTAACTTATCTAATCAATATCTAAAAATAGAGAAGAAAATAAATTGTTTTATATTTTTATTAGGTCATTTTTTTTTGTCGGAATTGATAGAAGCACAGGATGAAGAAAACATATGTCTTGTTGCTGATGTAAGTCCTATTTTTTTTGTTGTTCTTCCTTTGTTTTATTTTCAAATGGAATGGAGGTGTTAAGAAGCTATGTTTATAAAAGATTTTTTAAGAATAATTGTTTTACTTTAAAGTACAGTGGTGTTGACTTGTCTTTGAAAAATCTGACATTTAAGAAAGGGTGTATTCTTATAAGAAAGGGTGTATTCTTATAAGAAATGGTTTATTCTTATAAGAAAGGGTGTATTCTTATAAGAAAGGGTGTATTCTTATAAGAAAGAGTGTATTCTTATAAGAAAGGGTGTATTCTTATTTAGAATAAAGACAGGTTTACAATAGACTTTTTGATTAAAAAATGTCTTGATACCTAAATTACCATATTTAGATTTTATTTAAATGAAATAAAATTACTTTTTTTTTGAGACTCATTCTGACTGCATCATGGTAACAATACCAAAATAAAATAATATCTGGCTAATAGTTAGTATTAAAGTAAGAGATATTAAAGTAAGCATATAATAATGAGTTATTGTGTTAATACTTTTTGATTCACAAATTATTAACACAATAACTCATTATTATATGCTTCTCAGAGTCAACAACTATAACTATCAGTTGACCAACTTGAATGCTTCTGAGTTTGTTGGACCTGGATGGGCTTTGTTCCAATTGAGCTTCCTACAAACAGGTCACTTATCTAAAAAAATGTTTTGTTAAAAGAACAAAAAAACATAACATGCTATCTACACCAAAATGAGTATTCTATTAGAGACCTTGCTTATGATGAGAAATACATAATTAAAGTTTCAGTAGTAGTTACTGAAAACTAAAACAAAAAGAAAGAACTGAAGAATTGAATTAAGAGATAAAAAAGAATTATATTAAAAAATTAAGAAATAAATTGAAAAATTAAGAAGAACTGATTTAAGATGAATAAATAGATAGCAACTTTTATGTTTGAGTCATCTGTCTTATAAACTCTTGATTTTACTATGAGTCAGTCATATAAAAAATGTTTGTTTAAAAATTCTGTTTTCATTTAGTATTTATTGCAATACTAAATGAAAACAGAATTTTTACGTGTCCAAAATAAAGGACACGTAAAATACTTGACAAATAACATTTTAAATATTTTTAGAAATTCTAAAAATGCCAATTTTGGTATCATAAACTACACCACAATAACTTAGACTACAAATTTGTACACCACAATAACTTAGACCACAAATTTGTACACCATAATAACTTACACCACAAATTTGTAAACAACAGTAACTTACACCACAAATACCATAATTTACACATAATACACTTTTTCCTTAGATGTTAGAAAAAAAAACTCTTACTATACTTTTATGTACTTTGCTAGCATACTTTACTAAACTATACTTTTGAGGTTTGTTGGATTTGTAATTTTATTTTTATTATTTAAGGTTAATGGCACTGCAGTTGGTTTTTTTAGTGCTAGTACTCAAATTGATACTAATATAATAAAAGAAAACTTTGATCTTGAAGTCTATGAGAATTTTTCAAAAAAAATTCTTCAAAGAAAAGAAAGTAAGTTTTATATATATAAATCATTTTGAGGTTTTAATATTCTATTAGTGAAAAATATTAATTTGGTGAGTATAGTAGGTGAGCTATTATCTTCCATCCAAATTTCAATTATTTTAGCTATGTTGATTTATGTCTTACTCTGGTGAATATGTTATGTGAGCTGTTAACTCCCAACCAAGTTTCAATTATGTTATTACATTAACTATTATAATTTATGACTAACTCTGGTGAATATTGTGTCACCATTTTTTAATTATTCAAAGTTATAAATATTTATTAGCTAAGTTGATTTGTGAGTAGCTCTGGTGATCATGGTGAGCGAGCAATTATCTCCCAGCCAAATTTCAATTATTTTAGCTAAATTGATTTTGCTATACCACTATTTCATGTCATCTCAATCAGCTCGGTTATAATTCAAATCCAAATGCTTGTTGGGTTGGGTTCCTCTAGATTTAAATCTTGCATAGAATCACATATTTGTTAGTATTTCTTACCATTACAACTGTCAATGCATAGATTTAATTAGTTTAACTAGAAAAGCTTAAGCAAAAGATCTTTACTGATCACTTAAAGCAACGGTTTCAAAAACATTGAATTTAAAAAAAAAATTCAAAAATTATAATTAATTTATAAACATTTATTTATTATACGTGCATAAGAAATATTGTTTAACATAAAAAAAAAAAAATCACGTTGAAGTAAATTTTTTTGCTTTTTTTTTTATTTTTTATTTTTTTAAATATTTTGCTTCATTACACAGTGCAAAAAATAACTTAATTATTATAAAAAAAGACCTTTAAAAAAAAAAAAATTGAAACAAACAAACAATTAAACAAAAAAACTAATAATAAAAAAAACTCCCCAAAAATGAAAAAAAAAAAAAATGAAACACTTGTATAAAGAACAACAATATTTTAATTCTTATAAGTTTTTCTACTCTAAAATAAACAAAGTAAATAATCAAAACACAACATTCTCTGCAGCCATAATATAAACAGAATATACTATAATATAAACAAGGTTCTTCATGTATCTTCTTCTATAAGTTGTAATGGTCGACAAATTACTCTTGAGGATCTACGTGTGTCTTTTCCAGGTGTTATTAATAACAACAGATTGATCGGACAAGCATCATTGACAAGATTTTCAGCTAGTGGAGGTTGATAAAGGGGAGGCTGATTAGGAAAGGGTTCAGGATTGGTATTGGTAAGTCCATATTTCTTAGGTGTTAATGGTTTATAGGGGTAAGAAGGTTTATTAAAAGCGTTCTCTGGTGAAGGTTCAATATTATTAAAGGCATTCTCTGGTGAAGGTTCAATATGATTTGTTTGATCAATGATTGGAGTCAAACTTGTTGGAGCTAAGTGTCTTAGGAAAACTGTGGTTTCTATGAGTCTATGAGTTGCACTTTGTCTACCAGTGGTTCATACTTATTATTACATAGATATCTTTTCATTAGTATTGGTCTAGGATGACTTAACCATGAAGGTAAAGTGCATCCAGAGGCTGTTTTACGAAGGTGCTTAATCATTCTTTTATGAAGTGTCTCCATTGTTTTAGTATTTACTAAGGATCTTATAGAATGGAGAACGTCTGGCAATACTTTTTCCCAAGCTTTGATGGGTAAATTGTGTTGTCTAGTAGCAATCTCAATAGACTTCATTATGGTTCCATTATACTTTTGGGCTTGTTCCCTTGTGGATTATATGATGTAGTATGACTTGTTGCAATACCTTTCTCTAGTAAGTATTGTTTTAATTCTTTACTGATGAAGGCTGAACCTCTATCGGAATGGATGTAACTTGGCAAACCAAAAACCAAGAATACTTGTGACACTTAATTACAGTCTGAGCTGAAATATCAGGGCATGGGATTGTAAAAGGAAAACGAAAAGAAAACGAAAACAAAAGAATACTCATCAATTATTGTTAAAAAATACTTGTTATTAGTTTCCGAAGGAAGGGTCCTTTAAAATCTAAGTTCAAACGTTTCAGTGGTTGTGTCGCCTTTATCAAATTAGATTTTAGTGGTTTGTAGTATCTAGACTTACATTCACAACATAGTTTGCACTGATTAGTTATTCGTTTAACATCATCAATTGAGAAAGGTAAATTACGGTTTTTAATAAAAGCATAAAACCTAGTTACTCTAGGATGACAGAGTGATTGATGAAGCTGAATTAAGTTGTTAGTGTTTATTGCTGAGCAATGTATTCTAGAAAATGTGTCAGCTGGAATATTTAGTTTCCCTTCCCTGTAAACAATGTCATAATTATAGCATGATAAATTTTATCATTTTTAATCTTTGATTTATGTTGCTTTTCGAAGATATAGGACACAGGTTGCTGATCGGTAATAAGTTTAAAATGGCGTCCAGTAAGGTAGTGTTTCCAATGCCTGACTGCTTCTATTATTGCGCAAGCTTCTTTCTCAATAGAGAGATGTTTGAGTTCAGATTTTTGAAGTAATCTTGAAAAGAAAGCTACAGGGCGGCCATTTTGATTAAGAACTACAGCTATAGCAATGTCAGATGCGTCCGTTTCTACTTCAAATAGAACATTTTCTTCCACATAATCTGTCACAGCATTTGCAATGTCTTGTTTAAGTTGATTGAAATCATTTACACACTGATGATCTAATGGGTACTTGGTGTTTTTGGTAAGAGAAGCTATCTTATCGGAAAAGTTTGGAATCCATTTAGAGTAGTATGAGAATAGTCCAATGATATGCTTCATGAGGAGGAGGCATTTAGCATCATGAGGAGGAGGCATTTCTTTCATAGGTTGAAGGCGACTGGGATCTGGTTTGAGCTTTCCTTCTTCTATAAGATAACCAAGAATGCAAATTTTATCTTGGGAAAAGCTACATTTATCATGATTATAAGTAAGATTTATATTTTCAGCTGACTTGAAAAATTTTTCCAGATTAATATCATGCTCCTCTTGGGTTTTACCACATATTGTCACATTATCTAGATAAGCATAAGTATCTAAAAGTCCTTCTTTTTCTATAAATTTGTTTATGGTACGTTGAAAACGCCATTTTCAATTCCAAAAGGCATTCGCTTAAATTGGAACAACTGCTTCAAAAGCTGTAAATTTTCTATCATTTTTGGTAATTGGAATTTGATGGTAGGCTGATTTCAAATCAACTGTACTAAATAATTTGTATTGAGCAATTTTGTTTACTAGATCATCAATCCTTGGTAATGGGTAAGCGTCTAGTTGAGTATACTTATTTATTGTTTGACTGTAGTCAATAACTAATCTTTTCTTAGAGCATTCTCCTTTGGTTACAACTACCTGAGCTCTCCAGGGAGAATTTGCATGTTCGATAATGTCCTCTTTAAGCATACGTTGTACTTCCATTTCAATAAATTTTTTTTATTTTATTTTTTATTTTAATTCACCTCCTCAAGGCCGAGAAGGCCACTACAGACGAGGAGGCTACTTATTTGTGGCTATAGCCCTCTCTCAACTCTATAACTCCGAAACACGAACCTTGACGAACAAGGCTGCTGCGCGGAGAAACGAGTTGAGCGCGGTACTACCAGGGACATGGTGGGGATCGAACTCGGAACCACTCGTTTATGAAGCAAGCGCTCTACCACTACACCACTACCGCAAATAATTGGTCTTCTTTGCTATATCGACGAGATTTTGAAGCTATTGGTTTACAGTTAGGCGATAAATTGCCAAATAAACTTGGAGGAGATACATTCAACTTCAACAAACCACAAATTAATAGTGGGGGTCTTTTTCCTTCAAACTTAAGGGTTACAGCTTTGTGTTGTTTTTGAAAATCGAGACCCAAATAACATCCATGCATAACTCATTTAAGATGTTAAGTTTTACTAATTTATAATGCTCATGTTTTATTGAAATATTGACAAAAACTACTCCACAAATTGTACTAGATAAAGATGATGAAGCCATAGATACCTGTTTTTGGTTTTGTCTATGAACTGTTAGGTTTAGTTTTTGTACCAATCGAGGGTGAATAAAACTATCAGTGCTACCATTGTTAATGAGAGCATTTACAAATGAACCATCAACCAACATGCCAATTGTTGATTTAGTCAAAGGTGAAATGGAAGCAGAAATGTTCTTTAAATTAGTTTTATGTTCAGGGTAGTCTAGTCAAGTGAGTGAAGGATTGTATGAGTTCAAAGGTTGATCAACAAGATTAATTCCTGCTGTTGTAAGTTTAGAAGATTTACATAACTTGGCAAAATGACCAACTTTCTCACATTTAAAACAAATCGACTCTCTAGCAGGACAGACAGCTTTAGCATGTCTTTGATTCCCACAGTTCCAGCAATTTGAAACAGAATTTGAGTTAAATTGCTTTGGCTTTTTTGTTATTGCAGCTACTGTTGTATCTGATGTATTATACTGGAGATAATTTTCAGCATTTTTCTGCGCTGATTCCGAGGATCTAGCTTTTGAAAATATTTCATCCAGACTTATTGTACTGTTTTTTAGTAGTCGCTGTCTGACAACCTGTGAATTTATCCCTGTTATAAATGCATCTCTAATATATTCATTGCAATATTCAATAGCAGACACCTGTTTAAAGTTACAATCTTTTGCTAAAACTTTAGGAGCGTGTAAATACTCATCAAAACTTTCTCCTGTTTGTTGCTTACGAGTTGCCAAAAGATGTCGTGCATAAACCTCATTTGATGGTTTGATGTACACAGATTGTAAAGCTTGTATTAGTGCTTCATAATTTGGACATTCGCTCATTATTTCATAAACATCGGGAACAATGAAATTAGTCAGGATTTTTAACTTATTGAGTTCTTGAGGGAGTTCATCAAGATAATATTTAAATGTTCTGAGCCAATGTTTAAATAATTTTGTTGCCGAAGGTGAGTTTGGTAATGTATCCAAGCGAGAAAGTCTATATTTTATTTTGATAAGAGCAGAAAATTGAAACACTTGTATAAAGTACAACAATATTTTAATTCTTATAAGTTTTTCTACTCTAAAATAAACA